TTTTTGGACGGGCAGGATGCCGTTAGGGCGGGCCTTGCCGATTCTGGAGAAAAGTGGTCTGTCGGTCTCCATCATTAGCCGGGATGTACAGTGACACTGTGCCGTCGCGCGCCATCAGGCGACTGTTACGAGGGTTGGGTCAGCATAGTTACATGAGGCCGGTTGAGGCTCGCCGTTGCATGATGCAGGGCACAGAGCCCAACTTTCCTGTTTGCATTTTTGCTACTCGCCACCAGCCAATGACCTCTACCGGCCGAGACGGCCCAGCGTCCGCCTTTCGGCTCATCCCGCTCGTCACGCGCCCGCCTACTCGTATTCATTTCATATCGCTGCTGGCCTATGTACAAGGGCTGCCATGCTGACCACCCTAAGCGCCTCGAGATAAGCACTCAATCAGCATAGTCTCGGCCATCTCCATATCGCCGAACGGACGCCTTGCCCTCCGTAACCGGTGCATCTACGCCGCTGTGCGGGTGCCATCAGTAACGGGCAAGACCTCACTGATGAAAGCCTGCCAAGTAGAACCATCAAAAGTCGCCTTGTGCTTACCAAGCTTTCAAACCCCTAAAGGTCTCGAAAGTGAGAGAGGCGAGAGGCTACGGCATAGTCGACATCGCGACCAAACAAGCTTTAACGCGCAATAGGCTGCATTCGACGGTGGACAAGCAATACATGTAAGTTTAGCAAAACACACACACGTACGCTACAGCAGAATTATGGCTGACGCGCGCCCTGATTGTTGCCGTTGTTGCTCAGCGAACGAAGTATCTCTGCTACCTCTTGCGCCGATTGGGCCGCAGAGCCTGATTGACTACTCTGCTGTGGGTGACCGTTATTTGGTTGATTGGCTGCTGCCATGGCTTGGAAGAGCTGGAAGAATTGTGCTGCTTGCTGCGGGGGCGGGATTGGCCATTGGGGAGTCTGTGGTCCTTGTCCGGTCGCATACGCCGGTTGTTGTTGCTGTCCTTGATAAAAAGATGGATTGACAAAAGCTCCGGCCGGAAAACTTCCATTAGTGGCTGCAGGCCCGGGGGCCGGCGACGAGTTGGGTGGGGTTCCTCCAAAAGCGAAAGGGGCAACACTGTTTTGTGACCAGCCAAACGCCTGAGGGTTGTTGAACTGGAATGATGGCTGCTGATGAGAAGCGGCTTGAGCACCAGGTGCATGTGGCTGCGACGAGGCGTTGGGATTGGGTTTGGATCCTGCGTTGTGGCGTGAGTCACCACGACCTCTCATACGGCCACGGAAACCGCCCCGACCACGATGCGCCCTGATTTGCTCTACTGGCGCACCTCCCGGACCCATCATTTGATGGAGGTTATCTGGTCTTGCCAACGGAGTGTACATGTCCCCTTCGTCGTCGTCGTAGCTGAGTGCACCGGTGTAAGGCTGTGGTTGGTTTGCTCCACCTCCTCTTCCGGCTCTAGAATTACCTCTGCCGTCATTTTGGCCTTCAGTTGCCGCGCGCTTCTTTTGCTTCATTTGTCGCTTGTGTTCGGCCTCGGCTTCGTCGTCAGAGAATTCGACCTCATGCGCTCCAGCTTCCTCGTCGAATTGGTTCGAGGCATCGGAGCCTTTAACTGCCTGCAATGCTTGCGTAAAGACATAGGTCGAATGTTGGTCGACGTAGTAGATGGTGGTGCCCTTAGTGATCCCGGCCTCTGCCATCTCCTCGCGGCTGTTGAAGGCGACAGAGTACAAGGGCTCTTGAACGCGGCCTAGTGTTTCTGCGACAGCTCCGACGACACTCCTGTCACTCAAGCAGAGCACTGAGCCGCTCTCCAGCACCTGGTACTCGCCAGACGTCTTGGCCCGGATTAGCGCAAGATTATCCACCACGTTTTCTATGTGGCCGAGCTCAGTGATTTTCATGTCCGGGGTGACGGTGACGTTGGGCTTCTCGACTTTCTCTTCCACCTGTTCATTTGCGGAGCGCAAAGGGGCACCAGAGCCCTTCCCGCCATCTTCATCACCGTACTCCTCTTGCATCAGGATCCGAGCTTGTTCGGCGGCATCGAGCATAGGGTAGTCTTCCTCGTCGCTGTCCTCGTCGGAAGAGTCACTGGAAGTGTCCGATTCGGTGTCGGACGACTCGGCGTCGGAAGAGTCGTACTGCCATTCAGCATTCTGGTTGCCCTTGTTTGCGGTGGCAGCAGCCAGGAAGTCCGGGTCGAGGTGCGGCGCAGGCTGCTGGTCCGGCGCAGCTTCCTGGGCAGGCCGGTCTAAGACGGGCGTGTCCTCGAGCCTTTGCTCAAGCGCGCCGGCATTTGGCGGGAGCATGCCCAGGCCCGGGATACCAGTGTGTTGTTCCATGAGCAGATGGTGGTGTGGCAAGACTTTGTGAGTATGTGAGAGAGAGAGGTGTGTGAAGGGAACTTTTTTTCGCGGAAACCAGCCGCCGCCGACAGTGCCAACCATGTCAGTCAGCCCTACGCATGGCCCAAGCTCTCTCTCTTCTCTCAACACGCCGTTTCCCGCTCATCCCCGCTGCCGCCCGCCTTCCACCCATTCACAGCCAAGATGCCGCCAAAATCCAAGCAGTGCGTGCTTCCACCTTTTTCGTGCATCCAAGCTGACCCCAATTGCTAGGCCACCTCCACCCCAGTTCAATCCCGCCGTCGCTTTCTACATCTTCTTTGCTACCCATCTCTTGGCCGCTCTCTTCGCTCCCATACAGGACTGCGATGAGATCTACAATTACTTTGAACCCACCCACTACCTCAACCATGGCCATGGTCTGCAAACATGGGAGTATTCTCCTGAGTACGCCATTCGGAGCTGGGCTTATGCTGGTATCCATGCTGCCGTGACGGCTGTTGGCAGACTCTTGCCCAATAGTACCAAGGTCACGCAGTTCTACCTGCTCCGCATTGCCCTGGCTTTTGTCTGTACCTGCTGCGAGACTCGACTCTGCTCCACTATTGCCAGGACGCTCAATCATAGGATTGCCATATTCTTCCTCGTTGCCATGGTATTTAGCCCGGGCATGTTTCATGCATCGGCGGCATATCTCCCATCAAGCTTCACTATGTATACCAATATGCTCGGTCTCTCTGCCTTTATGGACTGGCGCGGCGGCTTGCGAACTGCCCAAGGCATCTTCTGGTTCGCTGTGGGAGGCATCTTGGGGTGGCCTTTTGCTACCGTCATGGTGCTTCCATTCATTCTAGAGGAAGTCGTGCTGGCCTCTGTAACAAACGAGACGTGGCAGACATTTCGAAGGTTCTTAGATGGGGCTATGAGATCTCTGGTCGTGCTCGTATGTACTTCTCTTATTTGCCCGCCTTGGACATGTTGACACTCACTATACGGTAGGTTCTCGAAGTTTGCATCGATTCCTTCTTTTACAAGAAGTTAGTGTGTGTTCCCTTAAACATTGTCCTCTACAATGTTTTTAGCGGCCCTGGTAAAGGACCGGATATTTACGGGACAGAGTCATGGCACTTCTACATCCGCAACTTGTTGCTGAATTTCAATGTGTGGTTCGTCCTTGCGCTCGGAGCGCTACCACTTTCCCTAGCACAACATTTTCTACGCAGACAGTCCGCAACTAAGCAAAGCATCCTGAGAGGACTGGTTTTCGTTTCGCCGTTCTATCTTTGGATGACTATATTTACGCTACAACCGCACAAAGAGGAGCGATTCATGTACCCGGCATATCCCTTCCTGGCTCTGAACTCAGCAATATCTCTTCACATAGTTCTTGCATATGTCGGGTCTATGGACCCACGAGATCTTGTTAGCAAAATCCCAGCGAAGCTAAAGCTTGCTGTCGTAAGTATTTGCATCATGGGAGCTATTGACCTTGGTGTCTGGCGTGCCCTCGGTATGACCACTGCGTACTCTGCCCCTCTAAAGGTCTACGCCCCTCTGCAGGAGCCAGGGGTCGCGAGAGCAGGAGACAATGTCTGCCTAGGAAAAGAGTGGTATCGGTTCCCGTCGTCTTACTTTCTTCCCGGCGGAGTCAGGGCCAAGTTTGTCAAGAGTGCGTTTACGGGCTTGCTCCCAGGAGAATTCAGCGAAGCGAGTTCTGGCTTTGGCTTCTTCCCTGGTGCATGGCTCACGCCATCCGGAATGAACGACGAGAACAAGGAAGACCCGAGCAAATATGTACGAACGTTATTTTCCCACGGTTGAAGCGCTTTGTGCTAATCTAAGAGCAGACCGACATTGATCACTGCTCCTTCGTGGTAGACTCTTCGTTTTCTAGCATGACCGCTACAGAACTGGAACCTGATTATTTGTCGGACACGGAGACATGGGAGGCGTTGAGATGCGAAAAGTTCCTGGATCCAACTCAGACGGGCACCTTGGGTCGCCTTGTCTGGATCCCCGATTGGTCGTTTATCCCGGAGCAGCATCGTAGGAAGTGGGGTCAGTATTGTCTGCTCCGTCGCAAGTCTATCAATCCCCTCGCAGTAACGCAGTAAAGCGGTTCAGTCGGGTAGATATCTCCATCGTGTAGCGATGCACAAGTTCGCCGCAAAAAGCAGAGAACATGCATGGCATCACGTCACTTAAACGAGTCTAACCGAAGAGAGCAAAAGAACCCCAACTTGTCCACCCAGCGTTGTGTGAAGATAACCAAACCCCACAGTGGCCGCTCATCAGGGAACAATTGCTGTTATCGTCAGTCTAATGCATGAGCTAGTTATACCTATCTGAGCGGACGCCACTGAGTGCTGAAGGTATATAACACGCACCCAGATCGATGTATATAGTTGCAAATATTCATTCCAGCACGTGGACAACATGAAACTTCGTTTGAGCGACCTCTGCGATACTGAAAAGGCCAAGGCTGCTAGCCGCTATATTCAAGAGCATACTCTGAACAAGCCAGTCTTGTACAGCATCTTGATTGCGGCGACTGTTGTCTGGCTCTTTGTACTGCTTCTGCGACAGATAAAGGCAAAAAAACAACCAGCAAGAGCACGATCTCCAGATTTGGAGAAACCCTCGAAGGGAAATGAGCGTAATCCAGGAGGTGAGTATTGATAGCCAGGAAGGCTTTCAGAAGTAGCTGACAAGCTTTAAAGAATGGGTTCCTCAGGACTGGAAACGCCCTACTGCAACACCTTATCCAGACTGGTCTGTCACGAAAACCAAACCTCTGCCTTATCGACCGTTCCGCTATGGACCGAAGTATAACACGACAATGGGGCTGCGCGCCATGGACTGGGATGGGTGGATCGAACTCGACAACCACTACATGAAATATCACGACCTCAAAGCTAAGCGATTGGCCGAGCGCGGGTCCAAATGTTACCACACTGCGCCAGAGGCTTTTGACGGGGCTGTTGAGCTGCTCGAGGAGTTATGCGACTACCTACCTCAGCGCTATCCGAGTTTGTTCCGGAAGACTGACGTGGGTATGAATAATCTTGCGACAGGTGAAAGCCTGAACATCGTTGAGAGGCCATTGAAAGAAGACCCTATGGCCATGTCGGCACGGCAGATTCAAGATGATTTGGCCATAATGTTCGAGAAACCCGACGGCCAGTATTACCTGCTTGCAGGTGCTATCCTGTTGGCAGGTTTTTGGCGCCTCCAAGACAAACTCGGCATGCCGCTCTCTGAGATCCATACGTCTGGTAACGTTCCGGGATTTAAGGAAAAGTTGGAGAAGGGCATGATGAACTTTTTCAAGAGAGTCAAACCCGAAAGTCCGGTACTGAGGAACAACTACTTCATTCAGGTTGACGACGACTTAGCATGGAGCCACAGTATCGGAAATGAAGATGGCGAAGAAGGCACATTGGGGTGGTTTTCAGCGGAGAAGGACAAGGCCATCCAGCATCACTGGTTTAGGAGCGAGAGGCAAAGCTTGAGGCGGTGAGTACTTTTCACTTTTGTTTTTCGAACAGATGACAATATTAACAAACAACTAGCTTACCCCGGTCTGGTGGTGTTGTATTCACCATCCGAACATACTTCCATCCGATTACGGACATCTGTCAAGAGCCATATGTTCCTGGTCGGTTAGCCTCCGCCATCCGTAGTTGGGGAGATGATGTTTCGAGATACAAGGGGAAGGAACGATATGAGAAGGTGTTGTTGGAATATCTTGACAAGAAACATCAGGAACAAATTGCAGACGGATTGGACTTGAGCAAAGAGGATGAAGTCAGGAATTATCCGTACTAAACCCACCTTTTATCCGTACCTGTATATAGAAACTGGCCTCATCACGTCTTGAAACTGAAATTCAATGCACTGTCCAAACAAGAAAGCAGACTGCATTCTCGAAGTTGAACAAAACAAGATGCTGACGGGAATCTCCGAATCCTCTCACTTATCCAGCAATCCATCCCAAAATTGTGCTCAACTCGTAAAGAATTATTGAGGCCCTGGGCCAAGATAAAGTGCGCTTTCCGCAGCCTTAAGCATACTAGTAAATTCCGGTTGTTGGTGGATCAGTTGGCCCATTCGTAACAAAGCGTTGGTATGGATATAAGCTAAGTTCCGTATATATGCTGAGAATGCCTCCAGATGTCGTCATTTTCTAGACTTCGAACCGGACTTTGCTTTTGAACGATGAGTTTCTGCAGCCTCCTGGACCTTTCCTTGTCGCCATTCGCAAATGTCGGCAAATTCGCAGAAGCGACATTTGTAGGCCTCCTCAATATCAACGCCTTTCGCTTCACGCTCACCACGCCACCAGCTCATCTCGTCTGCAAGATATTCCTGCAACATTTCTTTGTCGAAGCTGAACATTTTCGTGCCCATGATGTCCCCAGTCTGCTGATTGCGGAACTCGGCCGTCAGTACCTGGCCTATAGCATTAGGCCCTGGCATGGTCTTGGTAAATTCTTGTATCATCAAACCCCAAAGCTTCACAAGGGTATTGTGAGCAAGCAACTCGGATACCGCATCCTCTTGAGAGCTGAAGGGCGCTTCATCATCTTCTGTGGAGTCATTTCGGAAGTTAAAGTCCAGACCTCCGACTTCTGCAATAAATGAGTTGCTGAATTTGGCATCGGCTTTCAGGTTGTAGCGCTGGAAAATGGTTGCCGCATCGACTAAGTTGGAAGCAAATGCCGACAATAATTTTCGATACAGCATCAACTGCATGACAGTCGGACGAAGGGCTGATGACTGGGGTAGTGTCTTGCTGCCCCTTGTCTTGACATCTGTAATGAAGACCTTTCGTTGCGCATAGGGATCTCCCAGCCATGGCCCAGACTCTGGTGCATCCGTCCCCGGTTTCTGGAGGGAGTCTAAAATCGATGGCGTACCAGGCTGGTTTGCTGGAGCAGAATCTTGTTGTGAAGTTGCCGCTTCTTCGAGTTCTTCATCTGGGCACGTGTATGAGAGTTCATCGATGATACCATTGATGACTTGGCCATCAATGACTCCCCAAATTTCCATTTCGCGGGTAGACCCTGTGTTTCGCAGAGTCCTAAGTCCCTGTATGACGTTCCAAATTTTAAGTCCCCAGGCATCTTCTCGAGTCTGCACCAGAACTTCTACCGTGGTATGGACCTGCTCTTCCAACTTTTTGTGCACCTTAGAGCCCTGCTTCATGGCAGGCGTACGTCTTTTTCGACCATGCTTGGTAAGGGTATACCAGTACTGAACTTCACACCATGCCGGCGAGACGATGTCGGTCACGGACAAGGGTTTCATGGGCGAAGTTCGAAAACGCTCCAGTGGAGACCGGCCATTTCTGGCGGCCGACTCGGTAGAGGTTAAGTTGGGCGCGCTGAAACCAAAGTCGTTTTTTTGAGCCACTATGCGCTGTCAGCGCGTCAGTCCAGCATTGTATTCATAGTCAGCAGCTGCTCTTACGCTTGCTGGAGTTCCGTGAGCTCTCGTGGCAATGAAGTTGGGTAGAAGGCAACGAAATGGCGTGCTGTTGGACTGGGGCCTGGGTGCTGCTAGAAGGTGTGGCAAGCTGCTTCTCCTGGCCCGTAGAAGCTGTAGACGGTGTTGCATGGCGCTCGATGCTGGCGGCTCCGGCTTCCAATTTTGCAAGTACTTCGTTCAGCAGCTGTTCACTCTCGCTGTCGAGATCGCTGCCATAATCAGTCTCAACGGCCGGGTCCACGGCCGAGAGTGCGCACGAAGTCATGACCGACCGGGCATGGTCCGGTGGTGGAGGACCTAGAGTACGGCGTCATAGAAGTGTGCGAAAGCCAACGCCATTACGTGCGGTCTCGGGACTCACTCGGTACTCGTAGGCACAACCGCCGGCCGACATCACCTAACATTCCAATCCCCCTGTCACACCCAGCAATGGCAGTCTTCTCGAACGCGGCGCGTGTACGTATGACAAGCCTGCGTTGGGCGCTGGGTTTCCGCGCGAAATCCACACGACCTTCCAACGTTCCAAATCCAACTCCTGGCACTTCCGAATCGGAGTCAAGGATTAACCTCACGATCCCCGGCCCTTCATGGTTATGGCTCGAGCCCGTGAGCAGACCGTTTCGTGCCTACAGCAAGGCCCAGGCTCGGCGACCTTATATGGTCCAGCTGATGAGCACTGTCATCGTAAGATGTTTTCATTATGCCCCCCCGTTTTGGCCGCACGAGATTGATTCCATTGCTCCAGATATGGTTTTTGGGTGACTTGTCCGCGCAGACCATCTCACGCTCCGAAGATGGTGCATATTCTACCTCTCGTGCGATGCGCTCAGTTACTGTGGGCAGCATCTCTTCTATCCCTAGCTATCGATGGTTTCTTTACCTCGGTCAATCTTTCAATTACAGCTCCAAAATTTTGAGCTTGATTGCGAAGATAGTGGTTAACCAGTTAACATTTGCTCCTCTGTTTAACATATATTTCTTCTCGATGCATTCTTTCTTGAGTGGCGCCTCTTTTGAAGAACTTGTCGAACGAGTCAGGCATACTCTCCCAATTTCTTGGCTGAACTCTTGCAAATGTTAGTCCATCGTCTCCAAACAGAATGAAAGATATGCTAAAGTCAGGGGTATAGTGTGGCCTGCGGTCACAGCCTTTAGTTTCACCTTTATTCCTCAACAGTATAGGAGCATCTTTGCAGGTAATCAAATGTTTGTCCACATAGCCGACTTGGAGCTAATGTCTTGTTACAGGATGTGTCGCAATTGGGTGGCAAACATGGTTAACTCTGCTCAACCAACAGGCAGCCGCCGAAGAGAAGATAGAGCATGAACGCCAGCAGGTAGATTCCACAAGGGCAAGCTTGTAGGACTAAATGACTGGGAAATGCAGTATAGGAATTTGGATTCAACCATCAGGCGGTACTGTTATAGATGGAAGGTTTGCTTAGCAAAAGCTTTATTATTGCACCTGCGCATACACGTTTGAATCAAAAGTTGGTGTTTGAAGAGACTTTCATGAGATCATCTCGATGCCCGTGGTATTAATGTACAAGCATTTGCATTGGGCAACCGTGCCATGCTCCACCGAAAGCCAGAATCCCCGAGTCCGTCATTCCATTTGAGTAAACCTTAAACGCCTGGCATTCCATCCCCAAAAGCAAGAGCAATCACCGTCCGCTTGTGATCATGATAGCCGGAATGGCTGGTCGAGGAAACAAGTGGTATTTGGAGGTGATGCGGAAACTTCACTCTCTAAGAGCGCTCGCCGCGGAGACGACGGGCCAGCTGGATATCCTTGGACTCTGCGAGGGGGGTTAGAGAAATGATCGAGATGCAATGGTGATCAAGCAACTTACGGATAGTGACACGCTTGGCGTGGATGGCGCACAGGTTGGTGTCCTCAAAGAGGGACACGAGGTAAGCCTCAACGGACTCCTGGAGAGCACCGATGGCAGAGGACTGGAAGCGAAGATCCGACTTGAAGTCCTGGGCGATCTCACGGACAAGACGCTGGAAGGGCAGCTTGCGGATGAGGAGCTCGGTCGACTTTTGGTAGCGACGGATCTCACGGAGAGCGACGGTGCCGGGCTTGTAGCGGTGGGGCTTCTTGACACCACCGGTAGACGGGGCGGACTTGCGGGCGGCCTTGGAGGCGAGAGCCTTACGAGGGGCCTTGCCACCAGTGGACTTGCCTATTGAAGCGAGTCAGCGATGCTGTTGGTGTTGCAGTGGAGTGAGACGATGAGGTCGCAGGGCGCGACCGGGGGAGCGCGGAGGTGGAGAAGGATGACTTACGGGCAGTTTGCTTAGTGCGCGCCATCTCGAGAGTTGTTGTGAGACGCTTTTGGTGATGAAAGTGTGGAGTTGAGTAGCAGGGGAGATGGTGGTGAGAAGGACGGAGGGAGGCGGCGGAAGGGCGCGCTTATATGGGAGGCGAGGCCGCGGGCGGATGATCAGGCAACTACGTTGCTTGTGCTGTTCCTGCCGTTTTAGCGCCGTTTGAAAGACTCGTTAACAAGTGCTGGAATCCGAGCGATTTAACGGCGAATTTCCATTGGCTGGAAATAGCAATAGTACGCTAAGCCGGAAGAGGAGCCCCGGCAAGATCAAATACGCGAGCGGCAATGATGCGCCCTGGCGCCCGTCCGCCTCCATCTGGCCTGTGCGCTCTCCGCCTTGTTGATGGCTCCCGTGCGGCTTTGATAAATACCCAAAACACCGCCGCGCCTTAGACGCTCTCCCTCATACACCCACAAATCTGCACGAGCCCAGCCACCGCTAAACCCCACACACAAACTCTATCCAAACTCCACCCATCTTTCCATCATCATGACTGGACGTACGTTACCCTGCGTCTTGTGCTGCTTCTCCACGTCCATCTTACTGACGCAGCTCCTACAGGCGGCAAGGGCGGCAAGGGTCTCGGAAAGGGCGGTGCCAAACGCCACAGGAAGATCTTGCGCGACAACATCCAGGGTATTACCAAGCCCGCTATCCGTCGTCTGGCGCGTCGTGGCGGTGTCAAGCGTATCTCTGCCAGTATGTTCTTTGGATCCCCGTCCCCTTCTGGACTTGATGCTAATCCTCCCGTAGTGATCTACGAGGAGACCCGCGGTGTCCTGAAGACCTTCCTTGAGGGTGTTATCCGTGACGCCGTCACCTACACCGAGCACGCCAAGCGCAAGACCGTCACCTCTCTCGACGTGGTCTACGCCCTCAAGAGGCAAGGCCGTACCCTGTACGGTTTCGGTGGTTAAGATGGTTGTCTCTTTCTGCATGTTTTTCACGAATCTTCTACATCGGCCTGCATGCGTGACGGGCACGGTATGAAGCCTTTGCGGAGCCGGATGGGTCGGGCTGGGTTTATGGGCTTTGTTGTATCATACGGCATTCGGAGTTCGACGGGGATCAAGCAAGTCACATTAAGAGTCGAGGAATGATACCAAATAATCTGAGAAACCTTGCTACTAGCATCTTGCGCTTTAAAAATTAAAGTCTTCCATTATGTACTACGCTCATACATGAGTAAGCACGACATTTAACGTCCACCCATGAGCGGAGCTCACCGTTTAGTAAGGCTGGCTAATTAGATCCTAATTTAGTATATTGCGCGGGCCTCGGCTAAACGAATTAGACTACTAGTTAGCTAACTTCCCTAAATAGGGACCTTCGCTTATAAGTAAGAGACGTTATAATAGAGTTTCTATTTTCTTATTCAGACGGTAGTCTAGGAACGTAGAGTTTTATTCTAATATAGTAGTCTTTAAGATTTCCACATTAGTATATAGTACGCTATTTTACTATATATTATATAAAAGCTTATTTTAAATAATAAAGTAATAGTAGTTACTAGCTACTAACTCTTAATATAGCTTTAAGAATTTACTAATACTATATTCATATTTATTTTTAGGATTAACTATTAAACTAAGAATATTTATATTTATATTTCTACTATATAAATAATATAGGTTATATTAAAATATTTTTTTAAAAATTAAATTGAAAAATATAAAAACTTTATACACTATTTTTTAAGTAGCTATTTAATACTAAAATAGCTCTTTTTTTTTTTCTTCTCTAAGATATATCTAGTAAGAATATTTCTTTAAAGAAAAATTAAATAAATATTATTTAGAAAAAATAAATATACTTTTAAAATATAGCTTTTATAGAGATATATAATCTTTTCGTATAATTTCTAAGATATATAAATATACATATCTTAGAAATACATTTTCAAAAACTATGTATCTTAGAAATAATTTTTTAGAAAATATATTCTTAATAAATTGAATATATTCTTAAAAAAAACATCTTCTTAAAAGGTAAATATACTTTTAAAAAAATCGAATATACTCTTGAAAAATATAGTCTTAGATAAATATATTTATAGAAAATACATATTCTTAAAAAACTAAAATAGATTCTTAGAAAATATATTCTTTTTTTTTCTAAAAAAAAAGAATATATACTCTTAAAACAATTAAAGATATTCCTAAGAAAAATAACTTCTAAGATATATATTTTTATAATATATTATAATATATCGAAATATATAGAAATATTTAAAAATATATATATATTTATCTTAGAGAGACTTTTTCAATATATATATCTTAGAAATAAACTTTAAAAATATATAAATCTTAGTAAATAGCCGTAAAATATATTTGTAATTTCTTAGAATATATTAAGAGTATATTTCGCTTTTTTTTTTAGAATATATTTAATATATTAAGAGTATATGTTAACTTTTTTTTTTAAGGACATATGTTTTCTTTAAAGAAGTATATTCGATTTTTTTTAAAAATACATCTTAACTTTTTTTAGAATAAATTTAGTTTCTTAAGAGTATATTTATCTTTTTTTAATATTTTTTTTTTTTTTTTTCAAAAAACACTAAGATATATATTTTTTCTTAAATACATTTCTAAGATACACGCTTTTTAGAGTTGTATTTCTAAGATATATTTATTTTCTATAATATACCATAATATATTTATTTATAAGCGAAATATATAAAAATATATATATCTTAGAGAGACTTTTTCGATATATATGTCGGCTACTTACCGAAATATATATATATATATTTTTCGCAAAATTTCTAAGATATATATAGTATTTCTAAGATATATATAGTATTTCTAAGATATATATAGTATTTCTAAGATATATATAGTATTTCCAAGATATATAAATATATATATCTTAGAGCTTTACGCTATACATATAGTATTTTACTACAAAAATTATATATCTTAGAAATATATTTAAAAAATAATATATATTTTAGAAATAAATTCGAAATATTTGTTTATATTAGAAATAAATATCGAAAAATTATGTATCTTAAAAATAAATTTTAGAAAATTATATATCTTAGAAAACCTTTGTTTGAAAATATATTCTTAATAAATCGAATATATTCTTTAAAAAAAAATCTCTTAAAAAAACGAATAAACTCCTAAAATGTTTTTTTTTAAAAAAAAAACTAATAAATATTTATTAAAAATTGAATATATTATTAAAAGAATATACTTATAATGAAAATATATTTTCTTAAAAAAGATATATATTTTTTGAATATATATTCTTAAAAAATCGAAATAGATTCTTATAAAAATATATCCTTAAAAAAAGTGAAATTTATTCTTAAGAAAAAAAAATTTAGAAAAATATATTCATAAAAAAAAGCGAAACATACTCTTAAAAAAAGGCGAAATATATTTATAAAAAATATAAAGATATTAATAGAAAAAATTCTAAGATATATATATTTTCGAAAATAACTTCTAAGATATACGTATTTTTAAAATTTATTTCTAAGATATATATATTATCTCTAAGATATATATTTTTATAATATATTATAATGTATCGAAATATATCGAAAGATTTAATATATATATATATATATATATATACTATAGAGATTATATTATAAGAAAAATATTCTAGAAAATATCAAATAAATTTTAAAGTATAAAAAAATATTTTTTTTAAAAAATGTATTTCTAAGAGATAAAAATTAATATCTCTAAAGTATATATTTAGTTTTTTATAAAATATATTTTCTTATATAAAATATAGTTAATAGAGAAATATACTAGATAGCTAGTAAATATAGTTATTTACTTAAATATAAACTTATATATACTTTAAATATTTTAATAGGTTATAATATACTATAATGATATATATTTATAAAATTAAACTATTTATTATAAATATATCTTACTAGAAATCAAACTAAAAAAAATATTTTTTAAAGATTAAACTAATATATATAAATATATATATATTAATAATTAAACTTAAAAGTATAGAGACTAGATTAGAATTTTTTATAATATATATATATATATGTTTATTTATATATTTTCTAAGATATATATATATATATAATACTACTAAGATAAATATATATAAAAAGTCTTTCTAAGATCTATTTAATATAGTAAAGTTTAGAAATATTTATCTTAGAAATAAAATAAAAAATTATACTCTTTTTTTTAAGTGTATATTTTACTTTTTTTTTAAAAAAAAATTTACTTTTTCTAAAGATATATTTTCTTTTTCTCTAAAGAATATATTTCGCTTTTTTTTTAAGTTATATTCTTTAATATATATAGATATTTTTAATATTTCTTTATTCGGCTATTTACTAGGATATACAATTTTTTTTTGCATAATTTCTAAGATATATAAATATATATATCTTAGAGTTTTACGCTATATACAGTATTTTATTACCAAAATTATGTATCTCAGAAATATATTTTTAAAAAAAAAACATGTATATTTTAGAAAATTCTCGAAAAATTTGTGTATTTTAGAAATAAATATCGAAAAATTGTTTATCTTAAAAATATTTTTTAAGAAAATATATTCTGAATAAGTTAAATATATTCTTAATAAATCGAAAATATTCTTGAGAAAATATATAAATCAAGAGTATATTTCGATTTTTTTTAAATATACTTAAGATTTTTTAGAATATATCAAGAGTATATTTCGCTCTTTTAAAATACATTTAGGAATTCTTTAGAACTTATTAAGAGTGTATTTTAGCTTTATTTTTAGGATATATTCAGTTTTTTAAGAGTATATATTAACTTTTTTTTTTTAAGATTTTATTTTCTTTAAAAAAATATTCGAGTTCTTTTTAAGAGTATATCTTAACTTTTTTCTTTTATTATATTTAGTTTTTTTTAAGAGTATATTTTAATTTTTTAAAAAATATATTCGGTTTTTTTAAGAGTATGTTTGTCTTTTACAATAACATTTTTTTTCGAAATGATTTCTAAGATATATATTTTTTCTAATATAATTTCTAATATATATATATACATATTCTCGAATATATTGTTAAGATATACGCGTTTTATAGATATATTTCTAAGATATATATTTTTTAAATTTTTTTCTCCAAGATATACATGTTTTTTATAATGTACTATAATATATTTGTTTACAAGTGAAGTATATAAAAATACATAAATCTTATAGACAATTTTTAAGTATATATATATTAGAAATATTATGTATATCTTTGAAATAAAATCGAAAAATATATATATCTCAGAAATTATTTTTCTTAGGGATATCTTTAATTTTTTTTATAAATATATTTCGATTTTTTTATAAGAATATATTTTGGCTATTTACTAAGATACATATTTTTTTATCGTATAATTTCTAAGATATACATATCGAAAAAGTCTCTAAGATTTATTTTTTTTTTAAATATTTTTATATATTTCGATACATTATAATATTATACAAAAATGTGTATCTCAGAAATAAAAATCGAAAAATATATATATCTTAGAAATATTATATATATCTCAGAAATAAAAATTTAAAAATATATGTATCTCAGAAATTATTTTTCTTGGGAACATCTTTAATTTTTTATAAATATGTTTCGCTTTTTTTTTGTAAGAATATATTTCGCTTTTTAAAGAATATATTTCGCTTTTTTAAGAGTATATTTTACGTTTCTTAAGAATATATTTCGCTTTTTTTTAGAGTATATTTTGCTATTTTTAAGAATTTATTTCGCTTTTTTAAGTATTTATTATTTTAAGAGTATATTTCGCTTTTTTTTTTAAAAAAAAAAGAATATTTTTTTTGAGAATATTTACTTTTTAGGAATGTATATTTTCTTTAAATATATTTATTATCTATGACTATTTTTAAGAGTATATTTGATTTTTTTAATAATATATTCGATTTTTTTAGAATATTTTTTTCTAAAAATTATTTCTAAGATACATAAAAATATTTCTAAGATACATAATTTTTTTAAATATATATTTCTGAGATACACATATTTTCGAATTTAATCTCTAAAATATTTATGTTTTTTTTTTAAAAAAAAATATATATATATATATTTCTGAGATACATATTTTTGGTAATAAAATACTATGTATATAGCGCAAAACTCTAAGATAAACATAGTATTTATAATTCTTAGAAATACTATATATATCTCGGAAATTTTGCGAAAAAAAAAATATATGTATCTTAGTAAATAGCCGAAATATATATATCTTTTTAATTAGCTATTTTTTAAGACTCTACTATATAAAAATTAGATAAGTCTAATAATAATAATTGGAGCTAGCTTTAAGTTACTCTTATATTTTCTAGGTAACCTAAATTTATACTAGGTATATTATATTTTCGTATAGAGTAGTAAATTAAATTAAATTTAAGTTTTATTTAGTTTTCTCTAATTTTTACCAATATAAATTAGACGGATTAGAGCGGATTTAATATAGAATTTTAAAAAGTAAGAATCTAACCTAAGCTTATATATATTAAATTACTCTAATATATCTTAGAAGGAATTATATTTTTAAATTTAATAAAAAAATTATATTATATAGGCCTCACGCAAGGCCGTTACTATAGTAATAATAAGGAAGACGAAAAACTTAAATAGCCGGGTCTCCGTATATATCCTAGTAAATAGCACGAGTAGCTATATAGAGATATAAACTAGAGAAAGCGGAGAGAGCTCTTATTAGTTTCCTGTAAGGCTATACTAATTACCTTTATTAGTTAAGTTATCTTATTAATCCCAGAATTCTTAGGCTTCCAATACTGATGTTAATTTTAAAAAATTAAGATGCATATAACAAGGGGTGTGTATCTTAGAAAACAGTCGCAAATGTCTATTATACAACCCATGTGAACCAGAATGCGCCGAACCTTTACACCTGTGCCGCAATGCAGATATCCTTTTCCTGGTTACCATCCTGGAGCGCTCCCACCATCGTCTGTAGGCATTCTCGTGCTTCTGGAAAGCGCGAAATTAAGAACCTCGCTTCTAGGTTCCACGTACTTCCTCAGCTCACCTCTGACCTTGACCGCAAGTGGCGACTCGGAACCAAAGGGATCTATTTGACGGCCCTTGATGAAGACTACCTGATACCTCTCATCATCCGCGCGGCCGTGGGCACGATCAGCTGCGCCAAATGCGATGAGGTTGAGGTGGGAAGAACGCGGTACATCTGACCCGGACATTTGCAGAACTGGCCGGTGGAAGGCAAGCAGCGATTGAGCTATGTTCTGTAGAAGAAGGGTATAGATGCTGCGCGGAAGTCGACCAGAGGAGGGACTATGTTTTGGCCATGTGGTAATGTTGAGCGAAACCAAGTTGGGGAGGTTGTTGAGGTCATCCTGATTGTAATGTTAGTGATTTTATAGTTTTTGTAAAGGGCTATTTTTGGCGAAGGTACCTCGAAGGCGGCGAAACCATCGCTCTTGCCCTGCATTATGCTAGTTTCAGGGAAGCCGATAGACAGTTCTTCTAAATAGGGACAATCTCTGCAAATCTGCCGAAAATCTGCAGTACTGTATACGTGCTCATCTCCATGCGCATCTAGTCCATTATTCGCGTGCACGTTTAGCTGCCTCAGCGTTTTGCCATGTCTAACCACGCCGGCCGCAGCGGGCAACTCTCCAACATTGCAGATGTCAATCGTGAGAGCTTTGAGTCCAGTGACCAGGTAAAGAAAGTTATCAAGCGCATGGAGGGCATCGCTTTCTCGGTTGTCTTCGTGTTTGAATTCGAGTATCTCCAGGCTCTGAGGCAGCTTACTGCTTTTGCTGAGTTCGGCAAAAAGAGTGCATGCGCCCGGGCATTCGAATATACCCAGCTTTTTGAGGGTGACAAACTTGATGGCTCGGCAGTAGGTGTCCGCGGAATAGCGCAAGTGGACTCTTTGCAGCGTCAGCTCGGTGAGCGCCAAAGGCTTGCACTGCTCCAGCGGCTGCATATGCCCGAACAGTTTCGAAGTGATCAAGCCTGGACCGGTGCTCGAGTCGTGAAGCTCACGGGCAGAGAATCCAGCATCGGCGGGGTTGAAGCTGGCATTAATGATTAGATTTTCCACCCGCCTGTTTTTCCGGATGAGGGTGTTGCAGAGATCGAGTACGCCCCTACTGTCAGGGTACAGGCCAAGGGTTCGTGTATGTTCTTCGATGCAGGCGAGGTCCGATGAGTCTTCCAGCTGGTCCAGAATGTTCTTGTCTAGTGAGATAGCCTCAAGCCACGTCATGCGCCTCTGTTTTCGGTAGAGCAATAGCAGGTTGTCAGCGGAGAAAGGCTGCCACGGGTGCCAAGAGAAGCGCTCCAAAATGTTCTCTGGCAGAAACTCAAGAATCATGCGGACGGCGAAGTGGGCCTGTTGAAGCTGATTGCGTTTATCTTGCACTTCGGCAAGGTAGATGTGCAACTGGCGGATATAGTGCAACCCTGCATTGCGGGGGTTTAGGAAGGCGCCCAGGTTGAGGTCAGCCGTGCTGCCGACATCCAGGGTGACTTCGCGATACAACGGGCGGACAGCAATTTGGTGAAATTGCTTGCACGTGAGGCACAAATTCTTGAGGTCGGTAGGGCGAAGGACCTGGGACGGATGCTGTCAGCGCTGGAAGGGCATTTTATCAAAGAATGAAAGCATGCGCACATAGTCGATGATCATAGACCATATTTCCACGGACAAGCCGGTTGTTTTGGTCAGAGGCGTGGGGACAGTGGCGGGAGTGGTGGTAGCCATGGCGGCGTGGATAGCATGCAGGAGGGAAGGAGGGGTGGGGGCGAGCAGCAAAAAGGTCAGCCTTTTATGTAGTATAAGGAATGAAGGAGCGAGGCTTGATTGAGAGCGCAAAAGTTTCCCTGCGCACAACATACGATGTGGCTGCGACCAGACGCCTCGGCGGCCAGACGCCGAAGTGAGCAGACGCCGAGGTGGGGGAGGCGCCTGAGCGTCCACGGAGCCAGGCGATTCGTTAGGCACGGTCCGTCAACGGGTGCGCCCTCTTGCCGATCACTGCATGACTCGTTGCATTCTGCCCGCTTGAAATAGCCCTGACCCGGACGCCTCGCTATGCTCCGCATTGCTACTCTTCTGCCTCGTCCTTTTCAAACTCGGCCAACAGCTCAGCCTCCAGTGCATCTAGCTGCTCCTCCTCCACCCCCTCCTCCTCGTCGCCTCGCCCCTCCTCCGGCCCCGTTGTGTCAGGACTCGGCAGGCCTGATGACTGCCCCGCCGTTGAAACGTTCGCCAGGCTGGTGACGCGCTCAAAGGCCCGCTTCTTCCTTCGCTGCAGCTTGGAACCGCCGCCAACTTTCGTCGCTCCCTCGCCCGCCGCACTGGCATCGCTGTCATCTGCCTCGGAGCTTTCTGCCGACTCGACGTTTCGCTTGCGCTTCTTTCGCCCGCTGGCTTTCGATGCTGTGCTCCGTACGCTACCGTCCGTCTGCGACCCGTCCGTGTCACTTTCGCTATCATCTGTGCCCATGAACTCCTTCAGCTCGTCGTAGACGTCATCTCGGTCTTCCGCTGACAGCCCAACTACCTGCTGGTCCTCGACAGGGGAAGTAGGCATCACTGCGCCCAGCTCTTCGTCCTCGGCAGCGCTTTCTTCTCCCTCACCCAGCTCATCCGTATCCGTATCTGCAGTCGCGCCATCCTCTTCCGAAGACGACAAGACTGGCCCCTCTTCGAGTTCGTCGAGCGGAGAGCCTTGGGAGCCCTGGTGGCCCTGTTCGTCCGGCTCCACGTGGATTAGATGCGGGCCCTCATCTACGCGAACCCATTTGACGAAACATTCCTTCAGCCAGTCCAGAGTTACGATTTTGATGTGTCGGTGACGAGATGCCTGCCGGACCTTCTGTGTCCGGCGGTTCCTGGCCGCAACTACATGGGTAGTCCTTTTAGTAAGCTGCTCAGATATCTGCGCACCGAAACTTTTCGCCCAGACTGCATATTCTGAACTATGTAAGTGTTAGTGGGAGGTGGGAGAGGGTTGAAGAAGAGAGAAGCAGCAGTGCCGCGGACGTACGCTTGAATGTTGGTACCCAGTGGTACAACCCCGGAGAAGACGATTGAGATTCCTTTGAGGACGCTCCTTTTCATCGCAGGCATAATTTGGCCGATGTCCGGTACAACGTCCAGGTCGTCCGCTAAACGTTTTTTTGGGCTCTTGCCACCTCTTAACTGTGCGATTCGGCCGCCCTGAGCACCAGTGACTGTCCGCTCATATTCATCATAGAATGTTCCATGTACATGCCGCAGATTCGCTTCGAGATATTTGAGTTCATCGTCATCATCGTGTAGAAGGTTATGCCGTTGTTTGTGAGCGTCACTGTCTTCACTTAGCTCACCGTTGTATTCTTTGTCGGCCGCTGCCTCATCAACTTTGTCGAGAATTTCCTGTCTCCGAAGCAATGGTTTATCTTCCATTTGCGTCGCGATCGTCTCATTTTGCTCATCCGTCTGCTCCTTCAGGAGCTTTGGGTTGTCTCCTCCACTCATTGCCATAAGTTGTTCTTCAAGAGAAGTCGATTCACCATTGGCCTTTGGCGGTGGAATCTGGAGAGATGGCAAGGATTGCGAGTCTCTTGAAGGCGACGCTCCGGCAGCTGCATCGGCTGACACAATTTCGGCCTTATCTACCGCGGGACTTGGGGGTTCTGACTTCGTCGCCTTACGCGGCGGTGGCTCTTGAGATATGATATCTTGTCGTTTCGGCAGAAAACTGGAATTGATGTCGCCTATTCCAACAAAGAAATCATACGGAGTTACCTTGACCAGGTTGTGGCTCCAACTCCAAACGTCGCCTCGGTCATCGATGATGACGACCATTTTCGTGTCCACCGGGAATATGCGATGTAGTGTCTTGACAGTCAAACTGCCACTTTCATCTCGACTCAAAATCCTATCACCAAAGATCTTGCGCTGCGGATCGACGATCTTGGCAATGTTCTGTGCATAGGCTCGCGTTCCCATGGTGTAAATATGCAACTCATAGATCCTTGAGATTCTTTGCAGGAACTGCCGCAGGCCTGGTCGCAGCTTGATGTAGTACCAGCAGCCCCTACCGCCTGGACCGTTATCCAGAAGTTGGAAAGACTCGACGTCTTTGACCGCATCGTAATTTGGGTTGTCCGGATCTTTCTTCCACTCTGCTACAGTAGGGTCTACGGTTGCATGAATAATGGTCTGGTCCAAATCCACTACCAAGGAGAGTTTTTTATTCGCAAGAAGTCGACGCTTGGCTTCCTCTTCAGCGCGGATTGCCACGTCTTCGCTAATCTTGAGGGCGGTGCTGCCGTGAGCACGTACGATAGTGGCGCGCTCAATATCGCGCACAGTAGTGTTGAAGCTCACTCTGAAGTCATGAATCATCAGCTTCGGCCGAGGTGATAGTGCTCGCGATGTACTCACTCGTCCATATTCTTGCCGCAATTGGCGCACATGCCGCCCCATTGTACTTCGTGATTACATTCTTCTTCGATATCCACGAGCGGAATGCTGTCAAGCCATCAGTCCAGAGCGCGCGTTGGTTTTTAAGGGGCCATGCTCACCCTTCCCGTGTTATGGTTGCGCCCTCCTCTATTTTCCATCTGCGCAAAGTACCTTCCGTCTCAGATTGGAAATCTGCAGGGAACTTCTTCTCGACCTGAAACTCCTCGCCAAACTCGTTACCTTCTGTCACAGTGGTGAGGTAGAAGTACGAGAAGAGCGGCGCGAACCTCTCGACCTTGTCATCCTGTTTCTTCAGAAACTTGGTGACGGTGATGGGATAATGTAAGTTTCTCGGTGACTTGAGCAGCATCCCTTCTCACATGCTCAGCGAGCTCGCTAAGTGGTGGTGTTGTTGGAGGCGCTTTGCTGGTCGCGCGATGCTGTCGCATTCGGCGATGACGATGTCGGCGGGAAGATGGGAGCTTCGCGAACGGTCGGGCAGAAGTCGTACAAGGAAGCGCCAAGATACGCAGGGATTGGTGGGGGAGCAGGCGCGGAGGTATGGTGGAAGCGTGCGCAATTGAATTGACGGCGAAGCGCGTGGGGCGCGCCAGATGTGGTTGTGTCAAAGCTGTGGCTACCTAGTAATCCAATCCAACGCGCGGGTTCGGCGGGGTTAAGTACTGCTTGCCGCTACGCACGTGATTTCCGCTCTCGGCTAAGCCATTGCATGCAGCCGTCACTCTTCGCTATGAGGCCGCTGTCTCTTTGAACATCTCGTCTCCTCACCACACCACCTCAAGCACCAATTGTTCTTGTGCGCGGGCCATCATGCTTTCACTTTGGTTCTAGTCACGCGATAGGCCTATCGCTTCTCCGTCACCAAACACTGACACCGCACGATACAGATGGAAATTCAGACCTTTCCTTTTGATCGACCGAGATATTCGGGGGGTAACATATACGTCCTTTGCAGGACGAAAAAGCATGAAAGTGTTCCAGGTAGCGTGACCTATACCCCGAGCCAGGTGCAGACAGGGTACCACCAGCCGATATAGATACCGCTCCCCATCGCCTATGCCGCGCCTATGGCGTGCAACGACCCATGTAGCGAGGGTACAAGCAGCAGTCCCGAACCGTGTGCTGTTTGCACAGCCAAGCAAGGAAACGCTCGAGACCAAGACCGTAGCCTCCGTGGGGCGAACTGCCGTACCTGTGCAGGATGTTAGTTAGCGTACTCACAAACAAACAGTAGGCGTGTCAAAACTCACTTCCTTTGGTCCGTGTACCAGTAGTACGGCGCTGGGTCGAGGCCTTCGCGCTTGAAGGCGGCCATCAACTGCTCGTAGTCGTCCAGCCTCATGGAACCGCCAACGATCTCGCCAACGCCGGGCATCAAACAATCCACACTCTCGGTGACACGAGGGTCTTCCTTGTCCCTCTGCATGTAGAAGGCCTTAATCTCGACCGGGAAATGGGTCAGGAAGATCGGCCTGTTGATAATATCGGTCATTCTCCGCTCGGCGGCTTCAGCAATGTCATCACCAAATGTGTGCGGTTGACCCTCTTCGTTGGGGATATCGTGCTCCCTGAGCCATTCAATTGCATCGGAGTACTTCATGCGCTTGAAGGGCCGCTCAGGCAGCTTGAAGTCAGGGTTGAGAACTTTGATGTATCCAGCAATGACAGGATCAGCCAGCGTGAGCTCGAGGACACGGCAAATGATATGTTCGAGGTGAGTGAGAAGATCGTCGAAAGTGATAAAGTCCAACTCGGCTTCGATGTGCGTGTACTCGGACAAATGCCTCCTCGTAAGAGATTTCTCGGCACGGAAGGACTTCTCAATGCAGTAGACGTCGCCCATTGAAGGCAGACAAGTCTCGAGATAGAGCTGAGACGACTGCGTAAGGAAGGCAGGCTCGCCATAGTAGTCAAATTTGAACAGAGTCGCACCGCCTTCGACCTGCGTCTGTACCAGCGCTGGAGGGCTGACCTTGCGGACCCTGGTCTCCTTATAGGCCTGGTGGAAGGCGAATTCGATGGCATCGCGGACAAACATGACCGAGGAGGCAACCTCGCCGCGCAGAGTGAGGTGGCGGAGGTCGAGCAGCGTGCTGGGGTCTCCCTTGGCCTGGACCCTGTTGGTGATAGCATCGTCGCCGCCAGCAGCCTTCCATTCGTGGTTGATCTTGTAGTAATCGGCATGCAGCTCGCGGTTGAGAGGTGCATGCGCACCAGCAGGAACCTCGAACATTTCTCCGTAGACCTCCATCGACGTCTCGCGCGTCAAAGTAAGAGCGTCATACGTCTTAGCAAGCTGGCCAGTGATGACACATTGCATGAAGCCGTAGCCATCTCTCAGAGTGACGAACAGAACATCCTTCTGCTTGCGCTCCCGGTGAACACGACCAATGACTCTGACTCTCGTTCCCTTGCTCTCTGCATCTTGCCCGTTGCGTAGCTTCACGTGCGGGCCCGTCTCGTCGAGCTTGATCTTCACGGCCTTGGGAAGGCTGGTGTCCTCCTCAATGACAATCTTCTTGGCCTCCTCCAGCACCTTTGCGCGCTCTGCCTCCTCCTTTTGGCGCTGGACGGCCAGTTCCTGTTCGCGAGCAGCCTTCTTCTTCTGCTGCTCATAGAAGTTGACAGCTTTCTTCAGAGCCGACTTGGCAGCCGGCTTCCATTCTTTCGCAGTTTCATCGTCGGCGCTTTCGGACTTGCGGGTGAGGTACTGGGCCTCGGCGGGGTGCTGGAGGTATGCAAACTGCACCGTCTTGTAGGGCGAGGCTTCAGTGCCCTGCTGGCTCGGCTCATCCTTGCCAATGTCCTCGTCAATGTAGATGGTAGCCATGGTAGATACGATGGCGAAATACAACCGGGGCGAGTGAGAGGGACTTAGTGGATGCGCTGCTTGCTAAAAAGGCGCGCGGTGGGTAGGTACGACTCATAAATGAGATAGTGGGATGAGTCGAAATTCTTATCGGTCCCTCGTTGATCATACGAGTCATGATTCAGCTCAACAACACCTGGTCGGATTAATCATAGCCGGTTTGCTTCATTCCATAGGTACCTAGGTACTACCTAGGTATGTGTTTGTGACAAACTGAAGCCTTTTCATAACTCCATAATATTTAATATTTGCACCGAAGAGCACGACCAAATCATCCAGCAGAGATCCGCTTCTAACACGTGTCCAGCATGTCCTCAAGCGCACTCTTCTCCGAAGACGTGACCGTTAAATCATATACCGACTTAACTTTGACCCATGATTTCGCGTACGTGCAATAGAAGCTGGCTGATGGTGCATTTGTGTCAACATACTCCAATTAGGACTAGGTTTTGACAGAAGTACTCACCCAGCGGGGGTTTCCACTCTTCTGGTCCTTTGTCTCCTTTCGACTGGTTCACGTTATCGGTCACTGCCCACAGCTGTGGATTCGTCAAGTCATTTGCGAACGCTTGACGCTGGCTAGCCGTCCAGGATGATGCACCTGACTGAACCCTTTGTCAGTACCATAGTTCTATTTCGCTTGGACGCTGTGAAAGAGCCACTTTACCTTCCAAGCATTTGACAAGGGCACCATATGGTCGATGTCGACATCGCTCTTATCCGTCCATGTCGCACCGTCGTATGGACTCTCCCAAGTACCGCTCGTAGCAGAGCATGCACTGCTCGTGACAACATTCGTGCCATCGCGTTTGAGAACAGTCTCACGCGTGTCGCAACTCCTGTTCACTTGTTAAGATGCAGCTACACAAAGCTAGTTGGACAAAATCACCCTGAGATGGTTATCCAATGCTTAAATTCCTGGTATCTGTGTCAGCAAAACAATGTGCCAGAAAACTATATATAGATGTTCTACATCACGGCTGTATCCCGATGAAGAACCTTGGGCCTTGACAACTAAGCTTCCAAGTTCGTTCCTCGCCGTAGATTCTGAAGGAATTCCTGGTGCCGTTGGCAGTGGTCGTGGCGCTGGAAGTGCTTGAGTAAGAAAGGCTGCGGAAAACAGAACACCGATAAAAATCCTGATCCGCATATTTGTGGTACAGAAAAGGCTCAGAGATCAGATGGTAGGCTGTTGTTGGATTGATCTCTACAACTATTGGAGTTGCCTCTTGCTACGGCGGGGCAACAACAGAACTTATAGATTCATACTGCCGCTAGCTGCTCAGCTTGCCCCATTTCCCACCGGTGAGCTCCGTGTGTCGTACAATAAGTTGTGGAGATAAGACCACACATGCCACAACTTTTGATTATGATTGGTGTATAGACCAGCGTCCCGAAGATGGATGTGGAAGGTGAATCAAGCGCCAAGTCGTCCCGTAGCAAGGTACTTTAATAAACACGGCTTCTAGTAGAAGTCCCGGGGCGCGACTGCGGAGTGAGCAAGGATAACAATCGCATGTGACCACTGTAGTTGGTCCGCACCCTTGAGTATCAGTGCGGTGCTGGTGTTTCAGATAAGATTCAATAAAGTTCGTTGATAGGGTCCCTGGAACGGCTTCGGTGTTCAAGGCGCGAGCCTCAGAGCCTAGTCAATTTAGTTGAGTCTGCTTTTGGCATACAGAAATTGGACACCCTCAGACCTACAGTGCGAAGTAGACCCTCAGTGCGGACCGAACAGTGCCTAAATCAAGTAGCTACAAAACACAACTGACGACTAGTTATATAAGAAAAATCAAATTGACAATGAAACGATTGTTTCGGCTGCATTTGAAGTTGTATGCAACATGCAATCCGGTCAAGATCCATTCGACCGTGGTTCGGAATTATCGTGGAGCGCAGCACAACAGGCGCACTCACACAGCTGCCGAGGTCACGTTGGGGAAGAACTCCAAGGCGGTATATGCCATGTATTCCATGACCAGCGACTCCGGAATGGTTGACACCAAATGAATGATTTAATTATGTGCATCAACATTCTATTTCTGACTTAAGTCTTCCCTCTATCGCAAAAAGGTGGGAACAAATACTTCCCAACGCTTTCCCTTCACCCGTAAAGAGAGGGTTGGACAGCCAGAGAATTCGTGTTGAATTGAACCCCCTAACGCCAACGCCCATATAAGGGCGGAACCTCTATCAGCCAGCAAATAGCAGCTCTTGCGGTTGCAAGCTCTAGAGTCTATGTTGAATACTGGAGGATTTGCTCACACAACTATGCAAAACCCATTTTGGTATCCCTGACGCCGATTATTTGTTGAAAAACCAAATGTCCCGTCATGACGTTGAGTCATTAAATCATAGGTAAAGCGTATCTAGAACTGCAGCTCCTTGGGCTGCTCCCAGGTGAAGCTTTGGTCCGAGAAGTGGCCGTTCTTGGCAGTCTTGCAGTAGATGGGGTTTGTCAGGTTCAGCTCCTTGACAATAACACCGGGCCTCAGATCAAAGTTGTTGCGGAGGATCTCGACAAGCTCATCCGAGGACTTGTCAGAAGTGCCGTAAGTCTCGACGAAGATGGAGAGGGGCTCGGCGACACCGATGGCGTAAGAGAGCTGGACCAAAGCACGGCGGGCAAGACCGGCCTTAACAAGAGACTTGGCCATCCAGCGACCGAGGTAGGCAGCAGAACGGTCAACCTTCGAGTAGTCCTTGCCAGAGAAGGCTCCACCACCGTGGGCGCCCCAGCCACCGTAGGTGTCAACGATGATCTTCCGGCCAGTCAGACCAGCATCACCCTGGGGACCACCAATGATGAACAGGCCGGAGGGTTGAATCTAGAAACGGTTAGTCTGATAGATCATGTCAAATAAATCTATGAGGACTCACGTGGTAGACGGTCCGGTCATCGAGCAAGTGAGCCGGAATAACCTTCTGGATGATCTTTTCCTTGATCTCCTTGCGGAGCTCCTCAGTAGAGATGGTCTCAGCATGCTGGGCACTGACGACAACAGTGTCGACACGCTTGGGAACAACGGCGCCGCCATCGTGCTCATACTCGACCGTGACCTGGGTCTTGGTGTCGGGGCGCAGCCACGGGAGGGAGCCGTCGTTCCTGGCCTCCTTCATAGCAGCATTCAGCTTGTGGGACAGCTGAATGGTCAAGGGCAGCAGCTCGGGAGTCTCGTCGGTAGCATAGCCGAACATGATACCCTGGTCACCAGCGCCAAGCTTCTCAAGAGCCTCGTCGTAGTGGAGACCCTGAGCGATATCGGGCGACTGCTGCTCAATAGCAACGAGGACGTTGCAGGTCTTGTAGTCAAAGCCCTTGGCGGAGTCATCGTAACCAATGTCCTTAATGGTGTTACGGATGATCTTCTGGTAGTCGAGGTGAGCCTTGGTGGTGATCTCGCCGAACACCATAATCATGCCAGTCTTGGTAGCCGTCTCGCAAGCGACCTTGGAGAGGGGATCCTCCGCCAGGCAGGCATCGAGAATGGCATCCGAGACCTGATCGCTGTTGTGGGGGAGGAAGTCAGCAAAGGCACTCTCTGGTCAGAGTGGGGAGGAGGGGACGCACGCAATCTTGTCGGGGTGACCCTCACCGACGGACTCGGAGGTAAAGAGGAAAGTGCTCTTGGGCTTATCGCCATTGACAGCGCCGGCAGCCATTATTGCGAGTTAGAGGAGCGTTGCGAGTTGGAGGGAGTAAAGGGAAGGAGGTGAGAAGGAGGCTGGTGAGGGAAAGAAAGAGGGAGCGGAGAGAAAATAAAGTAAGAGCAGCGGGACCGGCGACTTTAGACGCGCTGGGGAAAGAACAATCCTGGGCTAGCCGAACAATTTTGCCGTGCCGCATCAGTCACATCATTTGTTTTTTTCCTCACCGCCCCCCGCGCCGCCCGCCGTACTGCCGTCGTCCTCCGACTGGCCGAGATTGGATGGGATAGGTACCTAGAGTAGGTAATACACCACCAACATTCACCGCCACGATCCTCAGCTGCTCCCTCACGTCAGCTCCGAGGCCGCCACCCGATACTTTGCCTGCGAGCCCGGCGTTCGGTCCTTTTCAACAAATAATGTGGTGGTTGGCGCTTCCTCCGCTCGTCTCAACAAAGTAGTCGTCCAGCTCATTGTCGACTTTAGTAATGTCTCTTTTCTACATCTTCATGTACCAGAGAGGGATGTCCTGAGCGCGATCCTGAGCCATGTTGCCAATATTGTTCGGTATGTCGAGACTCGGGACCCGAGGGAACCGATGGATGAAATTAACGTCGATAGAGGTGAGTAAGGATCCAAGTTGAGGCCACCCTCATGTCTGAATACTTTTTTGTATCGGACGGGGCTTTCTTGGGCTCGAAAAAGCATGGCATAGCGGCGGCGTTGATGTATCGGAGGTGTTGTGATATCGTTAAGAACACATGGCTTTTGCGGCAACCGTGGTGGCCTACACAACAGTTCAGCAACTCCTATAGATGGACTAGCGCAATGCTTTTGCGCTTGTCGGAGTGGATTCATCGCGCGCAAAAGCGGTTTAGACTTTGCTGGTCATTGCCAGGCGTAGGACGTTTGAAGACAGTCAGGCCTTATGGATGCCGACATGGCAGTGTACTCTTTGGGGTTTCTCTGCAAAACTCTAGCTGGCCCTGACTGGCTTGTGTGCAAATAACGTCAACTTAATGCAGGTACCTTGCAGGTCCGCGGATGTAAGGGCGCCGACCGGTTGGATCTATCACGCCAAGTTGGCGAGTCCGGATGATGTTCCGCCACGCACCTTTCAGGGCCGCAATTCCATGATTGGCGAACATCAGCAATCTATCTCACACATTTGCGCATCATACGGCAAGTCATACTATATCTCTGTTAAGTTCTTCTTTTTCCATGGCGTGCATTAGTTGCTCGTTTCTTTGCCTTCTATTAAATTACTTTCTCGGCTCATTTGCTGTCACTTCCGGCGGCCCACTCGTTCGTTCACGTGGCACTTGACCTTTGTACTTTTACTCACAACAGGTGATTGGTCTTCGGCGAGCACGTCATGACGGAACTGCAGATAGTGTGTCAACATGTTCAGCCGTCACACTCGTTGCACATCCGCTTTTGACACAAACCATTATATTCTGGGACAGCCCGACGGCAGAATGAGTTTGCTTCCGCAAAGCTGCCTAACGGCACGCTGTTCCGTGCCAAAGGAGGAGTTCTACTCGGATCATCGTGGTTCGAGGCAGATGTCAACCGCATCGGCAAAGCGGTCCCGCAAGCCGGAATGTTGCCATGGTGGAACCATGAGAGGAACAGAAGACATATAAGAGAGCATAGTTGCATCCCTTTGCCGTACCATCTGCTCATACACAGGCGCAGACACACAGCCAATTTGTTTGTTGGCATCTTCATGGCATTGCAGCCCTCCTTTGGCAAAATGAAACTTCTCTCAGCTCTTGCTGCAGTTACACTCCTGCCAGTGGTCCATGCCCAAGTTGCTGCATGGGGCCAGTGTCAGTTAGCACGTCTTACACAGGCATACTCATATCTAACAGTATATAGGCGGTGGTACCGGTTACAGCGGCTCAGCAACATGCGCTTCATCCTATACCTGCGTCAAGGTCAATGAATGTAAGAGTATTTTTCCAGAACTGCTCATTAGGAAAGAAACCAATGTTAGTTAGACTACAGTCAGTGCCAACCTGGTAGCGCAACTGGTCCTGCTTCGACTTCCGCCGGTGGGAACACGAGCGTCCCTTCTACTACATCTCCCCCAAGCGGCACCACTTCAGCACCCGCTGCTGCCTCGGGAAATCCAATTTCCGGATACAGCTTTTACGCCAATCCCTATTATGCGTCTGAGATTCTCAGCTCTGCTGTGCCATCACTGAGTGCCAAGGGCAGTGCCAGTTTGGCCGCAAAAGCGACTGAAGTTGCTAAAGTTGGAACTTTCTACTGGCTGTAAGTTGAGGCAAATTACGTTGAACTTCTCTGGAACTTACACCATCACAGTGACACCAGAGGCAAGATTCCTACAATTGCCACCTATGCCGAGGATGTACAGAAACAGAATGCTGCGGGAGCCAAGCTGGTTCTCCCGCTGGTTGTCTATGACCTTCCAGATCGTGACTGCTCCGCCCTGGCATCTAACGGCGAACTATCCATTGCGGATGACGGTATCAATATCTACAAAACGGAGTATATTGATGCCATTGTGGAGCAAATCAAGGCATACCCAGATGTGAAATTCGTACTTGTCATTGGTAAGGCACAGCGATAAGGTACACCGTGGATATGTTGGCTAACAACTGCCATAGAACCAGACAGTCTAGGCAATTTGGTGACAAACCTCAATGTCGAAAAGTGCTCCAATGCACAGGACGCCTACAAGGAATGTGTCGCCTATGCAATTAAAGCCCTCAACCTCGACAATGTATCAATGTACATTGACGCTGGCCATGCTGGATGGCTAGGGTGGGATGCGAACATCACGCCGTCGGCCCAGCTCTTCGGTTCAGTCTATAGCACTGCGGGCAAGCCTGCTGCTGTTCGAGGCCTTGTTACCAATGTGTCCAACTACAACGCCTGGAATAGCACTACCTGTGCTTCTTATACCTCTGGAAACAACAATTGTGACGAGCAGAAGTACATCAACGCCATTGCACCGCTTCTAACCTCTAATGGCTTCCCGGCGCACTTCCTCGTTGATACTTGTAAGCAGTACACAGTCTACTATACTTTTGAATTACAAACACTGACATAACCTAAAGCACGCAACGGCGTCCAGCCGACGAAGCAACAAGCATGGGGTGATTGGTGCAACGTTATTGGTACTGGTTTTGGCATCCGCCCAACGACTGCCACCGATGATCCACTCCTGGATGCCTTTGTCTGGGTCAAGCCTGGCGGAGAGGCAGATGGAACCTCTGACAGCAGTGCCGCTCGTTACGATGCTCACTGTGGCTACTCTGATGCACTCCAACCGGCGCCTGAGGCCGGTACCTGGTTTGAGGCTTACTTTGAGCAACTGCTTGTCAATGCTAACCCGTCCTTCTAAGTTTCTAAGTGAGGGATCTACTAAGGCTTTCCTAGCATTCAGACAGCAACAACCGCCGAGTTTTGAGGGCACTATTTTTCGTTAGTAGTAGTAGCAGTGGTGTTTCTGTCTTTTCGAAATGTAGTTAAAGATCGTTTAGCTCATATTTACTATATACACTCACTTCGAATATGGACGGATTTGTTCTAGAATGCTAGTATAGATTCTCAGGATACTGGTTATTTATAGTGTGCTGTCAGTATCCTAGACTGAGGGTTTGGTAACAAAATCCAACTGATAAAGTTAATATATATATCAAGACATTTTAGAGTACAATGAAGTGATGTAACAGCATTGTCTACAGGACAAAAATATTCAAACCGACCAAATATAAATATTATTGATCGGCATGATGACTAGCTACTATTTTACCGAGCCTCGGTCCGAGTGATAAGGTGTTTCGCAATCGGCTCTGGTGACATCACTGGAGTACAGTGGACAACACCAAATCTTTATCATCTACAGTTTCAACGTACCTGAAGCCTTTGCCCAGCCATTGCCCTTACGCTCTACAATACCGACAATGGACACTTCCAGCGCTTTTGAACCAGCCGACATCTTTTCCGCCAAAGGGCTAGTTGTGGCCATCACCGGCGGAGGAAGTGGTACAGAACCCTTCACAACCTACCCATCTTGTGCCGGACCCAAAGCTAATCAAGACCGTCTACCAGGGATTGGCTTAGCCATGGCATCGTCGATACTCCAAACAGGTGCCGCAAAGGTGTATATTCTCGGTCGGCGCCTTGACGTCCTCTCCTCCGCTGCTTCTTCCATTGATCCCAGCAAAAAAACTGTCGTTCCTTTGCAATGCGATGTAACATCCGTTGAATCGACCAGATCTGCAGTACAGCAGATCGAGCGCGAAGTTGGCTATTTGGATGTACTCATCAACAACGCTGGCCTCATTGGACCGCCGAATAAACCAGCCTTGGAGGCACAGAATGTTGAAGAGCTACAAAAGGTACTGTTAACAGGATTTGAAGATGGCTCATGGGAAAGCACATTGAAGGTCAACACGGCCAGCATTGTAGCCGTTAGTGCGTCGTTTCTCCTTCTGTTGGACAAGGGCAACAAGCGACGCGGCTGGCAGAGTGGAAAGATTGCACCAGAAGAGACAAGAAAGAGAAGCACCGAAGGACTGAAAGACATAGGAGTCGGCGAGGATGATTTGCGGACAAGTCAAATTATTACCACCGCCAGTATTGCAAGCTTTAATCGCCAAGTAACTGCTGGACTGGCATACAGTGCTAGCAAGGCGGGAGCAGTTCACATTGGCAAAATGCTCGCAACTCTACTGCTGCCTTGGGGAATCAGGAGCAATGTTATTGCGCCCGGAAGTAAGTTGGAGTTGACGAGTGGGCTTGAATCTAAATTTGAATATGCGGTGGTGACTAACGGCATGATACTGCAGTCTATCCCTCCCAAATGACTGGAGAGTCAGACCAAACTTTCCCCCTCAACCAAGTTCCCGCCGGACGAAAGGGAAACTTCAATGACATGGCAGGCGTGACGCTCTATCTTGTCGGAAAAAGCGGTGCATATGTCAATGGAAATGTGGTTGTGACTGATGGAGGTCGTCTCAGCGGCTTTCCTTCGTCCTATTGATCATGCTGAAGTCAAAGCCGACAATTCAGAATTAGACAGATGTCCTCTTTTTATTGAATGTCAAAACGACCAACATGGAAGGTGTTGCATTTTAAACACGTGTTTCGAGCATCTCTTCAAGTACTTCCTCCGCCTTTTTCGCCTCTACCCTGCCTTCGTCGCCTCTACGAATCATTTGCCCCAGGAGGAATTTCAGTTTTCCTTTTTGTCCTTTCGTCTTGATTGCTTCTATTGCGTCCGGGTTATCATCCAAAATTTCGCCTGCCAATGCAAAATATTCCTCACGAGACATCGGACGCAAGAGGAGATTTTCATCGTCAATAATTTGTCTGACGGGACGATCATCGCCATAGAAAACGGTCGAAAGCAGTTGCTTGGCAGTTGGGCCGGTTATTTGTTTCCTAAGCAAGTGCAGGATGATGGAAGCTAACTGTTCGGAAGAAACAGTGTTCTCAGTCCAAGAGATCTCGGCAGTGGTGAAGAGTGCACCAAGTTCCATCAACAACCTATTTCGAAGTAAGCTTTGCTTTGCTCAGTGGATAAAAGCTCTCCACGCGGGATAGGATCGCGCGGATGTCAACTTTACCCACCAATTGCCAGCCACCCTTCCTAGCTTCATCGAAGAACGTTCATCAGCCGTAGTCTGCTGATGTAGAATATCTACTACCTCGAGGTAATAGTCTAGTCTGTCTCCAGTGTCGAGGCGAAGGAGATTCTTAGCATCTTTCATGAGCATCCCGTACTTAGGATTGTCAACGAGCATTTGTGTGATCTCATCCGGCAATGCCGGTAAAGTATGGCGGATCCTTTGAATCAATTCCTGCAACAGCAATGAATCATGGTATGCTTCAAGTCCTCGAACGGAATCACTTACTTCTCCGATAAGTACCGCTCCCAGATCTGGGTCAGGCATGTAGCGGTAATCGACTTCACCCTCTTTACCTCTGAGTCTCCGTGTCTCTGTGCTGCCGAGGGTCCATCCGCGTGTTTCGCCTTCGATGACTCCACCCGCCTTGAGGACTTCGATCTGACGGTTTCTCTCCGCTATGATTGCATCCTCAACCGCCTTGAAACTACTCAAATTCTTGATTTCAGTCCGTTGACCCAACCCAGTGACACCGTAGTATGAATTGTTTGACCCTTGGCTTTCGGAACTAAGTCGCTCGCGTACAGAGACATTGACATCAGCACGCAAACCACCTGCTTCCATGCCGGCTGTGACTGCATCGACGGATCTAAGTATGGCTTGGATTTTTCTTACACATGCCGCGGCGGTCGATGGGTGGTGGATGTGTGGAAGAGTTATGATTTCGATTAACGGATGGGAAACTCGATTAAAGTCCAGTAGATGAATGCTTGGAGGCTGCTGTATAGATTTGGCGGTATCTTGCTCCATTTGTACCTGTTTAATGCCAATTGTAATGGACTTGCCATCTTCAGGCGCGATGCCATCGTGATCGTAGAGTGTGAGCTTGCCATCTCGAGCCAAAGGCTCTTAGAAGAAGTTAGTACAACGCAAAGACGGGTGACTTTTTAACGTCTGATGCGCATACCATAGTATTGAGTGATTTGGTAACCGGCTGGTTGGTCCTGATAGAAATAATGCTTTCTATCAAAACTGCTTTTGGTCTGGATATCGCAGTCCAGTGCCATTGCTGCGCGTAAAGCGGGGATAAGAGTCTCGCTCTGGAACTGCGGCTGTGTTCCCGGGAAGGCAACATCGAACAGGGCGACATGAGAGTTTGGAAGCTCATTGCTGGACGTGCCAGCCCCTGAAAAGAGCTTGCGAGCGGTATTGAGCTCTGCATGAATCTCGATTCCCACGGTTAACTCCCACTTTTGCAACCTTGGATCTCCAGCCTTGGACTTGGATATGGTAGTCTGTCCTTGGCCTTCCGCTTTTTTCCTCTTGGCCTCTTCTTTCTGGAGTTTCCTAAATGGCACCAGATCGTCGGCTTTGGACTCAACGTGCAAACACCGCATCGAGTAGCGCGACACGGGGGCGCGGATACCCATTGACTGTCTCAATGGCTGCAAACATGATTGGCATACAAGCGACTGTTGTCGCAACGTCCTGCCAAAGGCCGCCTTGGAGCAAGCCGAAAGCATGTTGTTGAAGCTTTGCGGTCTGGGGTCCGAGGTTCGGTCAAGCAGCTTGCGCGACGCGACGCGATGAACCTACACGAAAAAGTTCGGTCCGCGTCATGCACGTTTTGACCACAACTTTTTGTCACTATCTCAACAACCGCACAAAATTCATCAACGATGCACACAGAGTTCCCTATTTGATGATAATGCTAATTCTGCTCGTAGGCCGACAATTTCCGTCGACTGGCTGCCAGAGGTGCTGCTCAAATTTACTCATCACCAGCTTCGCTAAAACCCGAGGAGCTTTCAGAGCCATCGTCCTTGGCTTTTCTTCCTCCAGCACCCTTTTTTCCGCCCTTGTTCCCCTTTGCTTTTTTCTTCTCCTCCCTCCTATCGACCTGATCCTGAACTCTCTCTCGTTCACTTTTGCCTTGCTCCTGTAGTTCCATTTCCAACTTCTTGAAATCGTCGCCCTCAACATCCATGCCTATAAGCTCCTCCAGCATTTTGATTTCTCTTGCCCATACGCCTTTGTCATCGATCTTCTTTCCTTTGGGATCATCCGGATTCGGTACGTCGATCGGAGTCTCTAGCACCATTGGAAGGCCATGTAGGCGAGGCTCATTCATGATGTTGTGGAAAGCTCGGAGACCAAGACATCCGGTGCCTATGTTCGCATGTAGATCCCGGCATGAATTGAGGGGCGCTTTGGAGTCGTTTATGTGTAAGGCCTTGAGGAAACGTAATCCGATAGTATCATCGAATTTGTCAAGCGTGGCCTTGAAGGAATCGGGGGTCCGAAGGTCATAACCTGCTGCGAAAACATGGCAGGTGTCCAAGCACACTCCAACACGGTCTTTATGCTCAACAAGGTCAATTACGGCTTTGAGCTCCTCAAATGTCCCACCGATCGTGTTGCCTCCTGTGACAGCCATGGTTTCCAGGAGAGTGATAACATCACCGGACAAAGGATCCTCATGTGCTCGGTTCAGCTGAGTCGCCAGGTGCTGCAGTGCCTCTTCGCGACTTGAGCTAGCACAATTTCCTGGGTGAAAATTGTAGAGTTTGATGCCTAGTTCGCGGCAGCGGGACAAGTCGTCCAAGAACGAGTCGTATGCTTGCTTTGTCCGCGTAGCATCAGTGTGACACAAATTCACAAGATACGAGCCATGCGGAACGACATGATGCGCGTTGTCATACTTATGCGTATCACAGGAAGCTTTAAACAACTTTACGTGATCCTGAGCCAACGGTGGATTTGCCCATTTGCGTTGTGACTTGAGGAAAAGGGCAAAGGCATTTCCGCTGCGAGCTATTAGCTAGGCTGTATTTATAAGGAATGAATGATCTCATTAGTTTTGGAGTCCGACTTACCCTATGTGAAGACAGTTGGTGATTGCATTATGCACGCCTGTAAATATTAATGTCAGAGCCCGTTCAGATGTAAACGATAAAGGAAAATAGCGATTGTACCCCCTGCGGCACTAACGTGAGCACCAATAAATAGCTTAGACCCAACTGTTCTAGCAGCGAGCGGCATAGCTTCCAGTGCTTTTTCTTCCTTGGTCTTTCTTTTTCGCTTGACTTGCTTCAACTCAGTACCATCTGCTTCCGGTTGCACCTTTGTTTCGACTTTATCCTCAACAGAAACTTTGGCTTTCGTCTTTGCCTTTTGAGCAGGTTCCTTCGGAGTACTGTTGGTAGAGGATTTTACGCTTGTTTTAACTTCGGGTGTCGTTTTATCTTCCTGGGATGCAGCTACCCTCTTGCTCTTGCGCGCTTGGCTTTGCTGCTCCGGTGCTGGTTTGGAGAGCGGGTAAACTTCTTTCGTCTCAGACTCTTCGATGTGTTCCAACTGGGGATCCCCAGTAGCTCTTTTTATTCTTTTCACGGACGATGTCACTTGTTCCGCCTCACGCTTGCGACTGGCAATTGCGGTTGTGGTGACTTCGGATGGAGGTGGCGCCCTAAAATCTGTAAGATCTGGGGAAGTAGCACCTGTTTCCGGCGGAGGAGACGAGAGCTCGGATGATGAGTTGGCCATTGGTGCAGTTGGCAAAAAAAGAGTGAGGCCAAGAAGACAAGATCGAGGCTCGACGCCAGGACGCGTGACGCAAGTGGTTCAAGAACGTTTGGACCGCGGATTTGCCGACCACAATTGGCGAACAACCTACTAGCCTTCCAAGAACAAGGGTAACAACTATGCCAACTGTGATTTTTACGCTGCACCAATCAGCGTAGAGGCAACCCCCGTCAGCGCAGCTTCCAAAATAAATATGGACCTTAGCTAGTGTGCTCTAAAATTTCGAGTGTGAAATATACGGTAGTTTCATCCGAGTGAGGACAGAACTTTATCGTACCTATGTATTCTCCATAGGTAGGAGTAGGGTGTCGGGACGATCTTTACATTCCTCTATATTCCACTGGCCCCTAAAACGGTTGGCCGGACTGGTATCTGCTATCGTACAAGTTCCAAGAAAATTCGTTTCTAATCGTCTGCGCCGTGTAGGTTCTTCTACTCCTCACGTCATACTCCAGACAGTGGCCGTATTTCAGCAACCCACGTCCCGCCCTGTCGCCCCTTTTACACTATACAGACACATCCGGTATGCCATTCCTTTACCTCACGCCTAAAATATCTGGTCTGTCGAGATCGAACGGATCGCTCTTTCCTCTTGTTTCGCGGTTATTGGTTGTCGCGCGGCGACTGCTAATACCGCTTTTGCTACCACTGCGCCCGGGACCAAAATAGGAGCTACGGTCGCTGTATGTCGTGGGTAGCGGGTTGGAGGACCGCGTGGACGAGGTAGACATTGATCGGCTAAGAGAGGAGCGATTGATGACTACCGCGTTGGCGAGTGGAATGCCGGATTTCGGACCATTACCGCCATCATTTAAATTAGATAAAGTGAACGGGTTAGGTAGCGATTCAAAATCAAATGCATTGCGGTCATCAAAGGGATTTGCTGCAGGTTTGAGGGGTGAGATGTGCACCGAGGCCTGCGGGGTGTACATCAAACCTCCTCCATCGGCGGAGTAAAATGATGATGTTGGATGAGACAATGCCGTGGCATGGCTCTGTGAGCGGTTCCGGTACGGAGCCAGCAGCTGAGATGATTCGCGCTGAATCTCATTGTCTTCTATACGGATGGTCTGCCGTTGGTTGGGAGATGGATCCAAGAATGGATCTTTGGGCTGCGCAGGCAACGGGAATTGGAAGTCAAGTGTAGACTGTCTCCAATTTGGTGTCCCGGGGGTGAGAGGTGTCCTTTCCGACCGAAGTGTCTTGGCTTTAGTACTGACAGAGTTTCCGGGTGAATCCGGATTTGTGATACGGAGCTCCGATCTGTCCGGGTCTCTGAAAGGGTCCTCCGCGGTTTGGACTGGTAGGACTGGAAGAACTGGTGGTGTTGGGGTAAAGAATGAGCGCACACTATCCGTAGACGTTGGACGTGCCCGGCCCAACCGTCGCCTGAAGCGGTCCTTGACGCTCCGAAGTTGATTCGCCAATGGAGCGCTGGCTGAGCGGAGATGACGAGTTGATCCGGCGGAGCTGGCGGAGAATCGCGATCCGCCGCTTCTTCCGTCAATGTACGGCGAGTTGGTGGTACTCCTGGCACCTTGATCTACCGCCTTCGGACGTCTAAAAGTCGCAAATAACGCACCAAAAAAGCTCGATCCCCCTAGCGTTCCCGTGGCAGGGTGTGTCAAGCCTCCATTTCCATCACCAGGTATTTTTTCATTAGACGGTGTTTGGCTCGTAAAGCCTCTACTCCGTCTCCTCCGTCGGACGCAGAAGAAAAGTAACAACGCAGCAATGGCTGTGCCGACAAGTGCGCCTATTATAATTCCTGCGATAGCTCCCGGCGACAAGGATGCTGCGCTGTGGCTATGGGAGGAGTAAGTTGCATCGGCCGTTGGTGCAATGGCAGAATGCAATGAAGTAGATTGCGACAGAAAGCTTGTGGAAGATGAGCCGTCTGTTGCGACTAAAGTAGAGGAATCAGATTCTACTCTTGCAGCGGATGGGGGAGTGGATGCGCTGGAAGAAGGGATGCGCTGTGCAGTGGATTGCGCGGGGGCAGAGGTGGAAGCAGCAGCGAGAGATGACACAGAAGGACTCTGCGTACCAACGGTGGTAGAGGTGGCGGGAGTGGTCGAAGTGGGCGCGCCGGCTAAGAGGGAGGTGGTGGCGTTTCTCCGCACGCGGGTACAGCGCCTGCCGTCGACGGTGGTGATGGACTGCTGGGGAGAGGCCATCCATGCAGAACAGGAAGGACATTGAGGAAAGGCTTGGAGAGAGGGAAAGGCCGGCAGACGGGATGTAGACAGAAGAAATGCGGAGGCGACATGGCTCACAGAAACACATGAAGCCGGCCGCGTTTCAGGCGGCCGGTTCGGGCATGGGCGGCGTCTTGGGCGCTTCAGCGCTGTCGCTGCCGCCGTCTCATCGCCGCCCAGTGGTGTTGCGCTTCCCGTACGCAGTAGGTCCTTTCCCCACCCGCGCGGCACGGGCGCCGTTCCCCTAGCCTGCCCGCTCCCTGCATATGCGGACGTGCCGACGTGCGGACGTGCGTGCGTGCGCTGTGTGGGTGAGGTGAGGCCACCATTTCCCTCGCGAATCCTCCCGCAGCATCCATCATCGACGCGACGCGACGACCATGTTTGGCTTTGGTGGAAGCAGTGAGTCCCCGTCCCTCGTCCCGCTGTGCGAGCATCGGGCCATCACGTGACCGCTCTGTCCGGCTTCCCGCTGACTTGCTGCTCCCAGGCACTCTTCTTGCCGGTAGGCACGACTCGGCCCAAGAACGCGCGCCGCCGGACTTGCCTACGCCCATCGCCTTCCCCCATTTCAAGCCGCCGCACCAAGACCCCCAGTGCTGGTCCGACACTGCCCGCCCGTCGGCTTTGTTCCAGCGCTTTGCGCGTGTCAAGAAGCCCTCAGACATCTCACTCGACCACTTTGCTGCACTGAACATCGCGTTTGAGCCAGAATGCGGCTTTGACGAGATCTTGTCTGCTCTTCCCGATGGTCCCTCGTTCTTACCTCCCAAGTCATGGCTTGAAGATCCTGCTACCGACGCTCCCGAGCCGTATGCGGCCGCCAAGTATGCTTTGAGCAGCGGTAGGCCGTATCCTGGCCGCGATGATTTCGTGCTCCGTTTGAAGGAAGTCACTATAGATAATCATGATGCCTTCAGTGCTCTCACGCGTACTCCACCCCCTGGAAAGAAGCCACCTCGCCTTGCTCACTTCAGACGTTTCTTCGAGGGCTTGGACAACATGGCCTACTACTGGGATTCCAGTCTGGATGAATACATACCGCCAAACCCAGAAGGCCAGCAAACCGGCTCCAACGGAGGTACGGTCGGTCCCGAGGCGGCTAGCAAACAGAAGCTAGAAGACGGAGAAGCTGAGACTGTCAAGTTGGAATCCACGCATATCGACGAGTCCGAGCCGCGCAAGAAGGCCAAGACGGGACCATTCGGTGGTGAAGATGCACAGGCCCCAGGCCAGTCCGTAAAGTTGGCCCAACGTCCAGCGAGCACACCAGCCACAGACACCAGCTCACAGGCTCCGACCGGCACCTACAAAGGACTCCGCATCGGTTCCGGTCGAGGCATGCCCGATAGCTACCGCACTGATACTATCCGCTCCTTTGTTGAGCCCATCGCCTGGTCCTTCAATCTCACTCTAGCGCCACATCGCCGGCCACCTGCTCTGCAGGTAGAGAACTTACGTATGCCTGTTCGCGTCAGTGTCGGGCTATGGAAGCCTAGCACAGATCGGACAAAGGCGCGGCAAGGCTGGTTGACAGGACCAGTCGCTGGCATAAGGTCGGGGGATTATGTTGATTTTGGAAAGAGTGACGGAACTGACCAGCGTGGACAGCAAGAGGCTTTGTTGGACGTGATGCGTGAGATTGGCTCGTTGCTCAGCATAGCTCAAGAGCGGGCTCGCGAAGGCCGTAAAGAGCGAAAACCCGGTGAGGGGTGTTGGTGGACCACCGTACCCCGTTGGGGTGGCGGCAGTGGTGGTGAGGTTGGAGAGGGCCGTGGTGATAGCGACGGGCCCGCTCCTAAGTCCAAAGATGCCGAAAAAGAAGGCGAAAAGCCAAGGAGTTCTTCAAGCAGGCGAGTTGCAAGTAGGAAAAAGTCTGCTGCAGAAGCCTGGGCCGAGTTGAAGCCTGGCGCTGGCTTCTGGGATCCTAAGGTTGACTACGAAGCCACGGGAAAAAACAAGCAATCCGAGTGGGACGATGTAAGCCCTTGTTCTTACGACGTCATACTTATACCTTGAGCACAGCCCCTGACACCCTCATCCAGCCAGTCCGCACGCAATTGCTAACAACTGATCTGCCGTATAGGTGTTCGTTTTCTCATCCCTGAATACCCATGTTTCGCTTTTGCATCTGCATGTGCACCCGGCCTACATTTCTTGGCTTGAAACCGGAAGTTTGCCTTCCCCCCAACCTGCAGACCCCTCTTGGTGTCGACCAGTGCTCCGTCGCACGCGTTGGTATGATTTTTTCAACGTAGATGACCGTGTCGAGGCCATGCGAGGTAGCTGGGGAGTTCTCGGGTATTTGGCAAGAAGACAGGAAAACGTCGGTGAAGACGGACCGGATGTTGCCATGGGCAACGCTTAATCTGCAAGACGGGACGTTCGTGAAGATGGTAAGATATGCATGCGGCGATGTGATGGGGACCATTTGACAGGGAACCATGAAAAGGCATTGCCAACGAGTAAAACTATACGGACGAGATAACTAAACTATCCATTCCCCAAAAGAGCCTCTCTGCTGGTCAGAACGAGATTGATAGGCTGATAACGGGATTCGGTTCGGTTCTAAAACACAACTGCCAGAATAGTCTTGGAACAATTCAGGCACTTTTCTTGTTCTCGGCACTCGTAACCCCTTTTTTCTTCTGTGCCATTTACTTAAATAGCTTCAGACGTAGAGGCAAAGGCTGCCCCATCCATGTTGCACGTTGCGTGTGATCTCTTTCGTCTTCCCCTGTGTTAGGATGTACGAGTGCAGACAGTGGACCACGGTTGATCACCAGCCAGGGGATGAATGCACCGAACTGCTCCGGGGTGAAAAGATTTACTTCGAACATGCCAGTGATGTGCGGCCCAATAGGCTTATCCCAAACTTGATAGATACGGAGTTCAGGAACTGAAATGAACGTGTGAGTCGATAACAATTACGGTACGATAAGTACGTGTGACGAGTAGAAAGCGGGGGTCGTACACTCTCGTCTCACTCTTTCCCACAATTGCTTGGCAAAGTTTGTCTGCTCTTCGTCTGACTGGAGGAAATAAACATGGACATCGAAGCCACCCCGGATGCCATTGGTAATTGGTGCAGGGAATTCCGAATAAGCTTCACTGCGCTTCTCTGCCGGAGGATTGACATAGGATTTGCCATCGGAGTTTCGCTCACTAATTTCTGTTAGCAAACTGTTATCTTGAAGTATTATAATGGTGCGTTGCAGCGTGTTGGGAATCCGAGAGATTATACAAGCTTACTCTGGAAGCGACGGAAGATTCTCGTAGCCCTTTAGGGGCGAAGGGTATGCGTAGAGACTTGGATCAGCCATATTTTGCGCCTCGAGTCCGTCGAGCCAATGTACGTATACGTATTGACATTGAACGTTATTGGATCCTTTTAATATGGTGCGGTGGATGATGTGAACATCGCAGTGGATGAGGTCAGCGTCACAGATTTGTCATGTTCGCGGAACTTTTCCACCCGACGATTGATTCAATTTATTCCTCTACAACAAGCCGAATAAAGTAAACAAAAAGACTCAAACACAACCCCAGTATTCCATCGGGCTGTGCACTTGGCAAAATGGATGTGCAAGTCGTTCATCCATGCACTGGTGGATGACAATGTCAGCAGCTATCTCGACCGAACTGGTGGGGTGAGTTCTAAACGCCTTAAAAAGAAATAATATTCTACACAGTGTTAGAGAGGGGGACTTGTTATCAATTGTTTGCCTTCACCATGCAGCACGACCATACACCGGCGACACCGCCAAGACGTCGCCGAGAGCACCCAAGATTGGCATTCTCAATCACCAGTTGTACCAGATGACAACTGCTTCTTGGCCTAAGGAGATGACGTTTGCCGCGATGCATGGCAGAAGGTTCGAGTCAGAAATCAGCCCATCTTAAATAGGAGGAGCCTGTGGCAGAGCGTTGATAGCTGTCGGTTGCCCCGTCATACACTCCGCCCTCTTGTTGCCTTCACGCTTGACCAGGAACGAGACAACAAACAAGACTACCTTCGACTTCGACTTTTCTACTCCTAAGTGCATCATCATGCCCGACAGTAACCGGTTTTACCTTCGCCATGCAAGCTCCGGTGGCGAGGACAACTCGCACAAATACGTTGCTCCTCCATCGGTTGGCCATGAGATTGGCATCATGTTTGGAGGGATTGGGGCTATGCTCCTAGGTGAGTGCCCACTGTAGACCTTGGTACTCAGCCAAGTAAAGCAAAAGAGACCCAAACTGGTTGTGACGCGAAATGACGTACAGGCATGCTTCTTTTTTGGATCTGGTGGGCTCTTTACTTGAAGAAGGAAGAACGAGAAGAAAGGGCTAGGATTGAAGGACTTAGGCAACGAGGCATCCCCAAGGAACAGCTCATTGTCGAAGAGGCGGCAGGAGAAGCTAAAAAGTCAGGAGCATCCTGAAGCTCTGGTAGTTAACAAACGAGAAATTTGTAAATGGGATATTTCAACAGGCTTGAATTCTTTGTCGAATTGGTTAGACTTATGGTCTTTAAGACCATAGTGTCTTATATAGCCGGCGTGCAAAGTGGATCAGGCGGACTGTATGCCTTTTTTCTCCTTATAACAGTAAAGATGTGCAAGCTGCCATGCACGCAAACCTAGTAGAACATACTGATAAGCGCCTTTTCTTGACAATTGGAATTTTCTGTCTGGCCTAATGTTGCAACCAGTCTCGGCTGTATCTACGAGGACTCCGACTTCTTGATCTGTTGAAAAGTCTCCAAGAATGTCGCTGACTCCTCAGCGCCCCCAATCTGGTATTTTCCTTGGATCGTGAAGTTGGGGACACCGGAGATGAATCGCATCTGTGCCTTCGCCACCTCCTCATCGACCTCTTTTCCTCCCTTATCAGTACTCAGCCACTCGTTTACTTCAGCCTCTTCCAAGCCAGCATTAACCGCAGCGCTCCGCAGAATTGCATGGTCGGTAATGTCCTTTTCGTTCTCAAAGTAAGCAGCAAAAAGTTCTTCAACGACGCGGGTCTGAAGCTCTGGACTTTTGGTTTTCCCCAATTGGATCAGTCGATGAGAGTCGCGCGTGTTGCCGGTGCGCCCTCCGAATTTGAAGTTGATGCCGTTTTCCCGGCCAACCTGCGCGAGCCGCTCCTGAATCATAGCTGTGCGCTGCGCGCCAAGTTTGCGTTCGTAGCGCGTCTGCTTATCCTCGCCGGGAACGGGCGCGGTGGGATCCAGGTAGAAAGGACACCAAGTCGTCGCAAAAGTGTCGCTGGGGTAGACGGCCTTGTGCTGGCTAATGGCGCTTTCGAGGCGCTTCTTGCCGACCAGGCACCAGCTGAGAGGGGGGCATTAGAACATTGTTTGTATGTTGTGGGATCGGTGATGGCTCACGGGCATACTGTGTCGGACACAATGTCGATCCTGTAATGCGTCATTGCACGTTTGAGAGCCACGATTGCTGAGGTTAGTCTTTAAGACTCTGTACGTTCGAAGACTGTCAAAGACAAAAAGGACAGAAATAGACGGTGCCGGGAGTGTGTTGCCATAGCGGCCAGCTTACCAATCAAGCACCCAAAGTGTTCCATCGCATCCTCGGTGCTGCTCGCGACATCCATATCCGACGTAATCCGTCACCGTCAACCGAGAGATTCCCCGTCTAGCGAGACAGGGAATGATACAAGCAGTTCCTACGGACTACTCATTGTCTAGCTACAAGCCTTAATCCTGGATATAAGTGAAAAGGTCTTAGAGCACATACATACTACAAACACCGTAGCTGTGTTTCTTCTTCCATCCCGTACAAGGGCTTTTATCTCATTAGGCGGTGAATCTCGCTTGACGGTGACGGACGTTATCGTTTTGCGTCAGCGGTGTCACGTAAGAAGAGCCTCATCAACTCGTCTCCTCTCTCCCATGCAGGCTCCCCTCCACCGGCTCTGGCTGCTGCCTCTCGTTTCCAGCATCGCCTGGTTCCTCACTCTACTGGTATTGCTGATCACGTGGGTCGCGAGAGGGACACCGCGATATCCCGGCCAGGCCAATCCTTATGTCGCGTGAGTTCTTGGACGTGTGTGCGTCCCGTTGCTGACGACGGTGCGGCAGCTTCATTTCGGACATCGCGGCCTTCGAGCTAAAGCCCCTCTTTCTCGTTGGATCATGTATCACAGCCTTCGCCTTCATCGGCACCGTCTGCGCCGTTCATTTTGCGCGGTACAACCGTCGCATGTACGGAATTGACGACGTATGGTATAAGCACTGGACGTCGTTCGTAGCCATGTTGTCTGGCGTTGTTGCCGGCGCAGGCCTGATTCTTCTGGGCGTTATGGACACGTTTCGCTTTCACGAGGAGCATCGGATCTTGCTCTTGGTGTGCTTCAGCGGGCTGGCTTTGTCGGCGCTTTGTACGACGCTGGTATACTTTGATCAGACCAAGAAGCCGTCGCGGTTTCGACTGCTACGGCTGTATTGCTCGGCGAGCGCAACCATAGTGTTGACGGAAGTAGGGCTGGGGACATGTTTCACGGGGCTGATGTACTCGGGCTACTGGCGCATCGCGGGCATCTTTGAGTGGACCATGGCGTTTGTGGGCTCGTTGTACATGCTGGCGTTTGTGGGATTTGTCGCGTGAGTTTGTACCAGGCGCAGCCACAGCCACTTTGCTCACCGATCAATAGAGTTCCGCCCGAGGGCATCGACGCGCGGGAAAGGGATCCCTTGCTCCAGGAGAGGGGGGGCCAAGAATGGTAGCGGTAGCGAAGGGTGGGGGATATGTATCAATCAAAGAAGATTGCCTATTTCAATGCCCCTTCCCCGGGCTGGCAGAGGCACAGTTCGCTTCCAGATCTGCCCGAGTCCCTGTACGGCAGGACCGCAGCATCGATCGCTTGCTCGGGCCACACGGGAGCCGATTCCACTACGTCAGCCCGGCCTGCAACTGCGCACCCCAACTTCCAACTCTTCTTCACCTTTGTCCTCCGCCCCGTATCATTTTCGCGTCGCCCGTCGCCCGCGCAATCTCCTACTCGCTCATTGAGGCGACCACTCACCGCGAGCCATGTCGTCGCGAGATCAGCAAGGCGAATCCTCGGCCGCCCCTACGCTCCCCCGGGGCGCAACCACTTACGCACAGGCAGCCTCTGCCACCTCCCAACCCTATGGCCAGCCTTCACACGACTCCCCAGCCCCTAAATCCTCCTCGAAGCGCAAGAAGAATCGTGGCGGCAAGAAGAGAAGAAGGCGCCAGTCCTTTGCCGCGCCCTCCGATCATATCGATGCTGTGTCTGATGCCGCTGCCGCCGGACGACCCAGTTTGGCCGACGTAACCAGCGAGCAGGCTACTAGGGATAGCTTCTATCGCCTAGTCACGAATCGCAGCAACACTAGTCTCGAAAGCGAAGCTTTGTTGGATCACCGGTAAGCCTGTCCCAATACCATTATGTCTCGGAACGTGGGCTGACATTTATATTTCAGCGAACAAGGTCCGTTGAGAACGCGCCGGCAAAGCATCATGGGTAGCTTCTACAGCCCTCGGGCCAGCCAGCCCTACAATCGAGCCTCCCCGAGCCACCGTTCGTCGCAAGCCTATCCTTTCCCTCCGCCACCAAAACTCCAAGGCGCTCCCAAGTTGTCGAGAGCCGATAGAGACGATGACGAAGCCGAAGATGAAGCGGATGACCGCACGCCGCTGATGGGCTCTTCGAAGAAAACAAGCCCAAGATTAGGCAGTAGTGGAGGTTATGGCGGCTTCTCGAGCGTTCGGCCTAACGACCGTGGTCGCCGAAAGTCTTCCAGTACCATTTCATCCGTGTCGAGCAAGAAGAAAAAGAGGTTAGCCCCCAGGCCAGGCGTTCCTCACCAGAGATCGTCCAACACTGTGGACGATTATGATGTCAACAATCCTCCTTCTGTACCGGGCAGCCCAAGACTCGAGTCTAACATGGGCTTCGACGATGTTATGCTTACTGGTGATCTGACGCGCTCAAGATCGCCGGATTCAGGTCGCAAGCCAAGGCCAATTTCCCGCGATGCTATCATCAACATCGATGAAGATGCCATTGAAGGAGGGTCTGGGGGATCTTCACCACGCTCTACTCGCGAGAAACCGGGAAGCTCTCGAAGGCAGGCCGAGGAACATCCAGCTGAATATGATGTCTGCTTCCCGCAAGAAACGATGTCTGAGATAGGCCACGAAGAATATTCTCACTTTCCTGAAGGCACAACCCGCACGCGCCGCAGGAGAAGAAAGCCCTGGCCCAACCTTTCTGTTTTGGAAGAATGGGCGACAGAAGAGAAAGAACAGCGCACTCTCGAAGGCATCCGAGCACGAAAGGTCAATGAACCGCTTTTCGTTGAAGGGCGGCTGCGACCACAGAAGAGGGCCTGGCATCGGGAAGAGGATGATGCACCATTCCGGTTCACCTATTTCAACGAAGACTTTGAGAGTACGCTTCACAGTCATACGCTCTCTGAGCTGCTGCAGGAAGGCCAGACGTTCCGCGAGCTATTCATTCCCGATCCCCCTGTTTTATCGGACGATAGCTCCTCTGATGAAGAAGAGGAACGAAGCACTCCATTCAATGTGAATGCACAGAGCAAAGCCGCATCACCGAACATAGGGTCGCGAGGGGCATCACAGCAAAGACTACGCGTTGAGAATAAGTTACATTCTTCTGGAGAACAAACTGGAGAAACAACGCCAATCCTTTCGCACACACCAACGCAGAAGAAACCGATATACGGGGCCCGCCCAGTGTTTTGGCTTGACATTCTCTCTCCAACAGAAGCCGAGATGAAGACCATAACGCGAACCTTCGGTATACATCCTCTAACTCACGAGGATGTTATGATGCAAGAAGCTCGTGAAAAAGTAGAACTTTTCCACAACTACTATTTCGTCAACTACCGCACTTTCGAGCAGGACACCAACAGCGAAGACTACCTAGAGCCGGTTAATATTTACTTTATTGTTTTCAGGGAAGGGGTGATTAGTGTAAGTTAACACTTCACCATCTACTAACTCTGTAACAGTTGCTGACAACAATCTCTTACACAGATCCACTTTTCGATGACTCCTCATATGGCCAATGTTCGCCGCAGGATCCGGCAGCTCCGGGATTACCTGATCCTCAGCTCCGACTGGATTGCCTACGCCATAATTGATGACATCACTGATGTCTATGCGCCTTTGATTCAGAAAATCGAAGACGAAGTGGACGACATCGATGATGCTATTCTGAGGTTACACAATCCAGAGGAAAATCTCGACAACAAGCCCAAGAATAACGCGAAATCGAAAGAACTCGAGTACGAAAAGCAGTCCGATCTGCCAGATGGAACTGCTGGCGACTCGGGCGGGAACATGCTTCGTCGGGTTGGAGAAACTAGAAAAAAGGTCATGGCGCTTTACCGGCTGCTGGGCAACAAGGCCGATGTGATCAAAGGTTTCGCCAAGAGGTGCAATGAGCAATGGGAAGTTGCGCCCAAGACCGAGATTGGCCTCTACTTGGGAGATATCCAGGACCACATTGTTACCATGACCGGAAATCTGAGCCACTACGAAAGGTACGTCTACTAGGATCTAGCGCTGGATGTAATGTTTTTTAAGGACATTGTGGCTGACAATACTTCCGCTAGCCTCCTATCCCGTGCGCACGGCAACTATCTGGCGCAGATCAACATTCGTATGAACGAGCGCGCCGAGCAGACGAACGACGTACTCGGCAAGTTGACCGTTCTCGGTACTATTGTTCTGCCTATGAACATTGTTACCGGCATGTGGGGCATGAACGTCACGGTTCCGGGCCAAGAGATCGAAAGTCTCTGGTGGTTCTGGGGTATTACAGCAGGCCTCATCCTGTTTGGGGTCACTTCCTTCTTCATCTGCAAAAGGTATTTCACCCCTGTCTTCAATTAATCGCGGTTCTTGCTTTTGGACGGCGGCATTTCTCGTTTACCGCGCAGTTTGAATCCCCCTACATTTGGATCGGTCAGTCATTTTTGTTTTACCAGCCCAATCTGCGAACCTTCGTGACAAAACAACTGCGCAGCCTTTTGCCTTTTCCTGTTATGCAGTTTAGGCTAACGAATTTTCGTCTTAGGGTTTACGGTGTAGTGTGATCACTTGGCCGGGCTACGACGCGGTCAAAGGCATCGGGGATGCTAGAGGTAGTGGTCTTTGCGCCATTTAGGGCTTTGTATAGTGCTACTGCAAGTACATCAAGCAGACAATGATTCGAAATAAAACAACTGTCATTTTGTGAGAGATGATTCCAATTTACAGAGGCCTAAAACACGAACTTCCGGGCCAAACATGTTTGATGATTCGAAACTTCGTTTCCGTAACGGCAGCCGCAACTACGCAGAGTAAACATGCTACTGGGCCGAAACGCGTTCAGTTGTAGGAACTTTCTGAGCTCCGACGTGTGAAACAAGAGTATTGCCTTCGGGCAGACAAACCTCTGACGTCCAAAACACGGAGAAAAAGAAAAGAAACAAAACAAAAAAAGTCAATTAATCCAGAATGGAGCCACTCATCCTGTGGTCCGTTCAAAATCCGTGAAAGTAGTCCAGTGAAAGTCATTTCATTCCGGTGTTTCCGTCAATCGTCAAAAAAAGAAAAGTGGAGAGCGTAAAGAGAGCATCGCGCCCGCTGACGAACCAGAAACCCATGCTGAAAGGTCACTTCGTATGCGCGTGCGTGACTGTCAATCTTCAAAAATCCTTCGGGATAAGTAGTAGTAGTAGTAGTAGTAGTAGGTCGATAAGTCGAAAAACTCCGCGCTCACACTCCCGTCACAGGAACGAGCACAAAGCGCTACATCTGTCGCCGCCTTCGCCGTGGCAGCAGCGCCAGCAAAACAACAACAGCGGCATTCACTCCTTACCCACGAACTTGCCGACGCAGACGCGCGCGCCCTTGCCCGTCGGCAGGAGCCACTCGTCCTGCTCGTCGTCTTTGGCCTCGAACCAGGGCATGTGGGTCGCCGGCGCGGCGGTGAGCGGGTGTCCGAAATCGTGGATGTCCTGTCTCTGGGCGTTGATGACGGCGAGGCGCGGCTGCCAGGCTTGCGAGGTTGCTTGAGCAGCGCTGTCGGGAAGCGAGGAGGACGAGTTGTTGTTCTTGTGGGCGAGCTTGCGCTTCTTGCTTGCTCGGGGTGGGGTGAGCAGGGCGCGCGTGACGCGGCGCGTGGTGAATCCCTTTCGAGAGGTGATTCGGACGTCGGGCTCAAAGTCGGAGGCGGAGCCGGTGTTGGAAGAAGTGTCTGTGTGGGCGCTGTCGTCGTTGTCGTCCTCGTCGTTGGGCTGTTTGGTCTCGGCAGTCTGTTGGATGTGAGTGTCGCCAGTGTGGATAGAAGGAGTGGGAGAGGGAGGTTCTGAGGGAAGAGAAGAGAGCGGGCTGTCATCACTGTCGTCGAAGATGGCAGGTTGATCTGTGTTAAAGTAGACGCTTTTGTTGGTGTTCTTCCCATCGAGGAATCCCCAGAGACCATCCGCAGCCAGGCTATATTGTGTTCAGTCATAACTGCTTTTGGGTTGTAAATTACTTACGCTGCATCAATATCGTCGTCAAGAGGAGCTGGATCAGTACCAATAGGACTAGTCATGGAGTCCACAATCTGCTGTCTCAAGCGCGGTTCCACTGGGCCACGAATGTCGACTTTTGTGACGCCTCGGATACCGCATAGCGCACGGATAACGGCTCGCTCGTAGTAGTGGACCTCAAGTGGGGCTTTCTCAAGAGCCCGTGAGCTGATCTTGCGGTTCGCTGAGAGGAGATCTTTGAGATTAGGGTCCGCGTCGCGCGATCCGACAGGATTGGTCACGCGATGAGCGTTGCGCTCGAAAAGAATGTTGCCATCAATGACGATGCAGACGTATGCGAGCGCGTGCGGCGTCTAGTTGCTAGTGAGATTTTGCGAATGAGAAGAGAATAGGGTCACTTACGTTGCCGGGGTGGATTGCGCAAAGTGCTACCGACCACATGTCGTCGTCAAAGTCGTCGAAGTTGTCGCCAGGCATGAGGATCAGGCGTAGTGCTCGGACCTCAGTGAAGGGCTTGGCCTCACTGTGAATGCGGTGAAGGAGGGCCATTGCGCCGTCGCTGCCAGAAAAGTTGAGGGTTGGATAGTTTTCCATAGCCGCGGGTGTTAGCGGCGCGGAGGATCGAGTGGCTTCCATGGTGACGTGGTCGGCGGCGACAAGTTAAAGAATCGGTCGGCGAAGTGAAACGTAAAAAGAGCGAAAGTTTGAAGGTGTTATGGTGAAAGGCTCCGGGGCGTGCGCGTGAAAGTGTGAATTAAGCTTTGAAGTGAAGTGCACAGCACTAGGAAGAGAAAGCCACTACGAAGTCGAACATCGTACCCTTGATTATCCCACCGGGGCAGGCGGACAGCTTGTTTTGTTGCTGTCGCGCCTGTTTCTCCACGTCCTGGTCCTGATTTGGCTCCTGGCCACATAACCTGTTCCCAATCCTCACCGCCCAGCCGCCTCGACTTTACCATATGCCCTCCACCAGATACTCATGTTCGCCGCGACGATCAGATCCAACATCTTCAATCCCTCATCTTGAATGATGAGCTTGCCCAACTTCGCTTTGTTTCCACCAAATCCTCCGCCCGCCGACTCTTGCCCAAGAGATAGATCCAGGTTTGTCCCACCCGATAGAATATCTTGCCAGTGACTGTTCCGCTCTGGCTGCCAGTGACCATTTCGCTCAGCATGGTCGTTGATTGTGAGCCCAGACATCCGTTTCTGTAAGGTGGGCCGTGCGAAAAACGAAGACCGCTTTACGGAGCCATCTTCCATAGGTGTGCTTGGAATCGCGGGAAGGTTGAAGCGCAATTCACTGACGGTGACTGATTGCGGTGACTGAAAAACAGGGTTGCTGACGGGAAGACTATGTTTACACTATTTGCGTAGTTAGCATCTAAAACGACCCAATCTTCGCCAAATACACTCACCTTCAAAGAGCTGCCAGCAGCCCCAGTGACAAATTCGCATCTTCCATTCCACGGGCTCTGAAAAACGTAACCCTTGAAGCCGGACTTGATAGTTCGCCGGCCATCCTCCCCAGGCGAACGAATCGTATCCACACCGTATGCTGAAGCGTTTGACGACAACCTTTGCTGGCTGAAATAATCCGGAGTCAACCGAGCACCTTCGAGCCATATTCGCCGCCTAAAGGTGGTATCTGGGCCGAAGGTCAGACTGCCTGAATCTGACAGGCTGGTTCGCGAGGTCCTTATGCTTTCCTGGCTTGATCTTGTTGGCAGGGGTCCGTTGGTCTCTTGTTGGCAAAATTTAGTGTATCCAGGGTTGTTGATTTCCAAGTGCATTGGCGTGCCCGCTCTTTTGGTACGTTGCGTTGCACTGCTTCCAAAAGTCTCAGACGATATGGCGAACACTTGCGGATCCCTGATTTTTCCAACATTCCACTGTGCTCCAGAAGCAGGGTCTCGTCGTATGAGAGTCAGGCATACGTCGTCAACACTCTGATCCACCTGCCGCAAAGGTTTTGGTGGAGTTGAGTCTGAAAAGCTCATGTGATCTGAGGAAGGGGAACTTCTGTCCAAACCGCGCACAGTCCTAGGTGGACTATGCTCCATAAATCCCGGATGTTCCGGAAGGCGATCTTCGGGATTGATGCTATATTGGCTACTTGTCGTACGCGACGATTGGTAGCTATAACGGGAAGTAACGCGTGCTCTGGGACGGGTGTTTTCTAAGGGTATCTCGGGTAGATCGTAGGCAGAAAAGCTACTATTTTGGGAGGAAGTGTCTAATTTGGGACGCGACTTTCCCATTCTCAGAGTAGGCAGATCGTAGGAAGACTTCTGATGGGAGAACGTGTCCAATGTGGGACGCGTTTTCTGTGGCCTCAGGGTGGGAACGTCGTAGGAAGAATGGCCGCGCTGGTGCGAAAAAGTGTCGAGTGTGGGACGCGACCTTTCTGGCCTCACGGTAGGGACATCGTAAGAAGAGTGGCCACGCTGATGAGAGAAGGTGTCGAGCGTGGGACGTGACTTTTCTGGCCTCAGGGTGGGGACATCGTAAGTAGAATGGCCACGCTGTTGGGAGAAAGTGTCCAATGTGGGACGTGACCTTTCTGGCCTTAGAGTAGGGACGTCGTAGGAAGAATGGCCGCGCTGGTGAGAGAAAGTGTCCAAAGTGGGGCGTGGCTTTTCCGCTCTCAGGGTAGGGACATCGTAGGAAGAATGGCCGCGCTGATGCGACACGCGGCCATTTGACGGAGAAATTTGGATTCTCAAGGGCGCGGGGAGATTGTGCTTGTTCTCCGAGTCGTCTCTGACCGAGAGGACGGGAGGCGCGACAGGCTTGCGCTTGATGGTGGTGGGAGGAGGAATTGCACCATCTTCACTTGGCAATGGAGGCAGCGGCTTGCGCAAAGGTTTGCGCACGACTGGCGCGTGCTCTTTTACGGGCGATTGGGTGTCGGACGAGGACAAGTCGTCGTCGACGGCAGCCTCGGCCTTGAGCACCTCGTCGTCGGGACTGTCAAAGTGCAGGTAGTAGAGCGAGCTCTGGACATCCTCGGCGGTGACAATCTTTTGGCGCGGTTTTAGCGGGGTCAGGAAGACATCTACAGTCGTTAGCGGGGAAGTCTACGTCAGCCGGCGTCTGAGAGCGGGCTCGCCTCTGCTGCCAGGCACTCTGGCAATGTAGAGAACCAGAGGCTCGTGGCGCTCATGGGTCGGGTTCCTCGGATAGCGCGGGGGATTCGAGGCAAGGCTCGTTAGCGCAGATAGGGACTTTGCTTCGACGGTGTGCGCGGTCATGCTCGGGTCACGGAGGGGTCGAGAGGAAAACACGGGGGCGAAGAGAGAGAGACCGGGGCTCGTGGGCCTTTAGAAGGACAGCAGCGTCGGCGGTGGCTTCCTCCAACTCAGCTTGTGCGTGGCAGCACCAAACCATGACAGGGAGGCTGAGCAAGCAAGATCCAAGTTATGAGGACGACGGAAGCTGATCACGCATCATACCTGGTGGACAGCGCACCGAGTGGCTTTAGGGTTGTCCAGGTGAGCGGGCTGGTGCTGCGCCAGATGGCCCGTGTGGCCTTTTCGCTTCACCTTTTTCCTCCGTCGCGCCAAGCTTCCTGGCAAAAGTTCACCCACAGGGCCCATCGTGTTTCTCGATTCCCGATCCCTCTCCACCCACCGCCTCCAGATCCTTCTTTAGATATGGGTGACGACCTCGAGGTGCGCCTCCCTCCCCTAACTGCCCCTTTTTCCCACTCTCCAATTTGTCCGCGACTGACAGCCACCGCTAGGAGCGCCTCAAGAGCCATGCTCAGGCCTTTGAAGGTCTCATGTCTCTGATCCCCGCCAAGCAGTACTATGCACAGGACACCAGCGTATGTCATCCCGTCCTGCCCCGCTCAACCCTCTGTCCTGTCCCCCGCTGAGCCTCCGCACAGGACCAATGGCAGCGTAAGAAGCAGACCAAGGCCCAGAAGAAGGCCGCAAAGCGCGAAAAGCTCAACCCCGACAACCACCAGAGCGCAAAGGATGTCATGGACGAAAATGAGCGCAAGCGCAAGCGTGAGCTGGAGGGCGACGACTACTCCTCCGACCCAGATGCGCCGGGCAAGGAAAAGCCTCGTGAGGGCCTGAAGCCTACCGGCAAGGAGCCGAAGAAGCAAAAAACCGCCGAGAGCGAAAAGCCCGAAGAGGACGAAGAGACGCGTCGGAAGAGGGAGGAGAAGCAGAAGCAGATTGAGGAGAGGCGAGCCCTGAAAAAGCAGAAGCAACAAGAGAAGGCTCAAACGAAGAAGACTCGCCAAGAAACGTCCTCCGCCAGCGCGCCTAACCCGGAAGAGCAACAAAAACCTACCCAAAAGAATACCGGTGATAAAGTCAAGGAGAGCGTCGAGCAGGACGACGATGACGAAGCTAGTGTTGGCGCAGACGAGGAGATTGACGAGGTGGACGTCAGCGGCCTCATGGATGAAGAGCAAGAAGGCTCGCAATCTTCTGCATCTCCTTCGCCAGAACCGGAGTCCCCAGCCTCATCAGCCGTCCCTTCCGCATCCTCTTCATCATCCATTGTCCCCCCCACCAATTCTTCCACCACACCCGCTAAAATCCACAAACTTCCTCCCGCTGAGCAGGAGGTTCTAAGGCAACGGCTACAGGCCCGTATTGACCAAATGCGCGCCGCTCGCAGAGCCGATGGAATTGACGGCAAGCCTGCTCGCAACCGCCAGGAACTCATGGAGGCACGGAGACGCAAGGAAGAGCAGAGGCGTAGTCACAAAAAGGAGCTGCGCAAGCAGGCGAAAGATGATGAGCAACGCGCAAAAGCCGAGGCGGAGCTAGCGCGTCTGCGCGGGTCTGGTTCGCCGGGTACTCCGGACATATTCTCACCGCAAGGGGAGCAAAATAACTTTTCCTTTGGGCGCATCACCTTTGACGACGGACAACAATTGGATACATCCGCAACAAGTCTGCTTGACGCACGGAAGAAGAGAGGCAAGCAGGATCCCAAAACGGCACTTGAGGCTGCAGAGAAGAAGAAACAGCGTCTGGCGGGCCTGGACGAGGAAAAGCGCAAGGACATTGAGAACAAGGATCTCTGGTTAAATGCTAAGAAGCGGGCGCATGGTGAAAAGGTTCGCGACGATGTCTCACTGTTGAAGAAGACGTTGAAGCGGAAGGAGAAGCAAAAATTCAAGAGCGAAGTGGAGTGGAATGAGCGTATCCAAGGCGTCGCAAAGGGCAAGGAGATGAAGCAGAAGAAGCGCGAGGAGAATTTGAGGAAGAGAAGAGAGGAGAAGGGCGTTAAGAAGGGCGGCAAGCCCAAGGGTGGCGCGAAGAAGTCAAAAGCGAGGCCTGGTTTTGAGGGTAGCTTCAGGAGCAAGGCCAAATGAGGGTCCATGTAACGTAGGGGCTTAATGCCGGACAGGGTCCATTGACATGATCTTCATCGTGCTTCTTGGTCTTTTGAGGCTTCTCCTTGGAATGGCAGTCTAAAAAAAGTTGAACATAATAAATAACCCTTTTATGATCGTACAATATGCATACTGCCCCTGAAGAAATGGTTATCGTGCGATGTGAAAAGCCAATGATTAATGAATATCAAATTCAAAGGCACGGCCATCAAATGTAAGGCTCATAACGGTGCAATCCTGTCAGAGACATGGCCAAGCCAACTCAGACATGGGTGTGGTCACTCCCCTGCATGTATAACGAGCCCCAAGCGAATGAATTTAGGCGAGAATACAACAGCTATAGAAGTCAAATCTTGATTGGAGTACAATTGTGTATGTGGAACCACATAGTCTCAGTTGTATGTAAATCAACCAGCTCGGTTTCTTGCACATGTTAGTCAACAAATTTGATTTCTCTACGAGTCTTTTGGGCACATTGACGTCAGACGGGGCATATGCCTCATTCAAGCAATTATATGAACGAGATAAATTAGATCGACTATAGAATACATTTTCGCATGCCTGAGTATAGGAAATTTCATAGTGAATAAACGGAACGACAAACTTCGCCAGTGCGACGGCTGTGGTGCTACAGTATGTACATCTACTTGCTGTTCCCCCACTGCACTTTTACGCCATTGCTAATACCGGTTTACCTGTAAGGAGCATCGGCCCTCGCCACGGCCGCAAGCTCAGGCTCCCACTTGTCACCGTTCGACAGCAGCTTCTCCTTGTTGTAGAGCAGCTCCTCTCTGGTCTCCGTCGCATATTCAGCGTTGGGCGCTATCAATGAGCGTTAGCTTTCCTTTCTACACGAATTCTTTGATGTTTCAAGTCCATCCGTGCACCAATGGATAATGGGCTGAACTGTGAGGGTTTATGGACTTACACTCGACAATGGCGTCGACAGGGCAGCTTTCCTGGCAGAAACCGCAGTAGATGCACTTGGTCATGTCGATATCGTATCTGGTGGTACGCCTGCTACCATCTTCACGCTCCTCGGCCTCGATGGTGATGGCCTGCGCCGGGCAGATGGCCTCACAGAGCTTGCAGGCAATGCAACGCTCCTCACCGGTGGGGTAGCGACGGAGGGCGTGCTCACCGCGGAAGCGGGGAGAGATGGGACCCTTTTCGAAGGGGTAGTAGATGGTGTATCTGCGGAAACCGCAATCAGCCCTCTTGTCCAATTGAGCCCGCATGGTGCAGACGGCGTCCTGATGGGAGACATTACGGTGGCCGGAAAAACTGCTCGAGCACGACGTACATGCCGCGCATCATCTCGGACAGCAGGAAGTACTTGCCCGCCTTGTCGAGCGAGCTCTCGGCATCCTGATCCCAGCGCTTGGGAGGCGGGAGGCGGAAGCCGGCGGGGGGCGGGCCGGAGGGCAGGGCGGCGCGCGGTGCGCTGGTGGAGAAGAAGAGGGCGGCGGCGGGCGAGGCGTTGTGCTGGCGCAGCAGCTGGGTCGATGGGCGGGCGCGGGCCAGCATCGTCAATGGCTTGGTGGCGGCCATTGTGCAGGGCGAGGATGCTGGCAGAAGGTGGATGTTGGGGTATATGGGGTGGTGGACTTGGAGGTTGCGCAGTGGCGTATGGGAGCGGCAGCGATGTCCGTCAAGCGTCGTGATTGTAAGCCTCGTTTGATTGGCTCGAGGCACGCCGGGTGAGGGCGCGGCGGGCGACGCAACCGCACAGGGGCGCAGCGAAGCCGCGACGACGGCCCAGGGACACTCGGTCGAGGGCGCAGCAGGCGCAGCCTCGAAGCACAGCAAAGCTGGGGTTCTTCTGGCGCCGTGGGAGGTGTGGCTGACGGTCTGCCGTCGCGGGGTGCACGTGACATGACATCCAAGCTCTGGGCAGTGAATTTGAAGATTCCGAAGCGCCTCATCATCGCAACCGCAACACCCGGCTCCATCTCTCTCTACCGCCCCACTCAACCGCATCCACAATGTTCAGAACCGCCATCCTCAGGTCCGCCCGCGGCGCTGCCAGGTCTGCCGCCAGGTGGCAGGCTCCAATTGCCCGTCCCGTTGCCCCGGCCTTCTTCGCCCACTCCAAGCAGCGCCTCCCCGCGGCGAGCTTCCAGGCCATCAGGTTCTACTCTGCGCACGGCGGTCTGTCACAGGAGGAGGTCCAGGGCCGGATACTGGACCTGCTCAAGGGCTTTGACAAGGTACGCTATTATTACATGTTGCCCTGCCAGCTTGGGCCATGCTAACGCGCATCACAGGTTCAGGACGCCTCCAAGGTACATCCGCATTGAGCTTACCCTTTGCGCTCCAATTACTCATGTAGCCTGCAGCTCTCCCCCACGTCGCACTTCTCGAACGACCTCGGCCTGGACAGCCTCGACACCGTGGAGGTTGTCATGGCGATTGAGGAGGAGTTCAGCATCGAGATCCCGGACAAGGAGGCCGACCAGATCCACAGCGGTACGTTCCGAGCAGCAGGCGCCTTCGCGCAGCACCATGGCCACTCGACGATGGGCGTGTGCCGGCCGGTACCGAAATGCTAACGCGGTGCAGTTGACAAGGCGGTCGAGTACATCCTGAGCCAGCCCGATGGTAAGTTGGCCACGCGCAAGCCACGGAGATCCAATGCTAATGCATCGACCAGCGCACTAAATGGGTGGAGAAGTAGCCGACGGACTGGGAGGAGTATGGTGGTGGGGGCGACTAGGAGCGGAATTCTAATTGTACAAAGCCGCTGTGAGCTTGGGATATTTGCGACCCTGTACTATGGACTAGAAACACGAATTCGCTCCTGCAAATGCCATATGAGTTCACGTCTCCATTCATGGCGTCCATGTTAGGCGTGCCGTTGTGTGATACGTTCCTTGCGACAGGGTTCGCAATCCTCGCCAAGCGGGCAGTAGTTATTTCGACTACAGACTACCGTGGTTGCATGCTTCACTTCCCATACTACGACGACCCACGTGCCCAACGTCCACTGCGTATGAAGCATTGCGCGATTCGTAAAACGACCTGACCATCGTCAATAACGTCTCCTGACGCCAGCTTACGCATACCACCACCGACGCCGGACCCTTCCCGCATCCCTGTGCGGCGCCCGAAGCCCAGACCCGACAACCGTCCTCGATCGCAACATTCACCCAGACTTCACCGCGGATGGCCTCCTCAGCTTCTGGATTGACGCGCCGCAGGGGCGGCGGTGTTGCGGCGAACGGCGACAACGAAGATGGCAGCCGTGTGAGCTCGCCCGTGCCACGGCGCGACGACACCCGCGGTCTAGAGACATCGTACGAAAGTTCCGAGAATGGCCACAAGATTGCCTTCGACCCCCGGGACATCAGCGAGAGCGCGGAGCGGATGAAGCAGCCCAAGCTGACGCTCATGGAGGAGGTGCTGCTCATGGGCCTGAAGGACAAGCAGGTGCGCCAACGCCAGGCTGGCATGGAGGGGCAGCGCAGGACTGACGACATTCGGTGCAGGGCTACCTATCTTTCTGGAACGACAACATCTCCTACGCTCTCCGCGGCTGCATAGTTATAGAGTTGGCCTTCAGGGGCCGTGTTAGCATGCAGAAGGATTCCTCGCGGCGGCGCTTCCCCCTCGCAGATCGGGTCATCGAAGTCATAGACGACACGCTTACCGGAGAGGTTCTCCTGGATGAGGCGCTCAAGATGATGAAGTCCAGCGAGAAAATGAGCGTGTCCTCGTGGATTGATCTGATGAGCGGTGAGTGCTCGCCCCGCCCATTCACAAGACGCAGCACGCTGATAGACGTCACATTTCACAGGCGAGACATGGAACCTCATGAAGATTGGCTACCAACTGAAGCAAGTTCGCGAACGTCTTGCCAAGGGTCTCGTCGACAAGGGCATCCTGCGAACCGAGAAGCGTAACTTCCTCCTCTTCGACATGGCGACCCACCCCGTCGCCGACGGTGGTGCGAAGGACGAGATAAGAAAACGGGTCCGTACTCTCCTCACGAGCCGCACGGTCGTTCTCCCGCCTAGCCAATTCCTGCCGGATGAGATGGAATTCAGATACCTGCGAACCATTGCCATGGTCTGCGCGGCTTATGCGGCGAATGTGCTCGAGAATGCACTTACAACCCTGGGCCACGAAGCGCGGGAAAGGGCCTTTGCGCAAGTGGACGAGTTGTTGGCTGAGTACTCTCAATGGCCCTTTGCGAAGCGTGCTGGGGGCTCTGGCGGCGTGGGAGCCAATTTGGGCCAGGTTGTGCAGGATGAAATCAACAGTGGAAAGGACAAGGAACTGCAGCTTGAGGTAAGGCGACCCCCATGGATTTTGGGCGCGGCATGTGCTGACAGGAGTGTGACCAGGTTGTCGCTGCTTGCCTGAGCGTCTTCACGAGGCTCGACTCGTTGCTGTAAGCCAGCCCAGTTGCGGTTGGTGCCTTAATTTTTCTGCAGCCCACCCCCCGGGCCGTTCCCCCCGTCGATACCACGCAGTATGCTGGCGCCACCGGCGTTCACCCAAGAGCGTGGAGTTGATTGTGCTTCTGGGCGAATAATTATTTATATAGTTTGGGTGCTGGTACGTCCATTTATCGGAACCTGACGGCCGCAAGGAGAGGGAGAGAGGTAGCTATGCAACACGACGACGGCCGCCACCACCACCACCACTGGAATTGTGTCTTTTCTCTCTGCAGGGCGTCTGGAAGATCCATGAAAACAGCGGGCCGTGTGTTACGTAGCATCGCGCTTGAGATATCATAATGCAAAGTACTTTCGAGGCCTGGTTCACGTGACCGTGTCGCAGATGAGGGTGACGGGGGACGCGTAGGAGAGAGTTATTTAAAGAGCAGCAGCATCGTGAATGACATCAGCGCAGACCTCGCAGGGAGAGGAGGGGAGAGCGGGCGCTTGGCGGGTGCTGTGGGTGGATCGTTTTGGGCGCGGGCTTTCTCCCGCTCGGGGCGTGCCTGATTTCGAATGCGACACGCATCACGGCACCAGCGAGCTCCCATTTCCGCACCCCGATCCACGTAGCACTGTCAATCCTGCCGCAGGGGAGGAGAGGAGCGCACGATTCCTCCGACTGCTACACGCCTCCGCCGCTGCGCCCGTTCCGACCTCCACCCTCCGCCCTCCCTCGGCATTTCTCTTTCTTTGTCCCGGCCCCAAGCAGCCAAACAGACCAGCCCGCCCAGCCTGGACTCTCGACGCGCCGGATCATTGCGTGCAGCTTTGGTATGTTGATTCACCCGTCAATAGGTCTCCTTCCCAATTATCTCCACCCTCCCTTGAGTCGGTCATGGCGTCGCTGTCCCCGTCAATCATCACAACCCTCACCCTAGCCACTCGCGGCACCTCCTCTGCCGCACGCCGTCACCACGCCTCGCCCCATGGCCGCGCGACCGCGTCCCACGTCCGTCGCTGACATCTCCAGACCATTCATGTATCCGCCCTGATCTACTAGATCCCCATACCCGTGCGACCCTGTCATTGCGCGCTCGTTACGCGCCTACCCTCCGTACATAGACCATGCCATCTCCCGTCTCCGCGTCGACCACCGCACCCTCGGTCCAGTCGCATGAACCATCCGATTCGGACGCCGCACAAGGCGCGCAAGACGCGCCAAATGGAACAGCTGGAGAGGACGCTTCAGATTCACCTGCCGGGCCCGCAGCATCAGGACAGGCCGCCGAAGGAAGCGACGCCATCCGCGAAGGTAAAGAGAAGGCGAAGGTGGTAATGGTTGCTTCAGGCGTGGAAGTCGGGGCCGCGTCTGGCCAAAAGACGTCTCCAGGGCGCGCAACGTCTCCCTCGACCACCGGCGACGGCGCCAATGGCACTTCCCCAAGCCGGAAACGATCCAGATCCGGGTCGCGATTGCCCTCTCAACCGCCTGCGCCGGGGTCTTCGAGTCAGAGTCAACACGAACTCACGCAACATCTCATAAACGAATACTCGACGCGCGACATGCTACACGCGGCCGCAATGAACCAACAAGCAGACAACGTGCGCCAACTCATGAACGAGAAGCTTTCAGAAGTAGAATACTACAAACAACTCCGTCAACAACGACAGATAGATCCCGGGTCCGTTTTTGGTCATGGATTCGACGGCTACGGCAATGGATTCACGGAAGCGAAGCCCGCTAGGCTACAGTATCCCGCAGCGCGGAAGCGTTTGGGGAACCGCCGGTCCAAAAGCTTGCAAGTCACAAGAAAGGATATCACGAAGCAAGCCGAGCAATACGAGGAGCTTGTACCCGTACGGCTTGACATTGAGTATGACAAGATCAAGCTTCGCGACACCTTTACATGGAATTTGCATGACCGCGTCGTCACACCAGAATTATTTTCGGAAAATATGGTCGAGGATTTCAAGCTGCCTCAAGAGACTAGCCTGCATGTTATGAGGCAGATTAATCATGAGATCCACGAACAGCTTCAGGACTTTTACCCTCATATCTTTATCAAGGAGGACCCCTTGGACCCGCATCTTCCATATGATGCATACAAGAATGATGAGATGCGCATCCTCATAAAACTCAACATCACGATTGGAGCGCACACATTGGTGGACCAATTCGAGTGGGATATCAACGATCCCATGAATTCACCGGAAGAGTTTGCCAGATCGATGACGACCGAGTTATCGCTTTCAGGCGAATTTGCTACCGCGATCGCGCACTCGATCAGAGAGCAATGCCAAATGTTCACCAAGAGTCTGTATATCACCGGCCATCCGTTCGACGGTCGACCAGTCGAGGATGCGGACGTGCGCGACAGCTTTTTGTTGTCGCCTCTGGGCTCCGTTTTTAGGCCAGTTCAGGCAGCCAAAGACTTTGCTCCCGTGCTTTACGAGCTGAGCGAGGCAGATCTCGAGCGCGCCGAGCTTTCTATTATGCGGGAACAGCGGCGACAGAAGCGATCCGTCAATCGGCGTGGTGGACCAGCATTGCCGGATCTCAAAGACCGCCAGCGTACGGTACGGACTATGGTCGTCTCTTCTGTGCTTCCTGGCGCAGCAGAGCGCATAGAGGAAAGTCGGCTGTACAAGCCATCCCGTTCCTCTGGTAGAGGCAGGCGGACTATTGGACGCGGAGACGGTATAGACGATTCGGATGAATCTGAAAGCGAGGAGTCAGCACCGGAGTCGCCGGCCCCGTCGCAAATAATGATGGGAGGAACGGCTAGGACCCGAGGCATGCGTGGGGCTGCAATCGCAGCTACCGGTGCCATGCGAGCAAATTTGGGCCGGTCACAGACACCGGAAGTGTCGATGCTGCAACATCATCACGAAACCCGCACCTCAAGGCGTTTTGGCCACGAGCGTGAGGAGAGCGTGGTGGCGGAACCGACGACATTCATGGTCAAGCTCCGTATATCGCGCGACAAGCTACGGCGATGGGCGCAAGCGCAAAACACGCCACGGGCCGCGGAGTACAGGCAGAATTCGATATCAATGCCATCGCAGGCTGCGACTCCCCTTCGCGCAACGCCGGCGCGCAGTTCAATGCCACCACCGCCCTCACCGGCAACGCAACAGCGGTCCACGCCTGCTGCTGATGGAACGCCGACGAGCAATGGCCAACGAGAATGGAAATATTTCCCTGATGGGCGCGCAGAGGCAACATTCCCTCAGCCACCAGCGCATGAAACGGTCAGTAGAATTGACTCATAACGGTATGTTTGCACTGTTCACTAACTCGGACCAAGCCCCCGCCCCCGCAATGGCTCAAGGACGCTGTTATCGCCCTCAAAGCAAAGTACCCTCAGGACAACTTCGACGCCACGATGCGTTGGTCGGCCGTTGATACGCGGACACAATCGCCGGCGCGTATGGACTCGCTGCCACAGGGCGCACCTATTCCCTCGCATATCAAATTCTTCTACCTGCCGAGGATCAGGTGTCACGACTGCCCGGGCAAGCTGTACACTGCCGGCCCCGGTCTGACTGTTGAGAATTTCGAAGTCCACCTTAAGAACAGGCTGCACCTGGAGGCAGTGAAGAAGAGGCGGGCTGCAAGCGGGGGGCTACCTTGATGCGGGACGTTGGCTTGCCGGTCATGTAATGCAACATCATCGCGTCTGGTAAGGACGGCAGACGCCTGGACCACGTGCCAGCGGAAAAGATTCGGGAGGAGAGGAGAGCTCCCTAAGCCAAGTCAAGGATTGGAAAGACGGCATGGTGACGGGTGGCGGCTCTCAAATGTACAATGTTCTTTTTTTCATCTTCTCGTCTCAGCAGGGGTAGAGAAGGCACGCGAAACGTTTGCCCATGCCGCCGTCGTCGCGTTGGAAGCGTCGCTCCCTGAAGCTTTGGGTGTTGGTTAAGGTGTGAAGGGCAAAGGAGCGCGGATGATAGGCTCCAGAGACCTGGCGTTTCTTCTGCATTGGCGTTGATCTCTCACTCCTTCAAAGTCTACTACTAGAGCTAGCTGGGTGGGGAGGAGGGGAGGATATTTGATTGGATTTAGTTGCGGGATGTGAGGGGGCCGCTTGGGGTGGGGAGGAGGAGCATGCATAACGGCAGCAGAGAAAGATGGGTTGAATGAAGTGATGATGAGTGACAACACGGAAGGCGGGAAGTTGTATGTACGTAGTAGGTGAATATTGCAGTAGCACGGTCCAACAAAAGGGCAGGCAAAGACAGGCAGCCGCAGATCCGAAGTAAGACGATGCGGGCGTCGCTCATTCGTCTCACGGTCTCGCCTGCTTAAGCGCCGCGGCGGGCGAGGTCGCAGATCTGCCAGAGCCGCGGCGTGCCTCGGGCCGCATTATGTCAGGCCACGCGCTTCCAAACGTCGTGGGTTTGAGGCCGGCGGCAGATGGGATGTGTTGGCTGGCTGGCGAGCTTTCTCTTTCTCTCACTACCTACTCTCTTCCTTCTTTCTTCTCTACACCAAAGTTGCTGCTGTTTGGCTATCTACCTACCTAATTTCTGTCCGTCCGTCTGTCTTTTCGAATCCGTTTATCTACTGTCGCTTTATTCATTGTTCGGAACCGCTGCAGCAGCTGGGCTGTCTGTCTAATCTGATTGTCTTCTATTCTTCTTTTGCTTCTGCTTCCTCTTCTTTCTCGAGCGAAGCGCGCGATTATCCATCCATCTATCCGCCTGGCCAAAATACCGGCTCGCGACATCTCTTTCCGACCTACTTACACAAACGCCGTCGACGACCAACCAAAGCTTTGCGAGCAAAACACGCCTGCCTGCACGCGCAGACAAACCTCAGCGCTCTCCAGCAACCCCCACGCTCGCACAAAACCAAACCAAAACCACACGCAAAAATGGCATGGGAATGGCTGGCGCCCATCCTCACGCCCACGGCCCTCGCCGCGGTGCAGCACGACGCGACGGTGCTGGGCATCCTGCTGGGCGTGCTGCTGGGCATCATCGGCCTGTGCGCCCTGACGTGGTACATATCGTTCCGCACGGGCAAGGACAACGGCACGTACGTGCCGCCGAAGCTGCCGGCGTGGCTGGGCGGCTCGAAGGCCAAGGCCAAGGGGGAAGGGTGGCGGAAGATGGGGGGGAAGTGAAGTGGGTGTGCATGTGTGTTTGTGTGGAGGGGTGGTTTATGAGGGGATTGGACTGTCTTGAATTTGGGCGTGTTTGATGGCGGGTTGGATGTGCTATGTGAGAAATATCTTTTCGCGCAAAGTTGAATTGATGATCGGTTTGGAAGTGATTGTACATTGTGTTGATGTGTCAGAAAGCAGTGAGGACCATAAAGGTGAACAGATATAGTGTGGTTTGCTGTGAATTATCCTGTTAAACAAAGTATAGGCAGGCATACAACGCCCAAGATTAAGCATACAGCGCGGGTAGCTACCTTGTAACATGACCGTCGTCCAAGTCCGGTACTAGAATCACATTGGAGCCATGGAAGCCGTGTCAGATATAATATCAGACCCGTTTGTCACTGGCACTAACATGATGTTTGTCTGGTGGTAGTGTATGAGCATCAGCACTTATTGTGAAGTAAATTGCTTAAGCACAACGTGAAAGGGAAATGAGCTAACAAAGACGACTAAGTTTGTGGGTTGACAACAATCAAATAGTTACAAAGAAAAGTGGAAGGCGCACCGCACCGAGCAGCGGGCCCCGCCATGTGTGTCATCACCCGGCGCCGCGACAAGGCTGCAACCACGACGACCTAGCTCCCAACCCACCCACCACCACCACCAACACCACTACCACACACTCTCTCTCAGCCTTTGCGTCTTCCGCTCGCGCCATTCGCCCGCTGCCACAGCATCTCCTCATCACTCAGCAGTAGCAACCATGCAGATCAAGTACGCGCCCCGCCCCGCCCCCGACCCCGACCCCGACCCCGCCATGCAGCAGCCAGCCAGCCATGGCCTGTCCTGCAAAGCCCTCCCAAAAATAAAAACAGAGAAGCAGCAGCAGCGAGCTGACAGTTCGGCACGCAGGGTCCGCACGCTCACCGGCAAGGAAATCGAGCTCGACATCGAGCCCGACTACAAGGTACCGTACCGGCTCCGTCCTCGTCCTCGTCTTCCCCACGCGCCGCCGCCGCCGCCGCCGTTGCTGACTGCCCCGCGCGCCCCCGTAGGTCTCGCGCATAAAGGAGCGCGTCGAGGAGAAGGAGGGCATCCCGCCCGTGCAGCAGCGCCTGATCTACGGCGGCAAGCAGATGTGCGTTCGGGCTCCCCGGCCGTTGCCATGCCATGCCACCCCCTCCAATTTCCATTCGTCCAATCGCGTCGTTCGACCTGGTTGGAGGAGGGGCGAGAAGCTTGAAGCTCAAAGTGCAACGGCACAATATGGAGAAGAGGTGCTAACGCGGCGTAGGAACGACGACAAGACGGCCGAGGAGTACAAGCTCGAGGGCGGCGCGACGCTGCATCTGGTGCTCGCGCTGCGCGGCGGCTGCTCCGCCTAAGCTCTGCAGCAGTGAGCCCGACGAGACGCGATGGAGGTATACCAACAGCAGCAGCAGCAGTAACGGCGGCGGCGGCGGCGGCACTGCCATTCCCGCATGGAAGGTGGTGAATTGCATACGGACGGCGGCATGAAGGAGGCGTTTGGGCATCGGCCTTTACGAGCGTACATAACCACACATGCGAGGATCATGCCATGAACGACGACGGCATTGGCGGAGAGGATGTGGTAGACGGCTCTACTCGAAGAAGAAACTCCCTTGTCAGTTTGCTGCTGAAACTGCTGTGAGCACTTTCGATTGCCTGTCTAGTGATGCTACTTGAAAAAGATGACCCAAGCGCTCTGTATAGATTGATTTGACGACGGTATTCTTCTTCGAGAACGCCAGGGTGTGCCCAATTATCGATAATAGCCTCTGTCCTCTCCTGGGTATTCTATCCTGATCCTAACATCAATGCCGGTGCCTCCCATTCGAACTCAATCAATCAATGCCCTTCAATGAGCCCCACCAACGCCTCGCTGGTAAAAACATAGAAAAAAACCAAACATGTGCCGGGTAAAAACATCCGACAACCCCCCCTCCTTACTCACTTCTTCCTCGGCGCCATGAAAACATTGGCATCGCGCTTCCTCTTGTTGGCCGACCGTCCACCCGGCGGCGAGGGCGAGCGCCTGCTACTACCCAGCGGCGGAGCCTTCCTAGCCGGCAGGCCACCAGCGCCCGCCTCCCGGCCGCGGGACGAGGAGGAGAAGGAGGGGCCCTCAGCGGGCGAGCCGTCCCTTGGGGGGAGCTTGTGGCCCGAAGCCAGGGCCTTGAGCCTGGCCTCGCGGTCGCGGAGGCGGTCGCGCTCCTTTGCGGCGTCCTCCTTCTTCTTGATGGCCTCGCGGCGCTCCTGGAGGAAGCGGTCGCCGCCGACGGCGGCCAGGCCCGTGACGGGGCCTCCGACGCGGCGGCCGTTGTCGACGGGCATGCGCGACGGCTCCGGGGCCATGCTCTTGGGGGCGACCGTCACCTTGCCGAGGGACGAGTGGGTGAGGGCGCGGGCGTTGCCCTGGGCCAGGCGCTGCTGGGAGCGGTGGTCGGCGGCCTGGTGCTGGATCTTGGCGATGATGCCCTTGCCGGTGAGCGTCTTCTTCTTCTCGCCGGGGCGGTAGGTGAAGTTGCGGGGGTCTCTGGCGACTTGGGCAGCTTGGGTGCTACTACTACTACTGCCCCAGCCGCCCTTGGCGCGGCGCGGGTCGGCAAAGTTGCGGTTGAGCAGGGTGCTGGTGTTTTTCTTGCGCTCGAGCTCCTTCTTCTTGAGGGCGTCCTTGAGCGCCCTTTGCTGCTGCTCGATCTCGGCCTCCTGGTCGCGCTTCAGCTTGGCGTACACCTTGGCCCACGACGACGGGTTGCGCGGCACGTGCGCCCGGTCCTCCCAGTTCTGGATGTCGCGCTTGATGAAGGCCAGCCACAGCTCGCCCGTGTCCTCGGCCAGGTGCGGGCTGTTCTTCTCAATCTCGCGCAGCTGGCTCGGGTTCTCAATCTTCTTGAGGATGGGCTCGAGGATGCGGTAGGGCAGCTCGTCGCCCACGTCCGTCAGGAGGTGGATGTTGCGGATGACGCGCCGCTTGGCCATTTCGAAGAGCGATGAGGCGGGCATTGTGGCGACGGGGGGTTATTGGTGTTGGTGTGTTGATGCCCGCTGGTGCGGCGAGGACGACTCGAGGTCGAGGGCGGGATTCGTCTAAGCTTTATTTGTAGGCTTGTGATGTCAAGAGCCGAATGGAGCGTCGGTCGGGGGACATGCGGGGGGGCGACGCGGAGAAAGCTTGCATGGAAGCGGCCAAGTATGAACGAAACGCGAACCGGTCTAGGCAGGGACTTGGCTTTGAAAGGAAGATGGAAGGTCAAGGTGAAAGCGGGAGCCAAATGGGCCAGGCTGACAGCTTGCCAAGGCTCGCACAGCCACAGCATATTTGATTAGACGTGGCCGGATGCCTGCAGTGACTCGCCGGTCATGCGGCCACGACAAACAATGGTCAGTCTACCTACTATGGCCGGGGTGGCTTGCGGGATCGACGCGCGCCCATGACTTCCGCTCTCCGACCTGCTGGACCGGACACACCCTCCAACCCACCAAAAATGGCGTCGCAGGAATATGGCCTGCTCGACCAGGCCGACGAAGGTGAATTTACTCTCTCATCTGCCGCAATTGCTTTCACACACACATCTAACACCACCGCGCAGACCTGACCCACAAGGCCCGTCTGCTGCCCATCGAGCAACGACCCTTCCAACGCGTCGCCAAGCGCATGGTGGCCGCCGACTCGCCCATCTACAACCCACCAACCGCGCTGCCATCGCCACCCCCGGAGGGCCATGGCGCAGACGACGTCGACGGCGCCGCGCGCCAGGCCGAAGAGCGCAACGCATGGCGGCAAGACATGCTGCTGGACCTGGCCAGCCTGCAGGACAGCACCGTGCGGATCCAGCTGCTGCGCGACAGCAACGAGGCGGAGCGGGCGCGGTACGCAGCGGAAAAGGCCAAGATCAGCGCGACGGCGGCCGCCATCCGCGAGGGCAACGCGGCGCTGCGGGCCGAGCTGGAGGGTGCGCGCGCGACGCTGGCCCGCCGCAAGCGCTACGACGAGCTGGCCGAGCGCATCACCAGCAACCGCATGCTGAAGCCGCGCGAGGAGCAGGCCGCCCAGCTCGCCAAGCTCGACGCCGAGATCGCCGAGCTCGAGCGCGAGCGCACCGTCTACAAGCAGACGTGGGCCGAGCGCCGCGACCAGTTCGGCCGCATTGTCGACGAGGGCCGCCAGATGCTGCGCCTGATTCGGGATGAGAAGGAGGAGGCGGAGCGGAAGGAGGGCATGGAGGAGGGCGAGGCCGACGAGGACGAGGGCCCGGAGGGTGCGAGCAGCGGAAAGGGCGATGCCAGTGCCGTGGGCACGCCTAGACCCGATGCTGCTGCTGGCCAGACGCCCAACCCTTCCTTCTCCGGTGGCCACCAGCTCGCGGCCCAGCGCGGCCTGCTCTCGGCGCCTAGCCCCGCGCCCAGCTTCGGCGGCGCAGGCACTCCCGCCCGGGGAGAGGAGAGCCAGGGCGACGATGCCGACATGGCCGAGGCGGGCGAGGTCGCCAACGATACCGACATCGAGGAGGGCGAGGCGGAGGAAAATACCCCGGACGAGAAGATGGACGAGTCATGATGGGCTGGGCTGGGGAAGCATGGCCGCGCGGCATAGGGTGGCGTTCCGGTTCTTCTGTTCTACCAAGGCATCATATCGGGGGGTTGGTTGATCAAAAAGCAGACGGGCGGTGGTGGTTCACTGGATTATCGACTGAAGCAAACCGAATCAACCTCTACGTTCACGCTGACTGACGAGACATGTGGTCCTTCGGGCGACAATTCAACGTTTACAATTGTGTCGATGGAATTACGTCGCTCTTCGATTATACTAGCTTCCGTCGAGTATACAGGACGACCCAATGGTATCGCATGGCCGCCGTCGTTCGACCTCATCTCTCGTGTCTCGTGTACCATACTGCATATAACCCGCCTTTAACCATCCGTCTTTCGTGTCGCCTCTCCCCTAACTCCGTTGCGCCGTCAAGCCGCCATATAAAGGCAATCCACAAGAATAAGGTATCTCCGCCGAAAATGTACGAGGAACAAGAAGTAGAAGGAGAAAGAACAAAATCCAAGAAAGAAACAAGCCGCACCCACTCATCCCCGGCGGGCCGGAGCATCAAATGTACGGTCTCCTGCAGGCGCGCACACAGTTCAGCGACGGCTCTTCAAAGAGCGCGCGCACACAAAAAGGAAGGAAGACAGAAAAAAAAAAAGCACTACGAGTAGCGCGAGTGGCGGCTATAACTGCGGCCGCGCGGCACGTAGTCACTGCCAGGATGCACCATGGGGTCGACTGACCTGTAAGACTCACGGCGGGAGCCACGGCGCGCCGTGCGCGGGGGGCTATGCTCCTCGATGACCTCGACGACGTCGTCGCCGGCAACGCGGTGCTCCGACTCGCGCACGCGCTCCTCGACCAGGACGCTGCGGCTGCGGGGGCGGGGCTGGGGCGGCTGGGGCGGCATGCTGCGCCTGCGGCTGTGGCGGCGGTGTTGGCGGTCGTCGCCGCCGCCCTCGTCCATGACGACTATGTGCTCGCGCACCTCGCGCACCTCGGGGCGCGTGCTCCCGCGCCGGCTGCGGTGGCCGTGGGCCGGCGCCTTGCGCTCCCGCGCTACGATCTCTTCGTCGCCGTGGATTTGGTTGCGGCGGCCGTTGAGCCCCGTCAGGGCGGATAGGAGCCACATGAGGAGCAGGAAGCCGGCTACCGAGCCGAGCACGATGCCTACGACTGTGCCGGGCGGTGGGCCGGATGAGAGGCCTTTGTAGGTGAGCGGGATGTAGCCGAAGTTGGCGTTGGACTGGCGGCGGAGCAGTGATGCTGATGTTGCCGGGTCGGGAACGGGCGGAGGTAGTGCTGGCATGGTGGTAGTGGTAAGCCGGCGGCGGAGAGGAGAAGAGAGATGATGGTGGTGGTGGTTTCGTTGGCGATGCAGCCGCGAGCTGATTTGATGTTTGGAGACAGCGGGCGACTGGTGGAAAGGTATGTAAGACGCAGGGCAGGGGAGAGCGAGCAATTGGATGGATGTGAAGAATTGCTGCCTGACGCAATGTCGACGCGATGGTCGTCTGGCAAGGAAGGTGTCGAGGTGGCTGGAGTTTAATCCGGTGGCTGCTCCCGGCCTCCCGCGGCTTGCGACTGCCGAACCAAACTTCAACTGCCGTCGCTGTCAAAGCTACTTTCATTGTACCCAACTCGTCACTGGAATGTCAGTATCAATGCGCAGTTGTCATTGTCGTCGTCGTCGGTGATGAGCGGCACAGCGGGTGCAGCCGCCGTGCATCCCCACCGCGGCGACAACAGAGGATCAGTGCTCACCCTCCGCGCCGCCGCCGGTGGAGACGACGCGGGCGCTCCCGCTCTCTCACTCGCCACGCCCGCTGTGACGACGTGTGCTTCGCCTCTCTTCCCCGAGCGTATCGCCGCCTTCATTCAATTAACGACGGGAGAGCTGTCAGCCGACGCTGCTCACCCATGCCGGTCAGTCCATGATGTGCGCTGCTGTGCCGCATGCCTTCCCAAGGCAGCACTCTTCCGGCTCCGCTGTTCTGAGTGAGCGGCTCCTCGAGTTGTTTTAAGTCTCACTGCTGTCCTTTGGTTTCAATTTCTTTTTCTCCTACTTCACAATAATCGTCTGTTTTGCTTCATTCTGTCTTCTGTGTTGGTCTGCGTTTCCGTAACCCTTGTATATTTTTGTACTATATGCGTTGGTCTCGGTTGGTATATGCAAACGAAGTGCAAGGGGCTTCAAGTATGGCATCGTCCTTTAGTGCGACCATGTTTGATGCTTTGGGCCAGTACGATGCGTTAAAGATGTTTGTTTGGGACTCATTGGTACCAAAGTGGGCGACCTTTTTTTTTTTTTTTTTTTTTTTTTTTTTTTTATCAAAACGACTGAGAGACCGCCAACTGACTCGACCCAAAGAAAATGGGAGTACGAAAGACGGCGAGCTCGCCTAGAGAGGAACCGATATGCCATAGAACAGAAATGGCAGACTACCGACCATATCAACTTCGAATACAAGTCCGCCTAATACACCTTTTCGACAGCACACTCAATATGCTGACTTGACGAAGCGATGCACCAATGTACGAATACCAGCCATTAGTAGCCACTGCTTCCATACGACTCTTGATTATAAATCCCGGATCACTTGACGAGCATATTGACTGCTCAATGCAAGAGTACCCATTGGATGAATGTCCTGCATTTTCGGCACTTTCCTATACTTGGGGTAGTCAGATCCAGGACCACCGCATTTATACTGACGGAAAAGTCCTTGGAGTGACTCAGAACTTGTGGCATGCTCTTTGGAGGCTTCGTTCCCCAGACACGCAACAGGTTCTCTGGATAGATGCGGTCTGCATCAACCAAAAGGACCATCGGGAGCGCGGAGAGCAGGTACGACAAATGGAGCGAATATATTCGCAAGCAGCAATTGTCACGATCTGGCTTGGAGAGGAATCCGAAGACAGTGCGCTTGCTTTCGAGTTGACCAAACGCGTCTATTCAGTTGCAAAAGATGACCCTCTGTCCGAGATTAACCAGAAGTTAGGTGCAGAGGGTCTCGCCAGAAAAGGCTTGCCAGAGCCGAACAGTGCCGACTGGAGAGCCTTCGAGGTCCTTTTCCGTAGGCCTTGGTTCAGACGATGCTGGATTATTCAGGAGATCGTTCTAGCCCAGGAGGCCATGGTTGTCTGCGGCTCCCAATGGGTGTGGTGGGAAGAGCTCAAGACCGCCGCCTGGTATATCCGTATGCACAGCATTCCCGTCAATCACACTGTCAACATCACCAGTCTTACCGCCTACCAAAGACGGTATCGAGAGGGCCGAAACATGCCATTGCTAGAACTGTTGCTTTTCAGCACAGCAAACGGTGCTACAGACCCACGAGACAAAGTGTACTCATTCCTGGGAATTTGCTCCAGCATCGATTCTTGTCAGATTTTGCCTGACTACAACGCTTCCACTGAAGAGGTTTATCGGGAAACAGCATTGATGCACCTGCGCCGTGGCAACCTGGACATACTTAACGGGCTGGCCGATCTGCGTTACCGTATTACGCCAGGTTTACCTTCCTGGGTGCCAGATTGGGCTTTTGAATCACGCACCAAGCCACTGGTACCTGGTCTCGTGAACGCCGGAGGCAGTGGCGATGCGAGTTTTCGTTTGTCCGAGGATTCGCGAACACTGTTCTTGTCGGGTGTCAGATCGGATACTGTCCGCACCGTAGGCGGCTGGATGGCAGCTAACTACGCTGACATGGCTCCAGGGCGGATTTTACCACACATGGTGAATGATGTTATGCTCGTAGATCTGCGCGTAAGACTTCTACTTCTCTGGCAGCGACTAGCATCCACCCTTGACACATATCCTACTGGAGAGACTGTAATGGAAGCATTCCAGCGCACGATCGTCGCTAGTATACAGCGATGGCGAGAAGAGTGGGAAATCGGACCACATATCAGCACGTTATACGATGCGCTCATGGCGGCGCGGTTGGATCCGGCATTCACTATGCCCGAAGATCCTTTATGGCAAAAGTATGCAGCTTCGACGCAGGAGGACCCTATCACAATCAGAACGGCCGCAATCAACTATGCCACAGCGTTTAAGGCCGCTTCCCCGGAACGCCGGTTCTTCGTCACGCGGAAGGGATACATGGGACTTGGTCCGCGCTCCACTAGGCCCGGCGACAAGATCTGCGTCTTTGTGGGTGCCAAGACTCCTTTTGTTCTCCGTCAACGGAAAAACGGCTTGCACCAAGCGATAGGTGAATGTTATGTGCATGGCATCATGCACGGCGAAAGCCTGGTGGGCGACAATCCCGTGGAAGAGGTCGGCTTGGCCTGAGGAGGCAATGATGAGCGAAACGCAACCCAAGATCCTCCTGGGACTGAGATTCACCACGTGAACGTGGTTTGCGATTGCCGCAGCCGCGCACGAGCAGCATCGGAGCCATTTCGAAATTGGATACGAGAAGTGAAAAACGCAAGGACAAAATCACCACGCGTTCCGGCACAAGCGGCACCCCTGATAAGAAGGCGTCGAAGGATCAGCTCGCAACAAAGACTCGGATGTTTTAAAAAAACGTTATCTGGTCTGGAGCATACCTGAATATAGGGGATGGCTTTAAGGGAGGTCGTTGCGAGATCCAAGACCCCTATCCTGATCGGGTAACGCGCATGCTCAGCCCGATGTTTCGGTTCGCTTCTGTTAGCACGACTAGCACGCCCGGTGCACGCCTTGGACCCTTCCAAACCGCGGGCCCCGCGGACCGCAATGACCAGAAGCGTCCTCCCATTTTTTCCTTCTCAACTGTCTAATACCGTTAAAACAGTCACTCCTTTTCCTCAGTCGCTCCCTACAGCTCGTCTCTTCGCCCTCTACACGACCGTTTTTGATACCCCATTTTAAGGAGCCGCTCCTGAACCACGTTCCGGCCCATCACTCATCTCCAAAGCCTCACGATTCTCGCCGCAATCTAGCCGTCTAGACTCCCCTGAGAGGACAGACGAGAGACAACTTCGCCTAGAGCATCTCCCGAACCACCACCTTTGCGCAACACCATGTCTGGCTACCCACCGCCTCCCCAGCAGGCCTACGGCGCGCCGCCTCCAGGCTACCCCCCCATGCAGCAGGGCTACGCCCCGCCGGATCCCAACATGCAGTACGGCTACCCACCACCGCAGGGCTACCAGCAGGGCTACCCGCCACCGCAGCAGCCGCAGACGGTCATTGTGCAGGAGAAGGAGGACGATGGGTGCTTGAAGGGTTGTCTGGGCGCGTTGGCATGCTGCTGCTGCTTGGAAATGCTATGCTAGAGCAGCAGCGACGCATGAGAAGCCGCTGTGAGGGGAGAGAGAAGGCCAACCTACTGTCTCTCGAACCAATGCCGCCAGGCAGTTAATTAAGATGTGGCAGCCCGCCGCGTCTGCCACACGCGTACTGCAATTCGCTGGGTCGCGCCCTATTTGCGTTGGCCTTTGATCACTCCTCTGACCTTTTTTTGGCTGGCGGTTTCCTGCCTGCCTGCTTGCTTGCTGGCTTTGCAACGACAGCCACGACTACAATAACCACCACCACGGTCCGATGCAGTCCATCATATATCACATCAATTCGACTCTTTTTCACCATACTCCGCCATATCCGTCGTATTTTATCTGGCAAATACCTCATTCTTAACCAACTCCTCTTCGTCTTTATCTTTATATCTTGCTACGCTTGTCTCGCATCTTTTCAACGATCAATCATATATTCTCAAACATTTATTATCTCTTGTACAATATCTTACATGTTTCTACATTTTCGGTCCGGCTGTACAGTAGTTGCTTGCTTGCTTGCCTGCTTGCTTGTTTGTCTGTTTGTTTCCAAAGGATTCATTCTGGTTCGGGGTGTGTGTGTGTGTGTGTGTGTGTAGTGAGCAACAGAAGCAAGAGGAGGAAACATTGGGTTTCGCGCCAAGACAGGACGTTCATGCTCGTCTTGGGGCAGACAAGGGGGTAGGGAGGGAGCGAGTGATGGTCAGGAACCAGGGGTCGAGTCGGGCCTGGACTAGGCCTGGCTGGGCTGGGCTGGGCTGAGACGGATCGGCGCCAGGGGGAGGGAAGGAAAGGGAAAGGAGGGGGAGCGACAGGGGGTGGGATGGATGGGTGGGCAGCTTCGGCTTCGGCTTGCTTCTGTTCCGTGGCAACGCGCGTGCTTGCTTGTTGCTTGTTTCCTGGCCCTGGGGTGCGGTGGAGGTACCTAGTTGGCTGCGCTGGAGAAAGAGAGAAGTGTTTCTGGTTTGCCGTGTGGGTTTGAACTTTGAGATACTTGTATAGATAGATATACATGTATATATATATGCGTATGTACGTTTGTTGTTATTCGAGTGATTCGACTGTTTATTTATTTGCGTCTGTTTACCAATCCAGTCCTTGCCGTTGAATATTTGTTTGTTTGTTTGTTTGTTTGTGTATTTATTCATTCATCAATGTTGCCGGCTGCTGTCGTCTATAGGTATGTAACGTCGTCATGCAAGCTGTGTTGGCCATGCATGCAGCAGGCACGCGCGTAGACATGCAGACGTACGTATGTATGTATGTAGTACGCGTACGCGGTCTCTATCTATCTATCCTTCCTTCCTTCCTTCCTTCCTTCTTAATGTATCCGTCTACGCGTCTATCCAGGTGTTTGGGTTGTCCTGCTAGCGTGAAATAGTAGGTAGGCATTAAAACTCACAGGGAAGACAGATGCAAAATGATGGAGACACGACAAGCCCAAACAAAATTGATAGATGGAGGAGAGGCGAGGATGATCATTTCGCTTTTTTTTTTTTTCCCTTTTATTTTCCCTGTTCCCGTCTGGGTTTCTATTTCGTGTCATTCATTGCGTTTGGTTGGTTATTTCCTCTTTTCTTCTGTTTGGTTTTCTTTTTCATCGCCATCGTCCGGATAACCCCTACAATCTCTGTTCGTTCATTCTTCCCTTGCCTTTTCTCTTTTTCTCCTCCTCATCATCTTCATCAAACAACACGCACACTGCATGCCTGCATGCATGGTTATGCATCATATCATCAGCATCCTCATATCTAATCATCCACTAACCACACACCCACTCCCACTCAATGCAGCCCTAGATCCGCGCTCTCAGCCATGCTGCGCTGGCATGCAGCTAAAATCGCCGCCTGGCGCGCCACGTCTCCCAAGCGACCAATGACGCGGCGATTGCCGTCGGCAAAGCCATACAAGCCGTAAGGGATGTCGACGTCGTCGCAAAACTCCATGACGAGGCGCTGGGCCTTGCGCAGGTTGTGGCGCGGCAGGCGGGGGTACAGGTGGTGGATGGCCTGGAACTGGAGCCCCCCGTGGAAGAAGTCGAGCCACTGCGGGCAGTCGACGTCCATGGTGGTGCGCAGCATCTTCTGCGGGAAGCTCTCGCGCGCGCCCAGGTCCGCCGTGCTCATGGCAAAGTGCGACAGCGTGATTTGCACGTGCACCGGCGCCGTGACGACGTGCGAGACGAGCACGAAGACGACGCGCGCCCACGCCGTCGGGATGCTGAGGTACACGGTCCGGTACCCGAACCAGTACCAGAAGGTGACCTGGCCGGCTAGCTCCAGCCACCGGTGCCACCACGCCGGACCCTTGCGCGGCGCTTGCCCGCCCAGCAGGTACTCCCACGACAGGCGGTACAGGTTGAAGCGGCCGAAGCACAGGATCGGGTAGTAGAGGTAGTTCTGGTAGCGGATGAGGAAGCGGGCCGGCGCGTCGTAGTGCAGCACGCGGTCGTAGTACGTCGAGCGCAGGCTGGAGAAGAAGCGGTGCGAGATGGCGAAGAAGGGCAGGTGCTGGATGTCCGGGTCGTGCTCCGCGTGGTTCGTCACGATGTGGTGCACGTTGTGGTTGCGCTTCCACCAGCCTAGGCTCAGCCCGCCCAGGAAGTCGGCCACGATGATGCCGATGACCGTGTCTGCCGCGAAGTTGTGCGTGATGCCCATGTGCCCGGCGTCGTGCGCCGTAAAGACCAGCTGGTGCCAGAAGCAGCCTAGAAATAACCCGGACGTCGCGTACCACCCCCACCGCAGGAACACCAGGAACAGCGTGAAGAATAACGAGTACCGCGCCAGCTCAATCATGTACGAGCTGTAGTGGCACTGGTACAACCCCTCGGCCTCGATGCGTTCGTTCAGCGCCCGGTACTTGCGCACAATCTCGTCCTGAGTCGCCGGGTCCAGCGGCGGGTAGTGCTGCGAGTCCTGCTTCAGCTCCTCCTGCGTCCTGGCGTCCAGCAGCGTCATCTTGGGCTCATCGTTCTTCTTCTTCTCCGCCGCCGCCGCCGCAGCAGCAGCGGTGTCGAGCTCTTCCCCCGACGAAATAGACGTGGCCGACGAGGTGCGGCTATATGTGGTGTCGGTGCGGCGGCGGCGCAGAGCGGCATCGGGATCGGCGGGCTCGAAGATGGGCGAGGGCGCTTCAGAGACGTCGGTGTCGCAGCCAGAGTCCTGCTGCTGCTGCTGCTTGAGAGCGTCGAGCTCGGCTTGGGTGCGGAACTTGCCACCTTGGATGGGCGGGGTAAAGTTGGTCCAGCGGCCCTCGATACGGCCAATGATGAAGTTCCTCATGCGGATCTTAGCGATGGGCGAGTGCAAGCTAGGAGGGGGAGCTTTTGTCAGCACACACACACTAGATGGGCAAATCAACGTACGCGTTGACCTCGTCCGTGGCGTCTCTGCCCACCATGTGCTTGATGGCCTTGTCGCCGCCGGGGTGGTATTGCATCCAGGCATCGATCTTGAGGACCCTGCCGTCCAAGATGATGACATGGCCTCCGTCGGCTATGAGAGCCTCGATTTCGTCCCGCGAGTACACACGGTCCCTGCGGGACGGCGCGCGGTTGGCGGGAAGCATGGTGCCGGGCCGCAAGCGGGCAGAGGCTTGAGGCTAGAAAGAGGGGCAAGGGGGGAAAAAGAGGAAATGGGGGAGCGACAGAGTGGTGGAGGCGGGAGTGGCGGGGGATGGAGGGAGGGAGGAGTGGCGGATTAGTTAAGGATGTCAGGAGATGGTTAGCAGATGTGCAACGCTGCATGCCAGAGAAAGAGGAACGGCGGCCAGCATTTTGCCCGCGAGAGAAGGTATTTTAGCAGACTCGCTCGTTGGTCTGGTCGGCGATTCGCACCGCTTCCTTCCTCTTCGCTTTACCGACGGCCCACTCGCTGGTCGCTGCGTGATAGTCGACTAGCTGCTTGGACTTACTACAATACGGAGTGCGTCCCCGTACTACCTACCTACACTGTACTACAATACTACATACATCTCTCCCAAACCTAAACCATGGCTTCCCCCCCGATAGAAGAGCTGGCAAAAGAGTGGCTGCGCCTGGACAGGGACCCCACGACACGTGACGAGATATACCGTCTGCTCAACCGCGGCGAGAAAGAGGAGCTGGAGCGACGTCTGCGCAAGCGTATCGCCTTCGGTACCGCCGGCCTGCGCGCCTCGATGCAGGCCGGGTTCGCGCGCCTCAACTCGCTGACGGTCATCCAGGCATCGCAGGGCCTGGCCGCCTACCTGCTGGCCAGCGTGCCCGACGTCAAACACCGCGGCGTCGTTATCGGGCGCGACGCACGCCACAACTCGGAGAAGTTTGCCAAGCTGACGGCGGCAGCGTTCGTGGCCAAGGGCATCCGCGTGTGGTGGTGCGAAGACCACGTCCACACGCCGCTGGTGCCGTTTGGCGTGCGCGAACTGACGGCCGCCGCGGGCATCATGATCACGGCCAGCCACAACCCGGCCCAGGACAACGGCTACAAGGTCTACTGGGGCAACGGCTGCCAGATCATCCCGCCCCATGACATTGCCATCGCCCGCGCCATCGAGCAGAACCTCGACCCCATCACCTGGGACACGTCGGTCGTCGACGACGGCAGCCTGCTCATCGAGGGCGCCATCGGCCTGGTGCGCGACAGCTACTTCCGCGCCGTCAAGCTGACCGCCGTGCCCGAAAAGGTCCTGCGCCCCGACCCGGCCGGGCTCAACTTCGTCTACACGCCCATGCACGGCGTCGGCCTGCCTTACATGGCCCAGGCCGTCAAGGACCTGGGCTTCGCCGACTGCATGCACGTCGTGCAGGCCCAGGCCAAGCCCGATCCGGACTTCCCCACGGTCAAGTTCCCCAACCCGGAGGAGAAGGGCGCCCTGGACCTGGCCAAGCAGACGGCCGACGAGGTCGGCGCTGCCCTCATCATCGCCAGCGATCCGGATGCCGACCGCCTCGCCGCCGCGGTCAAGCTCGACGACGCCTCCTGGCGCCAGTTGACGGGCAACCAGCTGGGCGTGCTTCTGGCGTCGCACGTGCTGGCGACGTACCCGAAGGAGAAGCCGCGCGAGAAGCTGGCCATGCTGGCGTCGGCCGTGTCGTCGCGCATGCTGGCCGCCATGGCCCAGGCCGAGGGCTTCAAGTTCGCCGAGACACTGACGGGCTTCAAGTGGCTGGGCAACATTGGCATCCGCCTCGACGGCGAGGGCTACGACGTGCGCTTCGCGTACGAGGAGGCGCTCGGCTACATGCTGCCGTCGGTCGTCAACGACAAGGACTCGATCAGCGCGGCGGCCTACTTCCTGACGGCCGTGACGCGCTGGCAGGCCGACGAGGGCCTGACGCCGTGGGGCAAGCTGCAGCAGCTCTACGCCCGCTACGGCTTCTTCGCCGACGCAAACACCTACCTCGTCTCGCCGGACCCGGACACGACCAACCGCGTCTTCGGCGACATCCGCGCCCTCGCGGACCCCTACCCCGCCGCTCTCGGCGAGCGCGCCATCCGCCGCTGGCGCGACCTCACCGTCGGCTACGACAGCGCGGCAGAGGACCCGCAGGTGCCCGACTTGCCCGTGTCGCCCGACAGCCAGATGATCACGTGCGAGCTCGACGGCGGAGTGCGCTTCACGGTGCGTGGCTCGGGCACCGAGCCCAAGATCAAGCTGTACATTGAGGCGAGCGCGGCGAGCGAGAAGGAGGCGCAGCAGACGGCGGACGCCGTGTTGGCGGATTTGCTGAAGGAGTGGTTCAAACCGGAGGTGAATGGGCTGAGGCTGGCTTAGAGGGAGGCGGGAGATGAGAGATGAGAGAGTTGTGGACGGTTGGATGGGCGGCTAGATTTGACTATTTGCGACGAGCGCTGCTTTCAGAGCTGTAATGCAATACCCCCTTTAGATTATTGATGAAGACTTTCTTTCTGCATGTTGGGTTTTGGACAGGAGAGGAGCGGGGGGATCCTCATTGGACTAGCAGTGGCATCCGTCCTACCATCTCGGCGTACCGGAAAGGGTGATGTCCACCATCACGCACGCACTATGGCCAAAGGCAAGCCTCGGGAAGCAGTCAACACAATCGCCAACAACTACCTACGCTCAGTTACCCCCATTCACTCCAGTACCGAGCCACACTGCCTCACAAAGGATCCAAAACACAACCTCATCAAACACCAAAATCACCAGGTAAAAAGCAGCAACCACCCCTCCACTCCACGCTCAGGTACCCTTCTCACCCACCGTCGGTTTACTTTTTTTTTTTTTTTTTTTTTTTTTTTTTTTTTTTTTCGGTCGGCGGCCGTGCAGAGCGAACCCATGGTGGTAAGAACGCGTGCCTGCTTGCTAGCGAGGAGGCTATAAGTGCGCGCGCGGAGGTTTGTCTTACTTGGTGCGTGGTCGCTGATAGATGTTGATGATGCTTTACGTTGGTGTGGGCTGGTGGTGGTGGGCACTGGTGCTGCGTGGGACGGACAGCCTTGAGAAGACAACGAAATAGGAGACTAGGAGAAGACAAGTGTACAATGATGACACGGGCCTTACGACGACACAGCACACGCTCTACCCGCGTGGATCCGACGTTGTAGGTATGTGTAGGCAGCTTTCCGCGTCGTCGGGTAGAGACACGGCCCTCGGCCGATGAGGCCGCCCTCTTCTCGCCGCGTAGGTTTAAGGAATTCCGAGATTCGAGCGGAGAGAAGAGTGCGATTGAAGTGGTAGAAAAGGCTACGTCGGCACACAGCGCTGCAAGCCGAGAGGCAGAGCCGAGGTGAAGTGAGGATGAGCTTCCGATGTCGTCGTGGCGTCGTTCCGCGATGCAGGCGGCGGCCGGGGTCAACGCGGGGGAATCAACCGATGCCCTTGCCGAAGCTGGCTCCGTCATGAGCTGCCCGCGCGCGAAACATGCGCGACTTCTCTGCCCCTCTCGGCGGGTAGTTGGCTCTCTTATTGCCATTGTCCTCCTTCTTCCATCTTCTCCACCTCTCATTCCTCCCACTCTGCAGCCATGCCGTCGTCGATAGCTCTGTGCGCGCGCACCGCGCGCTTCTTTGGCTCCTCTGCTACTTCCAAGGTAACATTGAACAGGAATATCCTCGATACAGGCCGATTGCTAACCGCTGCCGCAGTCCGTCCTCCTCGCCCGTACCTTCGCCTCGTCCAGCCGCCGGTTTGAGATCAACAAGGTGCTGCCCTCGGCCAGCGAGGCCATCAAGGACATGAAGAGCAACAGCACGCTGCTGTGCGGCGGCTTCGGCCTCTGCGGCGTGCCCGACACGCTGATCAACGAGGTCGAGAAGAACAAGAGCATCACTGGACTGACGGCTGTGTCGAACAACGCGGGCGTCGTCGGCTCAGGTCTGGGCCTGCTGCTGGCTTCGGGCCAGATCAAGAAGATGATTGCCAGCTACGTGGGCGAGAACAAGGTCTTCGAGCAGAAGTACCTGACGGGCGAGATTGAGCTGGAGCTGACGCCGCAGGGCACGCTGGCGGAGCGGTGCCGGGCGGGCGGAGCGGGCATCCCGGCCTTTTACACGCCTGCGGCGTTCGGTACAGTGGTGCAGACGGGCGAGCTGCCGCTGAAGCACAACTCGAACGGCACGGTGGCGCAGTATAGCCAGCCGCGCGACGTCAAGGTGTTTGACGGCAAGAGCTACGTCATGGAAGAGGCCATCAAGGGCGACTACGCCTTCATCAAGGCATGGAAGGCCGACAAGCTGGGCAACGTGCAGTTCCGCTTCGCTGCGCAGAACTTCAACGGCGCCATGGCCCGCAACGCGAAGATGACCATCGTCGAGGCCGAACACATTGTCGAGCCTGGCGAGATCGAGCCCGCCGCCGTCCACGTGCCGGGCATCTACGTCAAGCGCGTCATCCAGGCCACGGCGGACAAGAACATCGAGAAGGTTGTCAACGCAAAGGACCCGGCCGAGGCCATGAGCGCGCTGGGCTCGGGCGACGCGCAGAACAAGCGCGAGCGCATCGTGCGCCGTGCCGCCAAGGAGTTCAAGAACGGCATGTACGCCAATCTGGGCATCGGCATGCCCATGCTGGCGCCTAGCTTTGTCGACGCGTCCGTCGAGGTCCAGCTGCAGTCGGAGAACGGTATCCTGGGCCTGGGACCGTACCCGCAGAAGGGCGCGGAGGACCCGGACTTGATCAACGCAGGCAAGGAGACGGTCACGCTGCAGAAGGGCGCGGCAACGTTCGGCTCCGACGAGTCCTTTGGCATGATCCGATCCGGCCGCATCGACCTGACGATTCTCGGCGCCATGCAGGTCTCGGCCAGGGGCGACCTCGCCAACTGGATGCTGCCGGGCAAGATCAAGGGCTTCGGTGGTGCCATGGACCTCGTGTCGAACCCGCAGCAGACCAAGGTCGTCGTCACGATGGAGCACACGGACAAGAAGGGGCGCCCCAAGATCCTCAAGCAGTGCGAGTTCCCGCTTACGGGCAAGACCTGCGTCAGCCGCATCATCACCGACCTGTGCGTGTTTGATGTTGACTTTGTCGAGGGGCTGACGCTCATCGAGATTGCTGATGGCGTGACGGTTGATGAGGTCAAGGCGAAGACTGAGGCGCCGTTCAAGGTCGCGGATGACTTGAAGCCCATGTTGTAGATGGTGGTGTGATGCATTATCCGTTAATTAGTGGAGTGGGAGAGCAAGATTATGGGCATGTCGATACGATATCAGAAGGGATGAGGTATGCAGAGATTTAAGTGTGGCGCAAGTCTTGGAAAGATATCCGTTTATACCAATTAAGAAATTACTAGCCACGCTCGATTGGATGTTCATCATCGCATTTGCTTCAACATCACAGGCCCCCCCGTCAAGTCTTTCTTGGTAGGCCATCCACGCATCCCATTTTTATCTGTTCGTCTATCCATCGATCCCGCCTCGTGATAGACCCCATTATCCCCATTATCCCCATTCGGATGTGTCCATAATGCTCAGTTGGCAGCGATGGGAAGCGACACAACCAAGAAACGAAACAAGACAAGACGGACAACCATTCAAACACTGATGACGTTGTGCTAGCGAGCTAACAGGGTATATATATGCAACACAAAAGAAGAGAGAAACATGTATGAAGAGCAGTAGTAATAGGTAGAGATGAAGCCTCCGACAGACGCTGAGATGTTTTTAGATGTGGCTTGGAGTGGCGTGAAGCAGGAAGAGTCGGGGTAGCGCGGGCGTGCTTCACATGGCGGTGCAGGTGTTCATGTACCCTTTGCGGCACCACCGCACGAAACCGTCGGAGAGGCCCATTGTCGCTGTGTGTTGGGGTGTGTTTGTGTGTGGTGGACGTGGCGGATTGGTATTGCTGGTTGTGAGTGAGAGGCTTGTGCGATCGCTGATATGAGGAATGAGGAAGTAGTATGAGCTAAGAGTCCAGGAACATCGAGGGGTTTGTATTTATATGCATGGGTGTGGGCGTGGGCGCGCTATTGAGGTACGGATGGGGGGTTATTGAGCTAACTAAGGTGCGGGGAATGGTGTGCTGGTTGTTCGTTTGTTTGAGTTGACGTCGGGTTCTTTGTGGGGAGAAAGACGTGATTGGATGGAGGAGACTATAGAAAGAAAAGAGTATGCGAAGAAGAAAGAGGAGAAAGAGCTGGGCTCGTTTGTTCATGATTGTTACCTACTTATTGACACCCGAAAACTGCAGGTGAGTTACCTTCATCACTGGTCCGGCCTAGTCAATCGTTGTACCTATGAGTTGGTTTAGATGTGCACGATAACCGGCTCTTTGAAAAGTCCACATCTCTTGTAAGACACTTATCTAGTCATGGGCCGAAGCTCATCGTGTACCCAAGAAGTAAGCTGCAGTGAGTGGCCCCCTAGATATAGCCAGTGTGCTTTCAAATATCTAAACTCGGAGTGACTTGATACGTCTTCGTTCATATGAAATACCACTCACCGTATGGATATGAATGGTTTTGTAGTATTATCAAATAATTAGACCTAGGGTGACTAGATATCTTCTCGCTTCTAACAAGAATCATTAGCTGCGAGTACATGAATGACAATGACTACTCCTGTAGCCGTGGAAGACTGGTCACTACTGGTGGATCTGATGGGCAGACATGTGAACAAAGAACGTCCCCATATGGCCATGTCCAGCACTAGCGTCGATACCAGTGCCGAGACCGCCATTCAGTTATAGATCGATCGAAATCTTAGCAATCAGCCAGCCCAATCTCTGATTACGCGACTAGTACAATGCTATACTAATAGTTACCTCCTCTCGATCGGGTCCGGTCGTATCGTATTTACTCGTGCCGTGTCGTGTTCCAACCGCACCGCAGCGCTATACAGGCGGCGCCTTTGCTCTCGCTCACGCTATGCAAGGAAAGCCAGAAAAAATAGAAAGCTCAAAGTCCCTCAAAACGCCATGACGCAGCATTAGAAGCCGATCAAGAAAAACCGCAAAGAAACTCATCAACGTCCCATGTTATTCACATTACAGTCCCATCCATAGCGCCACCGACATCGCAACGACGAGACTGAAGATACCGCTCGCGCGGGCGTTGGCGGGCATCGCGCCGCTGTCGCCATGGATGCCGAGCTCCTCGTCCTGGATGCCGAACGTCACGTTTTGGAGGATCGAGTTGTTGTAACAGTTGCCGTTCTCGATATCGAGGTTACTGAGGTCATCCGCGTGCCTGAAGAACATATATGACTTTTGGTTGAGGTCCTTGAAACCAGACGTGTCGTACGGGAACTTGTCACCGCTGTCCGTCGAGCTCGTGTTGCGCAGGAAGATACATTGCACCTGGTTCGGGTAATCATGGGCCAACGCAGGGTACGCCTTCATGACGTCGCTGTTGGAGGTGTCGGCCACCAAGACGAACTTGCGCTCCGGGAACGTCTGGAAGATCTTGTCGAGCAGGAAGCGGCGGATGCTGAGCGTCGCGTCCACATCCGAGAAGTTGAGCGGCCGCGTGTCAAAGGATCCGCCGGGGTACGTCTTGTAGATGAAGTCCATGTAGTTGCGAGTGACTTGCTCCGGAGTCGTTGTCCTGTCATATATGATTAGCCAACGCTTCATTTTATAGTTAAGGACGGGAGGGAGTCACAAAAAATGGAAATGAGCGTCGGGTAGACTCCTGCTCCAGTTGGCATAGATCTCGGGCATGTTTTCCCACTGGACAAAAGGCCGGGCGAAGGAGTTGAGCAATCCATCCTTGGGCTGGTAGATTTTGGTCACACGCAGAATGTCGTCAATGTCGCTGATGAAAGTAATACCCTTGGGAGGCACCAGGTATGCAGTAGCGTTGCCTAGGTCGCTGTTGTTTGCGTAGACATTCAAGCGTTGGATCTTCTGGGTCTCGTTGCCGGCGATGAGTCCACCGGTGGTGTTGGCGATCGGCATGAAAACGTCATAATCACCTTCGCCGGTGGTCCTGTAAGGAAGGATAATCGTTTGGTTGCCGCCAGAGGGCGTCACGGCATTTCCACCGCCAGACTGGCCGCTGGAACCGGCGCTCGGCGCAGGCTCGAGGTGAATCTGAACCGTCTCATTGCCCTGCTGGACGACAAAGATCTCGGCCGTCAGGTTGCGAGCCTGGTCCTGCTGCGAAGCGGGGAGGTCCTCGATGTCGGTACCAATAAGGAAGAAGTTGGCCAGGTCGTTCAGTTTCTCCTTGGTCGTGTTGGGCTGCTTGTAGACGTTGCCGTGGAAGCGGACGTTCCAGCCCTTGTCGGTCCAGTTGCCGTAGGGCGGCAGGTTAAGGACCTGGGTGGGCAGCGCGGCCAGCTGGTCGTCGCTGAGACCGAGGGACTTCTGCACGGCAGTGCCGGAGGGGAAGTCCTGGAAGAAGTTTGCGACACCTACCGGAAAAATTGCGTCAGTAAATTCCGGATTCCTCCAATACGAGCTGCGGACGTACCATCGGCGACATAGCTGGGGATGTTGGAGCCCAACTCGGTGAGGTAGGACTTGACATCGCCCTTGAGGTCGCTGATAACGTTGCGGCGGTCGAGGGTCCTGGTTGGGTCGCGGAGGACGGGGGAAGGGGTGATAGCAGCCTTGGGGGCCTCAATCGAGTCTGGGACGGCTGTGGGAGCGGGTACGGCGAGAGCAGCAGCCTCCAGGGCAGCCAACAGCAGTGTTTTCTTTAAAGCCATAATGCCGCCAAAAGCCGAGGAACGGAGGAACAGGAACACGGGACGGTAAGAAAAAAGAAGGAAAGGGTATCTAGCAAGAGAAGAGAAGGGAGAAGAAAGTGGGCAGGGCGGTATATTAGTAGTGGCTACGATTCCTAGGCGTGCGGCGGCGGCGGGCTGGCACAATCCCTGGCCTTGATGGTCTGTGGCTGGCTTGGCCCTAAGAGTACGCGAACCTAGCCACGCATTGACGTCACCCCGCTTTCTTCTGCCAACGCCGCTAGCGCTGTTTCCGGTCTCTCTCGCGCCCTCGCTGATTGGCGCCTCGACATCCCCCATCGTGTCTCACCTTCAACGGCGGCCGCGGCGATCCGGCTCCTCCCACACCCCCGACCTTCAAGCGCCCGCCGGCCCAAGTCTGGACTCTCTCTATCATCAGCCTCACTGCCCCGCCTCAGCTCACACCCGTAGGTAGGTAGCTGATGGCTCAGCTCATCGGACTCGACAGCGCATGATACAGCACAGCACATGGCAACGGCACGACCGGCACAAGCACAGCCACACTGCGAACAATGTCCCTTTCCATTCCCATTTCCGGCCCCAACCTCCCTCCACCCGCGCACAGGCAAGCAAACCTAAACCACGCCTCCAGGACGCGCGCGCGACGGCCAACGGATCCTTCTCACCCACAAGCGAAACCCCTCTACTTTCTACAAGCGCGACAAACCCGTGATCTCCCGCGGCGCGTGGTATGTCGGGACCTTCATGTCGAGGGCTGCGCCGCTGTAGCCCAGGTCCTCTGCCACAAGCGTGGCCGCCTTTTCGCCGATGAGCAGCGCTGTCGAGTACTGTCGCCGCCGTCAGAACGATTGCAATGTAAAATAAGGAACACTAAAGACTCACCGTGTTGCAGCCGACATTGTCTGGGCAGATACTCAGGTCTGCCACCTTCAGGCCTTTCACGCCATGCACGTTGAGACGCTCGTCGAGGACGCCGTGCTTGACGATCGAGTTGCCCTCGCGGGGCGCCATGCTGCACGTGCCGAGCGAGTGCCAGGTCGTCTCGACGTGCCGCTTCACCCACTCCTCGATGTGCTCGAGGTCCTCGGTGCTGTACGGCAGGTCATCGCGCACGTCCGCCTGGTTGCTGTTGAGGAAGTTTGGTTTCGGCGTGCGCCCCGGCTCCACCGGAATCGACCACGACCCGTGCTGGATGCCCGCGCTGTGGTGGTCTGGCCCCGCATACGCTTTGGTCGTCGCTAGGTCCATGTCCTTGGCCCGCGCCGGCGAGTCGTACGCAAAGAATGGGTGCATGCCGGTGACCTGCGCGCCTTGTCAGCCAATCGAGTTGCGTAAATAGGTATGGCTATACTTAGGTACGTACCTCGCCCGCGTAGGCCTCCATGCGCCGAGCCGTCTCGCGTGACTTGATATAGCCCCAGACCATGGGCGCCATGTCGCGCTTGTCGTTCATGAAACCGGCGTCAAAGTCGGGCGCCTCGTACGGGTTCGGCGACACGATGTGTGTCGAGCCACGCGAGAACGGGTATTCGAGGAAGTGGAACATGGTGAAGAACTTGCCAGGCGGCATGAGCATGTGGTCACCAAACCAACTACATTCCGTCAGCTTGCCTGTTCTCGGTGGCATAAAGAGACGGTACAGATATATCTTACCCAGAGATGACAGAGTAGTGCATGACCGGCTTGTCTGGCTTGTCCTTGAAGTAGCTGTCCCAGCCAGAGCGGAACTCAGGGCACGGCCAAGAGTCCATCTCTCTGAGCTCTTCTTCTGTAGGCCTGATCTTGACACCGGCATCAATGCCGTTGGTGGCGAGCGGGCCCGTACCGTTGATGTTCCTGTGTCGATAGTCAGCACTCATACTCTCATTGTCTTCTGAGGCAGGCCATCTTTATAAGAAAGGTTGGTTGAACTCACCATTGATCATAGACCTTCTGCTGGACAATAGGGTCGCCGCGGATAAAGTCGTCGAAGCTCTCGGTCTCTGGTTTAGCGCGGAAGACAGAGAATGTCAAGTAGTGGTCCTGGAAGTTGCGGCCGACACCTGGCAAGTCGACGAGAGGTTTGACACCAGCCTTGCGCAGCTTGCTGGGGTCACCTGTCTCGTAGTAAGCTTCTGGTGCATGCAAACATATTTGCAAAACTTACCGATGCCGGAGCGCTGCAGAATGAGCGGCGAGCTCAACGTGCCTCCGCTGACAACAATCTGCTTGCGAGCCCGGTACGTCTTCGAGTGCTGTTGGCTGGGATGCAAGGACTTGGTGGGCACGGTCTGCACGGCCACGGCGCGGTCGCCCTGCAGAATGACCTTGTCGACTTTGGTGTTGACGGCCAAGTGCAGGTTCTGGTGCACAGCGCGCGTGCTGTGGATGTAGCCATGGGCCGAGTCTGACCGGCGGCCGGTATCTCTGTCGCTCTTGTTAACGTGATGGGACTTGTAGGTAAGGCTAGGCGTGGTCGTACCTATTGATCCATTTGAGCCAGTGCTCGGCTCCGTGGCCCGTCTTGAGGTCCTGGAGGTCGTCTGTTGTCGGGATGCCTTGTGACTCGGTGGCCCGCAGGAAGTCTTGCATGATGGGGTAGGTATAGTTGCCAAATGAGACCTTGATGGGGCCCTCAAAGCCGTGGATATCTCTGTTGTTGCCTGTAGGCTTGTAAGCTTCTAGAGAATAATCATGTCATGTTTTGTGCGGGCACTTACAAGAGCGCTGGTACGTCTCGTGTTTTTTCATTAAGGGGAGAAGTTCCTTTGTGGTCCACCCCTTGGCCTGGAAGTCATCATAGTCTGATGCAGAGGCCCGAGTGTACATCCTAGATGTGTTATTTATGAAATCTTAAACCATGAATGGTTGGCATACATGAAGTTAATACTGCTGCCTCCGCCCAGGACATGAGCGCAAGGAACAACAGCCCGGCGGCCGGCAAGCCATTCGGAAGGCCGGGAGTAGTAAAATGAAGCTGTCTTGCTGTCCAGCTTCATGTTCCTTGGGTAGATGCCTGGCCGATACACCCTATTCATAAAGAGTGAGCGAGATGCGGCAATCAGCAACCAGTGGCTGGCTTACCATGGGTTGTTCAGGTTGCTCTCGCCGCCCTCGATGAGCAAGACCTGCAGGTTGTGGTCGAGGTTGGCCAGCCGGCCAGCAACGACACAGCTATAGCTCTTGTCAGTTTCTGTGGACTGCGATTAAGCGGTCAGGCGTACCCGCATGATCCACCGCCGCACACAATAATATCAACCTCATCAGGCACTGTCATGATGGGCAACACTGAGATCAGTTGGGAAACCAGATAAAATGTAGACTAAACAGATATTATTAAAAACAAAGGTCTTGAGGGACCATTTGAAGGAGCGAATGTCTGCGAGGAGGGGGCATATTTAACTCTTTGCCTAACCCCGCTCAATCGATCTTCGGGACGAAGGAAGAGACAACGGCTGACGACAGACCGCGTGTCAAGGCTGCGGATCGTGGAACCCAGGTAGTCCCAAGAGCTCGACTGGTCTGGGCACACCTGACGCGCGGGGTCTGGCAAGTTCAGGGATCATGATAGCCGTAGAGTCAATCGCTACCACGTCTGTCCGCCGGCACTGCATTGCTGGACAGCCATTGGAGGAGCGGTGCCATTGTCGGGGGTGCTGCTCTCTTAGTTGGCGATGTGCACGCTGCGTAGGCAAAGGCCGACGATTGCAGTTGGTGGAAGCCTTGAGTGGGTTTGCTGTCATGCGGCGTTTGCAGCTATGTGCGTGGGGCGGGAGCAGCAAGCATTGGACCAATTTGGGTTCTCTTGCTGTGCCTCGAACAGCAATGGAAGTGCAGATAGTCCCTCCCTCTCAACCCAAGCAGTTTTCTCTTTGGCTAGAGAGTGACATCGCCAAGCAGCTGCGAGATCTAGCCAGTCTGGAAGGAAACCCATGACGAGTCTCGTTCGGGACGTAGGAAGCGGGGGCCCGCCATTGGAGGGATAGGACAGAATCCGTGCTGCACGGCTACACGCTTCAGTCTTCACCATGTTTTGACTCGGACCACCATTCGGACTGGTCCACATCTCTTCTTACAGAGCGCTAACTAGCGCAACGCGGGGTTGGAGGTGGCGCCTCCGCTTATTTCCCCGCAGTACGCTAAGCTTTCCATGTTCGGAGGTGATAGACATGGGGTCACGCACGCCTGGCGAGTAGCTTGATACGGGTTTCTAGGACGGATAGCCGCGTCGGCAGGGCCAGAGCGGCGCTGAAGATACCGACATGGTGCAGTGGAAGGGGAGGGTGAAGGGTATGCAAGAGCGAGAGTTGGGCAGGAGGGAGGAGCAGGCATGTTGGCCGGGTGTGGGGTAGAGGGAGCGGACGGCTAAGCAAACGCGGGGAAGAAACCCTGCGCGTGCATGCTGGATGCGTCAGTTGGCGACGTCGCGAGTTGATTGAAATGCCAACCATCTTGGCGTGGGATACGGGCGGTGGCTCGGAAATGAGATGGAGCCATAGCTGCGGAAGGGGCGGGACTGCAAGTGGCTGAGCAAGTGGGTGGGTGGATGGATGGTCGGTATTGTACGAGAGGAGATGGAAGGGATGTCCGTCCCAAGATAGAAACCAAATGGTGCTCCGGCAATCTCGGGGCAGCGCGGAAAGCCGGGAGTTGTCGACGTCCGACAAAGGGCTGCACGTGCACCTTAGGGCTGAGGCGCGGGACGTCACCGGAGCGCGTGGGGAGCTTAATCGTGCTGAGGCTTCCGTGTCATTGTGGCATCCGCTCCTGTTCTTCTCGACAAGCACTGTCCGCACGGCCCTCAGGGGCTCTTTCGCTACATCTACTAATACAATACACTGCTCACCCGCCTCTCTAGCAGACCCTGTCCCGACTCCCCGCTTCCCTGCTCCGCCTCGTCAGACAGCGCCTCCCCGGCCTGTCGGTACGCGATCTTGAAAAGCACGCGCAGCTTTGGCTGCCCAAAAATCCTTCGGCCCGCGGGGGCCCATCTGGTGATAGGATGGCTGCGCCGGATAACAGACAGAGCTATCTCGCCGCCGGCATCAACGCCATATCGCCCTGGGGCTCGCGCAACACCACCCCGAAGACAAAGCCCGCGCCCGAAGACGAACAGCCTACCGAGCTGAGTTTGGCCTCGCAACGAGGCGGCGACCATACCGTCAGCCACAGACACCGGTTGAGCCTGAAGAAATACCCAAAAGATTGCCCGCCACTCGTTGTGCAGTGGTTCCATGCGGTGGATGTAAGTCGGCGCGAACAAACGTGAAACTACCTGCAGCAGACTAATAGTTTGCGCAACCTTGTAGATTCCCAAGCGCAAGGCTCTGCCCTTTGGCGGCAACGCCCCCACGCCCGAGAAATTGCCCGTGCCGAAGAAATGGATTACTTTCTCTCCAGGAGACTCTCGCGCGCTTGAAGCAACGTTCCAGAAACTCTCAGACGAAGCCGAGGCCACCGAGCGGCAGAAGCAGCACCACCAGGGAGGTGATTTAGGGGACACAAAGAAGCCGGAAGAAGCACTGCCCCACTGGCGGCTCAAGGAACGCCATGTGCGCTGGGAGAGAAAGGATCGGATGCTCAAGGCCCACGTGCCTGTAAATGAGGACTTTCTTTTCGACGTCGATGTGGAGGAACGAGAATTGTTGCCGGCTTACTGGCAAGGACCCATTTACGAGGTTCGCCGCGGCACATGGTTCTACCAAGGTCAGTTTACTTGAACATTTGTACGTTGTACGTTGCTCATACCACCCGGCAAAAGACAGTGCGACTAGTCTCCGACCTTGCGACGAGAATCTTGCTATGCAGCTTGAGGAGGGATTTCTGAAAGTAAAGCCATGGCGGTTTGGACGCCCAACTCATCAGCGTTCTGCATCGCAACCGAAGACGCAACAGATCTCTTCGCAGCCAGGGGAAGACCAGGGAAAGGCAATTTCAAGATCTTCAACCGTCAAATCAACACCATCTTCGGACTCCAGTAAGGCCGAACAAGGACCTGAGGCTACCGGGAAGGAACTAGGAGCTGAAGAAACTCCAGCAGTACAGGAAAATCCGAAGACTCATCGTCTATTCGGAGCGCACATGAACTCAGTTGTAACTTATCAGGATGCTACGACCGCATGGCTATTGACCGACGACTTTCTGTCTCGCATGAGTAGTACGATGTACCAACGTTTTGCTGGTGGTGGCCATTTCGCAGGCGTTAAGCTTATTCGAGGTTTCGTGGATCTGAAGTCGGAAAGAGAAAAGGCAAAAAAGGCAAAACCAAAGGACGAGAAAGAGGCCGAGTCGGAAAACAAAATCGCAACCCCTTCAAAGCAGGGCTCGACAGCAGCAGATGGTTCGTCGGGTGATCAGAGTGAGGCCGAGGCCGAAACCCCTTCCGAAACGCGGCGCCGCACTCTTGAGCGCCAAATGTCCAATTTGATGGCAGCTGCGCGGCCAGATGACCCGGAGAAGCAAGAAGAGGAAGTCCGTAAGCGAGCGGAGAGGGAGATTCGAGACGACTACAAAGAGCAAGAAGGAGACGAACAAGGCAGAGATATTGAACATCTCCTGCTGGTGACGCATGGTATCGGACAACGCTTGGGTATGCGGATGGAATCTGTCAACTTTGTACACGACGTCAACACCCTTCGAAAAACCCTCAAGACCGTCTACACCAACTCGGCAGACCTACAAGCTCTTAATAGCGAGGTTGATAAGTTGCCAAAGAACTGTCGCGTTCAGGTCCTGCCCATCGTCTGGAGACATTTACTAGACTTCCCCAAACAGAGTCTGAAGCATAACCGCGAAGAGTTTGACCTTGGAGATGCTCACGTCAACGGAGAGGATGAATTTCCCAGCCTGGAAGACATAACTGTCGAAGGCGTACCTGCTGTACGAAACCTCATCACTGATCTTGCTTTGGATGTCTTGTTGTTTCAGAGCCCGGCCTACAAAACCCACATCACTCGAATTGTTCGCCAAGAATGTAACAGAATTTATGGGCTCTTCAAGGAACGTAACCCGAGCTTCGACGGCAAGGTCAGCCTGGTCGGGCACTCCCTCGGATCGGCAATTATGTTTGACATTCTTTGCAACCAAAAAGACGAGCAGGCGCAAAAGGAACGACACAGGCATCACCAGAGGCACCGCAGCGAAGACCAGGGAGTCAAGCTAGACTTTGAGGTTGAGGACTTTTATGCCTTGGGCTCGCCAATCGGACTCTTCCAAATGCTCAGCGGCCGCACCATTGCTGCTCGTGGAACGCACGCAGAACCGCCAATCGCAACCTCGGATCCATTCCTCGACGATCCAGCCGCCGCAACCGCGCACCCACCCCTCTTGGACATCACGACGTCATCGCCGAAATGCGAGCGCGTCTTCAACATCTTCCACCCCACCGACCCCATCAGCTATCGTCTCGAGCCGCTCATTTCCCCGGCCATGTCGACTCTCAAACCGCAGCCACTGCCCTACACAAAGAAGGGCATCTTCGGCGCGCCTGTCGGGCAGGGCCTGACGGGCATCGGCGCCCGCGTGGGCCAGTCCGTCTCGGGGCTCTGGTCGTCCTTCAGCTCGGGCATCGCGAGCTCGCTGCTCAACCGCTCGCTCGGCCTCTCGGCAGATGACGCGTCGAAGCTAGGAAACCCCGTTCCAGGGCAGCAGTCGCGCGTGCCGCTGTCGGTAAGCGGGGCGGGCCCGAACGCGGCTGCTGGCGGGGGTGGGCCATCGGCGCAGGGTGGCGGCGCAGCATCATCAGCAGGAGCAGCAGCAGGCTCATCGCTCGACGCCGAGGCAGCAACGGGCGGCGACGAGCGCAAGCGCAAGCTCGCGCAGGACGGCAGCATCACGGTGGGCGACGAGGGCCAGCGCCCGCAGACGCTGATCGACGGCGAGATCGAGACGCTGTACTCGGGCTTCCAGAAGCGGCGTAAGAGCCAGCAGGCGGGGCTGGGCGGCGACGACGCCGAGGCGCAGCAGCATCAGCTGCAGCAGCAGTCGGCTGAGTGGCAGGAGGTCGAGGAGCGTAGCCGCAAGTTGAGGCGCGAGGAGGCTAAGGTGCGCGCGCTGAATAGTAATGGTCGCGTGGATTATAGTATCCAGGAGTAAGTGTCTCTCTCTTTGTTACCCTTTCGTTACGACTTTAGCATATTTTCTTCTTCTTCTTCTTCTTCTTCTTCTTCTTCTTCTTCTTCTTCCATGCTAACGCTCCCCCGCAGAGGCGCCTTCGACATCTCGCTCCTGGCCAGCATCGCCAGCCACCTGTCGTACTACGCCGACGAGGACGTCAGCCACTTTATGATCTCGCAGCTGCTGGCGCGGCATCGCGTCATCAAGCGGGTCAAGAGCGCGCCCGACTTTAAGGGTGTGAGTTGAATTGAGTGATGGGTGGGGTGTTTCGTTTCAATCATCATTCCTTTTTTTCTTCTGGGTGGTTGGAGAAGTAGTGGTAGAGTGAGAGATAGACAGGAGGGGAAGGGAGGAAGGTGGCTTGTGTAGCCAGAGTTGTGTTTTGTTGCGTACCCGTATCTCCATCTATTCTGAGAGACGGACGGACAGACGAACGTGGTTGATGGTGCGTTGATGAGCAGACAGGGCTGTGTCCGACTCTGACTCTACCTTTCGCTAGGAGTTGGGAGTGAGTGAGCGGCGGCGTGCGCGCGTAGGAAGGAGTACCTACCTACATGGTAGAGACGGGGGCGGAGGGGGGTGGCGGGCGTCTTCGCTCGTCCCTCTTTCTTTCTCCGTTTTATCTTTTCCCTTTTTCTCATTATAGGTTCTTTTTTTGGGTGTGGTGGGTAAGAAGAAAGGAAGAAGAAGAAGAAGAGGCTGGCAGACTCGCTCGCGCGAGCAAATACCTAGAGAGAGGGAAAGAAAGGATTTCGTGTTTTATTTCGGGTGACTTGTTTGATGACGGATGAGATGCCATGATTTTGATTTTGTACCTAAGTTTGCATGGTTCCAATGTTTGCGAGTGACTGGACGAACAAACAAACAAATAAACAATCGATGGATGGTGTTGTGTTGGTGACAGTCTGGCGTCCCTCACTCTAGGTAGAGAACGCAGGAAAAAAACATTGGTATATAAGGCCGGGTAGCAGTTCATTCTGCAACACAGACAGCCGTTGAGCGTAGTGCCTCCCGTTCTTACTGGTTTACTGGTTTACTGGTCTACTGGTTTGAGCCGAAGGGGTGACGCACCCCGTGAGCGTATTACACCTTAACCGCCTGCCTGTGCTTTTCTTTTTGGAAGTTACTCTTTTGGGAAGTTGGTGCGCTAGTTCGATTCCTGGCTTGGTCAATTCTTTTTTTGTTACTTTTTCACAGCTACCTACCTATCTTCATTCGCCATGTACTGCGGAGCTATTATCCTCATAACCGCAGCTCTTTAATCGCCTCTTGCCAACGATGCGGTCTGATACAAAAGAGCTTTCGGCTACTGGTTTTGGTCAACTTTCGAATAAATGAAAAAGATCAAACGGTCGTATATTCGTAAACTGATATCTAAGTCATAAAGCATAACCCATAAAGCATAACTCGTAACTCATAACTCATAGCTCATCATCAATCATGAAAAAATCCGCCAACATCTCACCCGCTCTACAACATCACCTCGGAGCAGACCTCCCACTCCCAGCGCCTCCACCTCGGCCTGCCCCTCTGCTCCTCCTCTTCATCGATCCGCGCCCTCTCCTCCCTCTCACGCTCGCGTCGTTCCCTCTCGATTCTTCTTTCCTCCTCTTCCTTCTCGGCTCTTTCCCTCTCCCTCACGATCCCCACAACCTCATCCCTCAGTTCGCTCAACCCAACAAACACCGCTTTCGCGCACTCCTGCTCGAGTGGCGCGGCAATATCCCACACCCCCAGCCGCACCAGCCGGTCTGGGTGCCATCGGCCCAGCTCGCCGCGCAGCGCGCTCACAAGCGCACGCAGGCGGTGCGTTGGCAGTGCGGTCGCACCGGCCTTGACGTCGATGCCATTGCCCGCGAGGATGAAATCGCACGCGTTGGCCCGCGCCACCACATCTGCGGACCAGCTGCTCGGGTACTGGCTGTGGTCCAACAGGTCGCTGGCGCAACGCGTCAGTGTAGGGAATGGAATCGCAGCCGTTGGGGAGTAGGGGGATGAAGAGCGCGCAAGCAGGCGCGCCCACGCGGTGGTGTAGCGTGCGTATGCTTCCTGCGCCGTGAGAGCGGGCGAGGACGAGCGCGTAGACGCTGCCGACCTTGCTGTCTTTCGCGCCGAGGCGCGCGAAGCCGCACGAGACGATGCCACCGAAGCCGTCGACGACGCCGTCGAGGGCCGTGAATCCTCGGACTCAGAGCATGCGGTCGAAGACGTGTCCGACCAAATACGAGATCCGGACCCGGTACTCGTGGCCCTTTCGCTGCCCCACGGCGAGCTTGCCCGCTTCTGTTCCTGTTCCTCACGCAGCAGACGCAGCAGCTCGCGCAACTCGCCACGCAGGCGCAGCAAATCGGCGCGCTCGGAGGCCAATAGAGCGCGGTCGGCGCGTAGGTTGGCCTGATCTTGAGCGAGGAGTGCTTCGCGGAAGCGAAGCGTGGCAAGGGCTGCCGCGGTGGTGGCTACGGCGGGAGAGCCGGGGGAACTGGGGTAGTGGATTGTAGTTCCTGCTGGCGATGGCGTTTCTAGTTGGGGTGACGCGGAGAGAGAAGGAATAGCACTGGCGACTGCGGCTGCGGCTGCCAACTCTATTTTGATTCTTTCTTGTTCTTGCGCTCCAGATTCCACTTCCTGAGCGCATCTCTCCCCCACCGCGCAATACGGCGGGGGAAATTCGCCTTTTGGCTTGGTGTCCTGCGTTCCGCCACTGCCAGTGCGGCGCAGACGCACCTTGACCCGGTCGAGGCGGTAGAACGTGTCGACGGAGTGGCGGGGAGAGGAGGCTCCGGAGCGGGGCGAGTCGGGGGAGGTGGCACGTGGGGAGAGGTCTCCGCTGGTGCTGCCGACGCCCCCATATGCCGCGGCTGGCACAGCGCATGTTCCGAGGAACTCGGAGCCGGCGTTGTCCATGCAGGATCGAGGACAGGGTGAGAAGAAAGAGGTTGTGGGTGTCCACGGGCCTTGTGTTGATGGGGTAAAGGCGAGGTATGATGTTCAGGGTCCAAGTCAAGCACACTGGCTGATTCAGAAGCCCTGTATGACCGGAATAGACTAATGCCTTTGATGCGGTGCGCCACCGTTGCTTCCGCTGATGGACAGAAAGAGGAACGTGGTGAGATGGCTGGAGAAACGGTAAGTAAATGCTTGCGTAGGGCTGGCTTCGAGGGTTGCAGATCACCGGTCAAGGCGTGAACTGGGGAAGACAGGATTAGAAACAAGACTTACTGTTTACACGCTAGGAAGGCCAGCAATGCTCCAGACCAATTTGACTGGGCTACGAGATGGATAGATGGCGCTGCAAAGCGAAGAGGCGATTGAGGAAAGAGAAAGCACAGTCGGAAATTGTGCTGGAGGCCGCATCAAAGCTTCTAATAAAAAGAGTACGCGCTGTTCTTCAGGCGTGCCTGTTGTCTTGGGCAGTGGCGCGGTTGCTGTCTGTTGTCGGGATGTGCCAGCGAGGTAGGTCGTCGGCCGCTATCGTTAGTTCATCAGGCATCCAAGCACCGCCTCGATCACTGACCACATGAACATCAAGCCCACATTTTGCAAATCACCATCTGCACCCCGCATCGAGAGGCTGGAGAAAGAGGACAGAAAAAAAGGAAGCGAGAGAAAAGTTGTAGAGATGCATTCGATGGCCGGCAGGCCGAATTGTCTCCCTCTCAGTCGTCAATGGCCATTCTGTGTCGGCGGAGTTGTTGAGCAGAAGGAGCGGACGAAGATCCAAACAAGACGCGATCGAACGCCATCCCGTCGCGTCTCACCGCGCTCCTACCGAAAATGGAAAGGTTACGGCCAAACCACGGCAGGGGTCCCACGAGCTCGCCAGGCTGCCAGCACAGCAAAGCCCACTCTTCAAAGCAAACATCCCATCACAAGACCTCTTCCTCGGCGTCTATATCTGAATTTTTGTCCAATGACTTGCACCTTCTCATCCTCATCCTCGTGCTGGACGCCGTTGCTCACCGCTACCATCAGCTATGCCGGCATCCGACACCCATCATGATTACGGCACCACCCAATTCACCTACCTATTTATATCTTCGACCATTCTTGCACGCTTACCAAGGCAATCCTGACCGACCTTTCGCCCTCAATCAGCTGCTCTTCATCGTCATTCTTATTTCTCTTGCCCGACTAGCTGTCCTTCTACCCCTTTAGCGCATCGTATCGGCGCCTACTCCGCCACTCTGTGGCGATATTAACAGCGCAATCCCAGTATTTGGTGTCAGGTACAGGAATGGTTTCTCTTGCTGCCTGCAAATTCAGCCGTCGCACCTTACCATAATGAGTAGACACACGTACGCCTTATCGGTCCCTGCTGCTCAGTGAATGAAACGAAACATCCGGTACCTAAAAATCAATCAAAGTCAAACATCGCCTCGACGACTATTCTTCTCATACATGGAACCACATATGAGGGTTTGATGGTCCTGTAAATGGAGAGCTCCGGCGTTGACATCGATCTTGCTTCACTGTCTTTGTTATAGGGTGCATATTTTAGGAAAGTATTGAATTTTTTAGCCTTTTGCACAAGTATTGTTTGGGCTTAACCGCAAGTATGACGTTGATGGCCAAGGGATGGTCAGGCCACGAGCTACTGGACCCATTCATATCTCCAGCAACCCGATACATCAGGGGTTAAGTAAGTCAACCAAGGACCTTGTCCGCGGTGGAGACTGGTGTATATCAGTCATAATGCTTCCGGGAGCAGTTAATGTAGACTTACCGTTGACGCCCGTGTTGTCGGGCTCGACGTGGGCCTCCTTGACCTTGCCGTCCTCGACGACGAGAGCGTAGCGCTTGCTACGCAAGTTGCCGAAGATGGCGCGGCCGTCAAAGGACAGGTCAAGAGCGTTGGTGAACTCGCCGGCAGGGTCAGCAATGAAGCGGATCTACAGACGTGGGTTAGCCGAGTCCTGCGAGTGTCTCAAGAGAAACATACGCCACTCTTGCCGGAGGGGTCGAGGACGTCGCCCCAGGCCTTCATGCTATTGGTCGATCAGTCTTACATCATTGGCAAGTCAGACGGAGCTCAGCAAGGGACGTACACAAACGCATCGTTGACGGAGACGACGAAGACGGAACCGGCGTCCTTGAGCTTGGGCGACTTGATGTAGCCGGGAATGTGCGACGCGGAGCAAGCGGGGCCTAGACAGAGGAGCAGGAGTCAGCGGGGCGGACGGCAGGTGATGGCGGGGCGGAAGCTAGGAGGAATGAGGCTTACTGTAGGCGGCGGGGACGCCAATGATGAGACCCTTGCCCTTGAGCTCCTTGGCAATGCTGAGCTTGTTGCCTGGCGTGCCCTCCATCAAGGTGACGTCGGGGATGGCATCGCCGACCTTGACGAAGGCGCGGGCGGAAGAGTGGAAGGCTTGAGCGGCGGCGGGCCGGGCGCGCATGAGGCGCGGGAAGACGGCAGTCGCAGGGCGGGCAAGCATGGTGCGTGTGTGGATGCGGAGCTTGTCTACTTGTTTGGATGCAGAGAGGTGGTCGAGGGTGGGAGGGTTGCAGCAAGAAGTGACGGGCTGGAGCTTGGCGGGCAGGCCCGCGCAGCTGGATGCATAACCCCAGCGCCGCTGACAGCAGAGGGACCCGGGAATCTAGGACACGCGTAATGGGTAATGGGGGGCCCCCTGTGGGAGCTCCCGCACGCCGATTCGCCGTGGTTCACGAAAGCTGGGCGATCATGGCCGTAGTGGTTTCGCCGTCGCGCACAACAAAGGCAGCAGACGCCAGCCCAGAAACAGCGGCACCGCACCACATGCCCATCGGTTGCCGGCTTGCAGTCTCACCCTTCCTTCAACGCACGCCAAGGCAGCCCACGAGCCCGCCTTTGATTTGGCCTGCTCCGTCCCCCCCGCGTCCATGAGGCTGTCTCCGGTCCTTTCCTGCATCAAGCCAAGCCAGCTTTTAGTTTGCCCGCCCGCCCAGTAGCTCGAGCCAGCATTCTCCCGAGCCCACATCATCCCAAGAACCTCGACTGCTTCCCCCGGCCCAAGAGCATCGCATCCACCGGCTCCATCCTCCTCCCCCATCTCCCGCGTCGCATCGCATCACGCCCAACTCCTCTGGCCGACTCCACGCGTCGCCAGCGTGCCCGTCCCGGCGGCTGCCCGTCTTGACGTAGAGCCGAACCCCTGCCTGCGACGGCCCGTCTGCTCTTGCGAAGCCGTTTTCGCACCCGCCTTCTCCCGCTTCCTGCTCCTTTGACCGCCGCAGTAATCCTCCTCGAGCCTCCTCGGCGGCGGGCGGGTGTTGGCATCCGAGCTGGACCTGTCTTGTCGCTACCCGTTCTTTTCAATTCTGGCTCCGCCGCGCGACTGCACACCTGAAATTGCGCGACCATGGAGTCAGGACAAGGCGGCGGCGGCGGTGGTGGCTCGAGTAACTCGAGCGACTTTGTGAGTAAAATCTCGAGGACAATGAACGGGGCGCGTTCCCAATGCCACGATGCTGACTGGCGCACCAGGTCCGCAAGTTGTACAAGTATGTAACCTGCATTCGCGCCTCTCAAGGCCTCCACTAACCCGTCGCATCAGAATGCTGGAAAACCCCACCGATGAAAATGTAGTGAGGTGGGGCAATGAAGGCGACAGTTTCGTGGTTCTCGAGGTGAGCGCGTCGGCACCGCGTCTTACGTCGCGATCCTAACCGCGTTGCAGAACGAGAAATTCACCAAGCACATCCTCCCGAAACACTTCAAGCACAGCAACTTTGCGAGTTTCGTCCGCCAGTTGAACAAGTATGACTTCCACAAGGTCCGGCACAACAACGAGGAAAATGGGCAATCGCCATACGGCGCAGGGGTGAGCTCAACCACCAGAACCTCTCGTCGGCATTTACTGAACCGCTGCTGCAGGCTTGGGAGTTCAAGCATCCGGATTTCAAAATGAACAACAAAGATGCGCTCGACAACATTCGAAGGAAAGCGCCTGCGCCGAGGAAGCCTGCCGCGAATCCGGAGGACATGGTGATCCCGACGCAGCAGATGGACATGTTCAACACGCAGCTGGTCGCCACGCAGCAGCAACTGCAGCAGCTGCAAGATCGCTACAATGAGCTGAGCATACACCATTCGATGCTCCTTCAAGAACTTGTTGGAATGCAGAAAACGATTGTCAACCACGAGCACATCATGCAGAGCGTCATGAGCTTCTTGCACTCCGTTGACGCACAGCGCCGGAGGGACAGCAGATTGGTCCATCCCTTCCCAGCAGAAGGCGGGGCTGCGGCGCACAATGGAAATGTAGACCCTGCGAACCAACAAATGGCGCCTGTAGAAAACGACGCGCCAGCTTCGCCGCTGCAGCACGCATCCAAGTTGCTCAGCGAAACCAACGCCGACGTCATGCTCAATCCTCGAAATTTGGAGCACATGAACGAATTGGCGATGCGCATGAACGGCACTCTCACCACCCCGCCGCCCGATTTTAGTCGCAACGGTACGCGCCCCGCCAGTCGCGGCGCAGCACCGCACTCCGCCAGCTCCTCGGCTTCCGTGCGCGTGGGAGGAGACATTGACAACCTTGTGTACCCTGTTGGCCAAAGCAACGGCATTGACCCCATGTATAGCGAGCACCTCCCCAACATTCCCTACCCGATGCCAACCAAGCCGATTGTGACTGCTGAACAGCGCAAGAAGAGCGCTCAAGTTGACCCCGGCTGGATCCGGCAACCTCAGATTTTGCTTGTTGAAGATGATCAAACCTGCAGGCGGATTGGAAGCAAATTCCTCTACGCGTTCAACTGTTCTATCGATAGCGCGGTAAGAATCCCTGTGTCATAAGCGGGCCTTAAAACCTTAGCTAAGATCACGACAGCTGGACGGCCTGGAGGCGGTAAACAAGATGAACCAGGGTTCCAAGTACGATTTGGTGCTCATGGATATTATTATGCCCAACTTGGACGGAGTTTCTGCTTGTCACCTCATTCGCCAGTTCGACACTACACCCATCATTGCGATGACGTCCAACATTCGGAGCGACGATATTTCTATGTATTTCCAGCATGGTAAGTCGTAGCCAGAGTTGGGGATCGTCAGTGCTTTAACCAGTTACAGGTATGAACGATGTTCTTCCCAAACCCTTCACCAAGGAAGGGTTACTCCAAATGCTTGAGAAGCACCTCGCGCATTTGAAAAAGCCATCCCACACCATGGACGCCATGGTGCCTCCTCCTGTGCAAGCTGCACCAACGCTCGCACACAGTTCGAACAGGCCCTCCCTCAAAGACGAAGATTCTCCCGGAAAGTCCCCCACAACTGGTAGCAACTGGAACTCGCCCGGTCAACTCCCGGGAGTGTCTCCTGTAGCCAGCAGTGTGACTGACGAATACTTGAACACGGTTCAAGCTGTTCAGGGTCATCCTGCAGCCTATGGAGTTGCCCCACCCGGCGTTGGCGCTCCTATGCAGGCAAGCATGCAGTACAACACGTCGCCACAGCTGCCGTTGGCTGCGAGACAGCAGAGCGGCCCGCACCGCAGACAAATATCAGAGATTACCGGAGGGGAAGATTTGAACAACGCGAAGCGTCAACAAATATACGCCACTGGTCCAATGCAGCCACAGGCGATGAATCCGATGCAGAGGCCACGGTAATGCCTGTAAATATACCGCCACGGTTTGTTGGGTGAAAGCGGTGCCGTGATAGCAGGAGCCTCGGTCGGCTAGGTATACTGTATCTTCTGTGGGGATATAGTCGAAGCCGCGACCACATTCTGGACACGCCGTCTTCTGGGCCGAGTCGCTCAAGGCCGACCGAAGCGATTGGCTCCTGCATGAAAAGTCATGTCCGAGTCTTCAAATGGACTCCACAGCCGTTTCCTGTAGAGGATGCAGGCCGCCAGGTGCGGCCCCAGCGGAGAATCGCTGGAATGTTGTCCGAGCCAGTGGTGGCTTCATTGTTGGAGATCAAGCCATTGTACAGTTATGCCGCGCCGTGATCCCCAACGGGCGCGTCGTCATAGTCGACTGTTCCATCTGTTCCTTGCTTCGGGGGTGTTATTAGAGACGGGGGAGCTGGCGGTGTTGTGCGGTCCAACTCAGAATCATAGAAATCAAAATCGAGCATGTTATGCCAAAGTACTGTCCGTTTGTGTCCCTTTGTATAGCTTGGAGACGATCGTCCAAAGCCGAGTTCAAGCGAACGTTGCAGTCCTACCCGGCAAAGTATTGCCGGAATAAGACCGCGCGGTCAGACGGCTCGCTCACACTAGCGCTGTCGGTGGGATGTCAGTGCTTCGGCTGCCTGCCTACTCATGACCTAGCAGCTGCGTGTGCCTGACACCCTCCAGCTGACTCTGGCCCTTCGCGTCGCCTCTCTCACTTTGCTTCACAGTCAATATTGCCTCCGCACCTTTTGCCCTTTTCTGTCTCGCTCATCCTCCTTGCCACCGCCTCTAGCCGCTTCCACAGCGTCCACTCACTACTAGGTAGAAGCGCCGATTCCGTCATCGCGGCGGACTCGGCTCCCCTACCATCACCACGCCTCCCGCGTCCAGAAAGCGCAAGGCTGCAGATACCGAGGCCTCCGCCCTGCCAAACAAGAAGACCGATACCTCTGCGACGAGTCGCCTCACAAAGCAAGATCTGCCCGCCACTCCCCTCACTACAGCCTCGCCCGCTATGGATTCGGAAGACGACTTCAACAGCGCACAGTCAGGCGAAGATGATTTCATGGAGGACCCGGACACGGACAACAGCTTCGGGGAAGATGGTAAGGCTCGGGTGCGTCCGGGCTCTCGAGTTGTTGCGCTGACCGACTTGTGAAACTAGAATCCGACGTCGACATTGATGATGATGCAGACATTGCCTTTGACTCTCAGGATAAGGATATTAAGCCCACCAAGAAGTCCTACGAAGTCGATTTTATGGTCTACAGCCCCGAAGACATACAAAATTACCAGAGCAAGGTCATAGACGAGGTTTCCACGATCCTGGGCATGCCCTCCGAATCCACAGCCATCCTTTTACGCTACGCACGATGGAACAAGGAACGCCTCCTCGAACAATACATGGACAAACAGGAGGAGGTTCTTGAAGAAGCTGGTCTTGGAGACGAGCAGGGTGGACCTCCGAGACCCCAGAAGGTTGAAGGCTTCATGTGTGACATCTGTGCCGAGGACGACCCAGACCTTCAGACTTTCGCGATGAAATGTGGTCACAGGTTTTGCGTGGATTGCTACAGACATTATCTCGCGACGAAGATCAAAGATGAGGGAGAAGCGGCGAGGATCAAGTGTCCCGGTTCCGACTGCAACAGGATTGTAGATTCGAAGTCGCTCGATGTGCTGGTTACTGAAGACCTCAAGGATCGGTACGTCCTGATTCTCGCTCATTGGCATGGAACCCAAGACGAGCTAATGCAGTGTAGATACCAAGTTTTGCTCACCCGAACTTACGTGGAGGACAAGGATAACCTCAAGTGGTGCCCCGCGCCGAACTGCGAATATGCTGTCGACTGCAGCGTAAAGCAACGCGATCTGACCCGTCTAGTTCCAACTGTTGTTTGCAACTGCGGACACCCTTTCTGTTTCGGATGCTCCCTTAATGACCACCAACCTGCGCCTTGCGCTTTGGTGAAAAAGTGGCTGAAGAAATGTGAAGATGATTCAGAGACGGCCAACTGGATATCTGCAAACACCAAGGAGTGTCCTAAGTGTCAATCTACGATTGAGAAAAACGGGGGCTGCAACCACATGACCTGCCGCAAGTGCCGTCACGAGTTTTGCTGGATGTGCATGGGTGTCTGGTCCGAGCACGGCACTAGCTGGTACAACTGCAATCGGTATGAAGAAAAGAGCGGTCACGAGGCTCGGGACGCGCAGGCCAAGTCTCGGCAGTCATTGGAGAGGTACCTCCACTATTACAACCGCTATGCCAATCATGAGCAATCGGCGAAGCTGGACAAGGACATCTATCTCAAGACGGAGAAGAAGATGACGCAGCTTCAGACTTCCTCGGGTCTGTCTTGGATCGAGGTGCAATTCTTGGAGCAGGCGTCACAGGTACTTCAGCAATGCCGTCAGACGCTCAAGTGGACCTACGCTTTTGCGTACTACTTGGCCCGCATCAATCTGACGGAGATTTTTGAGGAGAACCAAAAGGATCTAGAGATGGCTGTCGAGAACTTGAGTGAAATGTTCGAGAAACCGGTCGAGCAACTCGCGGATCTCAAAGTTGAGATGATGGACAAGACGGCATACTGCAAGAAGCGCAGGATTATCCTGCTCGAGGACACTGCTGACAACCTGAAGACGAGTAAGCACTATCCAATTTGTCAAGGAACCGAGCACACGATGCTGACTTTACCGGTAACAGGCGCATGGCAATTTAATGTTGATCTCACATCCTGATCGATGTATAAACTTTCTAGGCAGTTGTATTAACGACTTCTTAGATTGACCAGATTGAGGAGCCTGACGAAAAGAAGGGGACACCTTCGGCGTCGGATGACGACCAGTCACCAGCTTGGGGCTATTTTCACCTTGAACAAGACTTACTACGCGCCGTTGCAATGCTGTCTGACAGATCTGGCGGCAGATGGTAGAGCTCCGTGCTCCCGGCAGGTACACCATTTTAGTCAGCTCCCGCTCCTGGCACACAAGGTGCTTCAGCCTCGTACCGCCCGTCGGCATAGCTGTTCCTCCTTGCTTTTTCCTTTTGCTTTTTTCCATCTTCCTCTTGTTTCACTTTAGCGGGTTCTTCGGCGGAGGCGCATTGCTGGGCGGATGCATGTCGGGCAAAGGAAATGCAGAGGACAGGAGTTCTTTTTCCTCTTTCCTTTTTCTCTTTCAAACTACACTTTTCACGAGGTTGTATGACCTACTAGATCGATGTGTGGTACCTAGCACCTGAATCATCGAAAAACACTTCCAAGAATAAACAAACAAGCCCCAAATTACGACGGTAATGACGACAATTGTCGTTGCCGACGTGTCACCAACCAGCTAACCGAACCAGAGCTGCGACAATCGCAGCAGACCTTGTGGTGTCCCCATGCCATGTCACACGGTTCTGCCCCTCGACATTGCGGCAGACAAACGGACAGCTGCCGTTGCTCACTGGCCAGCACGCTGATCGCGTGCACAGCCCTGCTGCTTGAGAACGCGCTCATTGGCGTTCCTTCCTTGATCAGATCGCGATCGGCGGTGGCCTGCGTCGCGCCCTGTCCTTGCTGCTGCTACTCCTGCTGCCGGATGTCGGCAGCTTGCCCTGCCGGCGCGCGCGTCGCGCATGCATACATTAGGGACTTGTGAGACATTGATAGCGGGGTCGAAGAGGTCTCCCATCTGACATTTGGCAGTTCCTTTTGTTCGTTCCGTCAGAGCTGACTTCTTGAGCCGGTTCGGCTTATGCCTATGGAGGGGTGAGCGGATCACAAGTTGGCGGTGTTGCTTTCGTTGCCGATGGAAAAGACCATGTAATGTGTGAACCTGATGCACTAGAACTCAAGCAGCCGAAATGATTTCCCCTCTTTTTATTGCTGGGTAGCTATCGTTATAGCTCGCATGACATGAGAATGCGGGGCAGCTCTTGCGGAGTTGTTTGATGCGCGCGGCTTTGGGAAGATGATGGACCGAGCGAAGGGTTGGGGCTTTTGATGCTCATGGTGCCGAATGCGATGTTATTCCCGCAGTGGAGTAAGGTTTCTGGATGTGTATTGCGAGTGCGCGAGTGGCATTTGGGTTGAGCGCTACTGGTTTGTGATGGCGGGTATGGCTTCGTATCCGTAGAAGTGCTTAATTTCCTATTTCTAGCTTTATATATCAGTGTCAGCTTGAATTCCAAGATAGTTTGCATCAGCTTCCTTTCCGCTAGCATGTAGCGTTTACGTGTAGATGACTCCGCGAAGTTGTGATGGAAGCGGACACGACTAAATCGCCTGGCCCGTGGACGTTGTGGGCGCACTGGGCACTAGACCTCTTGAAGATTAGGGCAAGCTTCAACACCACGACATGCGAGGTCTGAGAGTTTTCCACATCGCATAATTCCCTTGTTCGACTCACTATATCCATGTCGCATACCGGAAGGTTCAGACATTTTGTTCCTTTGAGCAATATTGAGGTTTGAGACCTCAACACCGCCCTGGAGATGGCATAGTTTGGTGTCAACGCAAACTCCGTATGGCTTATGGAATTTCTTTCCTTGTTGTGCGGTGTGAATGTCATTTGTTGGAATGCTAGCAGAACGAGAGGATCTGGATGTAACGTTTGGAAGTGAGTTAGCACATGGTAAGCGCTCCTTTCAAAAAGTAATTGTATCTCTATGTTGTGCTTTCTCTTGCTCTTTCCCTTTCATAAAACCCCCTTATATTACAGTCGATACACAGGACTGTGCATCTGGACAAGATTTAATGTTCGTATTACCCCTTTTTACTCAGGGGGTTGTTTCGTAGTTGTTCGGATTGAACAATCCTAACTGTTTGGTTTCGAATGCGGTCAACCCCATTTCGTGTAGAAACGGCAAATCCAACAAGACATATTGCTACGGAGGGCATGTTTGTTCAAGTGCTGATTGATTGAACCTGCAGGTGCGCAATACATGACTCCGTTGTCCGTTTTTGCCTTTGGACGAAGATGAGAAACTCCTTCTGACAACCACGACGACGTGGGTCAAGATACGTTCTTACAGCTCGGTGTATGCGGAGGTATGCAGCGAGCGACTCAACAAAGAAAGCCAACCATTGAGGTCCATACGGCAATGGTCATTGCATTACACGACTTCAGAAAACTACCCTTTCGATCGGTATATTGCCCTGCGCCTCCTTCCCAGGCTGGTTTACGTATGTGTTCCTCAGTTGGCGACCGTTTGGCCATTGACGCATCCGCTGATGGTGTGGGCTTGTTGACACATGGAGTGCTGAGGCACCGAAGCGTGGTGACGTCTGGGGGAGTGGATCGTTCTGCAACACTAACATAGCACGTCAGTCACGTTGCGCCTCACCTTACGAGCGCTCGACGCGACTGAGCTGCGAAAACAAGTGCAGTGTCAGTCAGTACCTTATAATTTATTCCGCCAAATCTTCTTAGTAATACTTGCCCTGCCGGCCGACTCCGGTGGCAAGAAATAGACCTCTTGGTGTCTGGGTTATTACTAGTAAATCACCTAGTCGACTTTGGGGCAACCCTCGAAAAGGCTCCGTGTTCGAGTCTTACACTATCTCTTGAGCACAAAGTCTTAGTAGAAGCGAACGGCCCCCAGATCCGAGAAGCAAGCCGGGGCATTCTTCAATGGGATGATATACAAACTTGCGGGTGGGTTGGCGCTGTTCACACTATCTTTTTTTCTTAAAATTTCTTTTTTGTATATGTTATTATTGTTGTTGCGGCCCTTTGCTCTCACTCTAGGTGTAGACTGACGGTGAGAGGTCTTGAAGAGAGACGAACTCTCAACGTGGTCCGACCTGGACCGTCATTCGTTTGCACCCGTGCGTACTTGGGATGTTCTCGAGTGGACCAGATGTTTTACCGGCACTCATGCAACCAACGTTTTAACTCTCCTGCTGCCCGAGCCTCGTCTGGCGAACTTTCACATTACTTGACAAGAGGTAAATTAGACGCCGTTAGGAACCAGCCCTAACAATGCGGTTAAGCTTCGGTCATGCTCATACTATTTAGGTTCTTTCACCGCCATATTCGACTCGTCGACCCTTCGCTCACAGGTTGTTGCTTATCGTGAGGGGGTGCTCACTTCACTTTGCCTTGCAAACGCGCCGCCGTCTCCACACTCAAATGGGCTTCTAGATCAGACCTCTTCGCTACGCTCAAACGCTCTTCAACCCCGTTCTGCTCAGATCCTGTCAAACCCTCCTCTTCCACGACTGCCCTCAAGCTTTACCAACTCCGGCTGATGAAAACACTCTTGCTTGCTAAGGTATAGTTTCGAATTTTTCGCAGCTACCATCTGACGTACATGCATATACTGACGGTACATGTCTTGGTAGATTCCCAAGACCGATGCCTGATAGCTCTGGTTAGCCATCATGCAGGTCGAGTCCCTCAATCGGTGGACCCCGTGTGAACCATGGGAGCCTATGGATTTCGAGTGCACTATGGCATCTGTTGCTTGTTTTCGTTCTTTTCGTTCATCACTCTGCGATTGCCAAAGTTGCGAGCAGCGGTTTCGCGATGCTGACGGCCTTCGCTCCCGGCTACTTGTCTACAAAAACACATTCACTCGCGAGGAAGCTAATTCTGTTATTGAAAAACACACCAAATCTATCTACGATGACAGAAAATTCCTCCAGCAGCTTTTAGCATCACATGGCGATCTAATTTTAAGCAGGTGGACGAAGAAGGACCGGTCTAAGCGGGAAGCATGGTTACTACAGGCCACTCCGGATATGTTCCCTCATCGATGGTTCCATGCTCACTTTCTTCGCGAAACCCTTGGAGATACAACAGTCAGGGAACTGCGTGAGAAATACTGGAAAGGATTTCGGCTTCCTTACCTGACCGTGGAGGAGCTTGTTTTTGATCCTAACAAGCTTATTGCCCTGCTTCATAGCAGATCGGATTTTTCACCTGCTCAATGGGCTCCACACGACTCGAGACAATTGAGATTCTATTGGTACTCTGGCATGGTCAATGTCAACTACTGCGAGGCTTTGGTTATCATGCATGGTAGTTCCTATGGGAAGCTTGTCAATTGGGACAAAGTCGCTGCAGAAAGGGGAGATGCCGTGGGGTTTCCGCGCGCCGAAATTATTCTGCAGAGCCAGGCACTGCTATTACAAATCCTGCGGAAAACTGCGATCTAGTTCCTCGGCGGCGAAAGTTCAAGTTTGCCTGCACCCTCCGGCAACCAAAAATGGAAAGAATCAATAAGCAGAGGTTTTCAACAGCCCCATAGTGTCGAACTGCGCTCTTCGTACATCAACCAGCCTTTTTCGGTGCCTCCGGCCTTCAATATCTATACTCTCCTCTCGCTCGCACATGCCAGACTCGACGCAGCCATTGATCATGTTGGTCTACTGCAAACGGATCCGGCTTACATGCGTCGCATTATTGGCATCTGCGACTTTAAAAAGCTAACCAACGCCCGCCCTGGGATGGATGTCACCCCCTTCATTCTTGGGACGCTACTGAAAGATACTGATATTGTTGAGTTTTGGCAGTGGGCCGTCGATGAGTTGGAGAACATCAAGCATTATTACGAAAGGTTCCGTGACAGTATACATCCTGGTCAACGTCTTCCCCCAAAGTTCGACAATGCCTTATGTGCTTTGAAGGCTTTAATCAGCATTCGGATCTGTAACCAATCTCACGAGATTTCAAATCTTCTCAATCTGCGTCCTGGATTTAATGAGGGGTGCAGTTTCAAGTCCCTTGGTCCCAACATTTTCCACACCATTTTCGAACAAAAAGCGACCAGTACTCAAACAGCTCATCTTTGCTTCGAGGATCGCTTTAAATGGTGCCTCATGCAGATGGCAGAGCGATCTCGTAGCGTTGACATGCCATTACTTTTCGCCATGCTGGAGGATCATCTTCAGACTTGTACTGCTGCCGAACGTGCACGTCTGGACGAAAGATTTTACGCTTGGTCAGTGATCTCGGTGCGGTCCACGATATTCTCCTTGCCTTGAACTACCATAGGCCTCTGGACGCAAACAAACTCTTTTACGATATTTTAGATACTGGAGTGGGCGGCAAGTTCTGGCGGTGTCATCACACTACCCGCCCTCCTATTGATACTTCTCTCATGGCCGCGCTTCTCAAGCAGTTTCTAAAAGTACCGAAACCTGACGGAATGCAGAACAAGGCGAAGAAGCTAGAATACTCCATAAAAAGCCGTAAAGCTTTGAGTTTGTTTTGGCAAGAAGTTTGCATCTTCCGTCGGCTCGGTTACCTGGGAGAAAAAGTGCCAGAAGATATATTTGTCTACCTTGAACCATTCTCAGCAGGTTCCCACCCGGAATATGTCGCTGCGATCGAGACCGAGCACCAAACCCTCTTGGACGAAATTTCTAAAGAAGTTCCAGCAAAGCCCAACATCCAGCCAACACCCATACAAAAGCAATGGGGTAAGAGCAACGATGAAGTTGACAACGTTGCTACGGAAATTAGGATAAAGCTTAAGACACGCCCTGCAAAACCTAGAGAGTCCGCTATAGTAGAAGATTTGTCGACCAGCCAAACTTACGAGGCCCCAGAAAAGGCAGCCCCCACAGTCAAGCTCCCCCTCAAGAAGCGCTCATACGCTATCTTATCCTCAATGTATCGGAAGGACGTAATGAACGAATTGAAAATGGTGAATTGGGAGGATTTCGTCCTGGCGATGAAAGATGCAGGATTCCACGCCACCCACTGTGGTGGATCCGCTGTCAGCTTTGACAGTGTGGCATCGAGCAAGAAGATTGTATTTCACAGGCCTCATCCGGTCGACAAAATAGACCCCGTCATGCTCCGTGCCATGGGAAAACGGATGAACAAATGGTCGGCTGGAGCAACGATGTACTCTGCGTTGAGCATTAGCAGGGTTTTGGACAAGCTGGTCCATTTCTGCCCTCATGGGATAAAAGTCCATCAAAAACAGCATCAGGCATATCCCTCTCTCGGCAGAATGGGTTTTCTCCAACGAAACTGTATTCACGGTAAACATCTCGTTGCGGATGTAGAGATATCGAACAAGGGAGGGAGTTTATCACACAGCTCTAGAGATCTGATTTCTTGAATACTTGCAAGGAGTGATGCTGGCTTTGGGAGGTGAGACTGCAGCTTTGGGTACAGACGCACTAGGAGGCAGAGTTTTGTTTTGGCCCTTCGTTTTCCTTGCGATTCATTCTTGCGATTCACCTTCCGCATACACCATAGTGGCGGTCGGAACTTTTTACTCACTTTTCGATAAATTCGGTAGAATGGACTCCCTTACTCTTTCCTCTCCTGCTTAACGGTGCTGTGGTTGGCGCTTTCCCACATTTGCGAAGCTGCCTCAACAATCTATATCAACATCTGTACTTGCTTGCTTGCTTCTTCTTCTTCTTCTTCTTCTTCTTCTTCTTCTTCCACATCTCATCCTTTGACCGACACTTTATACCACTCTCCTATCTCAACTGTGAATCCTCAACATGCGCATCCTCATTCTCACGCTTATCCTTTTCCTCATCTCTGCCCCCTACGCTGTCGACTTGCCCAAAGACGCCAGCAGTCAATGGAGAATACTCAAAACCACAATTGAGGACGCCTCATCCAGCATCAAGGGCAAATCCCATCTGAACAGCACTTTGAGATTATTCGCAAACACCGTCAGTGCCTCTCACATGTGGTCATTGCTTTCAGAAACTGACATCGCGAAAAGGGCACCGCCAATCTTCTTTACAACATCACCCATACAATCAACAGCTCTTGGGGCATCGCAGCTTCCGACAAGGTACGAGACAGCCCATCGCATTGCGTCGTGCCGCGCTCACTGATAATACTTATAGCCTGCGTTCATTAACGGCAGTTCTCTCCCAATGGACAATAAATACAACGACGTATTCTCCCCCAGTATTCCTTCCTAGGCCGTTGCAGTGCTGACCGCGTTAAATACAGTACCTTAAACCCGTCCCGGACCTCGTGTCTGCCCTGGTAGCGCTCGGCTCAACATGGCACCTTGAACTCAACTACCCCGTCTACTGGGGGATCGAGGAGCTCGCACGGCAGGTGCAGGTCAGTCAACCAGTTCTCTCTGCTCAATTGCCTCGTTCTCAATGTGCTACCTCGAAAGCAACCCTCTGCAGCAGCTACGCGCAGTGAGTTACGAACGGTTGCTAATGTGCTCGCTGCGACATAGGGTTACGGCAGCGCGCTCACCCGCGCCGGAATCATCAGCGAGAATGCGACAATCCGGACCATCAAGATGGGCAGCGAACTTGTGAGAGCAGAGAAAGCATGGAGCAAGCCCGGAAACTTGCCGGGGAGGCTGGTGCCACTACGTCCGTTCCGTAACTTGCGGCCACCCTCATAATTTCCCGGTTGCTCAATGGTTATTGGAAACTCAGCGCGGAAGAGTTAGGAAGCCATGAGACTCGGTATATGGCAAGGGTCACTGGTGGGTGGACTGTTAGCATGGTTGGGCCCACGGGAATCGGCGTGCTTGTCGGTATGGTACGAGGAATGATTGATTGGTTGTGGCCTATAGAAGAGTACGAGCATACAATCAAGGTACTGTCTGATAATTCTTCCGAACTCTTTGCGGGTGTTAGGAGCTCAGGAGCTCAGCAAGGTATAGGCGCAGGAAGCTCTGGCCATGACTAAGCGCGCCGTCGTCATCCCGAAGCGAGAGTTGTTTGTTGACATCCATTTGGTTGTCGGCGCCGATCTTCACGCGCACACCATTGCTGCCATCCTTAGTCCTCCCCTTTACATTTAACGCTTTGCATGGCACCCAACATGGAGATAGAGGCGTATTCCAAGACCGACGTTGCAGAGGTATATCCTCAGCCCCTGCATTCGCACCCTCACGGCACTGACGCGCGCTTCCAGTTGCAGCAGGCCCTGCAAACCGCCCAATTAGAACTAGATCTCGAACGCAGCCACCGCATCGTCGAAGGCGTCGCTAGGGACGAGGATATTCGCAAGCTGCGCTGCCAAATTCTTCTGCTGGAAGATGAGAATGATGAGCTACACGACCAGCTGGCCGAAGAGGAGTCGCGGGCCGACCGCCTCGAGGGAACACTTGACGACTCGCTGGAGCAATTGAAAGTGAAAGAAGCGGAAGTACTGCGCCTGCAGAATGAATTGCGCGTCAAAGCGAGAGCATCAGACACGATGAAGGTGAGCAAGCGCGTGGGAGCGGCCACGGCGAAGATCCAAGCTCACGCATCATACAGGCTGAACTCGCAGCGCTGGAGTCTATATCGACCGATTCGAACAAAGTCCTGGCCGAAAAACTCGCCCTTGCACACGAAGTTCGTGCGCTGAAACCCGAACTCGAACACCTCCGCTCGCAAGCCGACGTCCATGCGAACCTGATCTCTGAAAAGCTATCACTACAACGCCAACTCGATACCGTCGAAGTCGAACTCGAGAACGAGAAGCGCGCAACACAGCGCGCCATTGCTAGGCAAGGTAAAGCAAGCGAAAAGGATGCGGAGCACCAGAGCGAGGTTAGCGGGCTGCGAAAGGAGCTATCCAAGGCGATGCGGGAGCTTGAAAAAGCAGAGAAAGAGTTGGATAAGGTGCAGCTAGAGCTAGACTCCACTAGGAAAGCCGCAGAGCGCGCGCAGTCCAAGGAAGACAAGAAAACCGCGCAGGACGCAAAGGATGACGCCAAGCTCGAAGACCTCAAGAAAGAGCTCGCCAAGGAGAAGCGCGAACGGGAAAAGGCAGAGAAGGCCATTGAGAAGTCAAGGGTCGAAACAGAGGCGCAAACCACGCTCGTTAACGAGCGTGCAGACGCCTATAAGAATAAGCTCAAGTCTGTCAAGGAAAAACTCAAGGAGACACAGGCAGAGCTTCAAAAAGCGCAGGCTGCGGCTGCTGCCCAACCTGTCATCGAGGAAGCGCAAGCGCCAAAGGCAGCGCCCGCAAAGAATCCCCGGAAACGCACTGTTGCGCAATTGGACCAGGATGCCACGACGCTGGGCACGCCTGGAGATGGGATGCCCGCAAAGAGGAGCCGCGCGACTATCATGCCTGGCGAGAAATCAACTTTCAGCATCACTCCCTTCTTGAACCGTACTGCGAACGTCATTGAAGACACCCCCAAGGAACAGGCGGAGGATGCGGAAGTCGAGCACGATGATCAAGATTCCGCAGAAGCGCAAGGCACACCGACGGTCCAACCGAAGAAAGGAAAGAAGGCCGTATCCGAGAAGCCCAAGACGAAGGCGCTCGCCGCGCTGGATGCGAACCAGAAAGCGAAACCAGCGGCGCAGCGGAAAAAGGCTGCCGCACCGGCGTTAGAAAAGGTTGCGGAAGAAGCAGACAGCGACGACCAAGAGAACAGCCCCGTTGCCGAGGAAGCAGCCACGAAGCTCGAGGAGCCGGAGAAGCCCAAGGAGAAGGGCAAAAAGGCCAAGCAAGCCGAGAAAGAAAGCGAGCCCACCAGTCTCAAGCCGAAGCTGAAGCCCGCAAGCGCAGCCCGCAAATCGCTCGCCTCGTTTGCATCCTTTATGGATGAGGGGGCGCCCGAGAAGAAGAAGAAGAAGCGCAAGCTCGGCGGCAACCAAAGCATTCTGGGCAAGACGCTGTTCGACGTCGACGAGGAGGAAGAAACGAGCAAGCCGGCCAAGCCCATCCCAGGGCGTGGGATATTCGCGGCGCGCGCGCTGGGCAAGGGCCGCTTGGGCGGGCCGTTTGCTGGCGCGAAGAGCCTTGGGGCAGGACCGACGATGACGACAGTGGATGGGTTTACGTTCAGTCCGCGCAAGAAGGAGAAGAAGGCTATGCGCGAGGCGAGCATGATGCAGTGAACGGTGGTGGCGGTGGCGGTGACAGTGCTTGGGAAGGGGCGTATGTGGGAAGGCGTCTTGTCTGCGCAAGGGCACTCACTTGGTTACGGGTATTATTGGACTGGAATTTGGTATGCTATGGCTACCCTATGTATGGCTTTGGGATGGATTATTTTCATTGGCGTATTGCGTGTCTACGGTTGGGTATTGCTGGGGACATGGGAAATACGGTGACAGTTTATGTTTATATTGCTCGATAGGCGGGCTGTAGTAGGTACATGCGATTCTTTCACGTTCCTTTATCTGCATGCACCTTCGGCTTTCTGTGGAACAAGGACAGCCAGTTGCCTACCTATATATGCACTTGTCGGTTCTCCAGCTCGGCATCAACCAACCCGCGTCTTCACAATCAAGCAGGTTGCTTCAACTGGCAGTTTCATTCCACCGGGGACACTTCTGATGCAATTGCCACTGTCCTCAAGAAAGGGGTTCTTTGGTACTGTCCTTTTGCCATTGCCTACATGGGAACCGCGCAGTTACTGATATATGGTATTACTTTCGTTCATCGCCGATACGCAACATTCTCTATCATGATACTGTGCTCGCCATTCGCCCGAATTGCTAAACGGTACCGCTGTGACTATCTCGTAGCTTGGAGTTCTGTTGTCCGCGCGCTCGTAAAGGGCGGGTGGGCTCTAGGTCCCTCTGTCCACTGGCAAGCATGAGGGCTGAGGGTTGTGTTTGAGTTGAGCTGCTTGGGATTGTTTATAGGGGCAAGCTGTCAGTGTTCATTTCCGATACTGCTGTGTGCCTAAACAATTCGAAGTGGCTCAGTCAGGAGGGATAAACTGTCGACAGGGGGATTTTCTACGTAGCGAACATATCCGTCTCGGTAATGCATGTAGATATAAAGGGGTTGCAGGGCATACGTCTTCTATCCTCCAGACTAAGTGGACTCGGCCTACAATTTACCTACTATATAAGACCTGTCCAGTCTGGCAGCTAACAATGCTCACAATGGTCAACAACGGAACAGTAGCGACTGTGCGATCATACGTTCCCCAGGGCCCATCTATCTCGACAAACAAAAGGCTTATTTGGGCAGCCTTCTATCCTTTTCTTTCCTATCCGCGCAATTTTGTTCGAGTTGCTGTTGTTAGAAGGGACAGTGATAGCATCAATGTCAATGATAATGACAAACACCACTCGACACTAGTGTTGTACCATGCTCCGTTATACTGTCGCTGAGTAACATCGTAGGGCTTTCCGACCATTCGACTGGTCTCTTCACAGTTCAGTTTGTTGAAATAAGTTGGCGGGCTTCTTCCATTCCGTATCTTCAAGATGAGGAAAGGCGGGAGGCAGAATGGTCGATTTTGCCGTGCGCATGGCGCGGTACGGTAAGGACTGTCTGCTCTTGGAGGGTAAGAGCGAAGCCTGGAGTCGTATGGTATAAAAGGTGCGATTCGTACGGCGTCGATCCCGTGGAGCTCTTTGTCTGTCTCTTCTGCGTTCGTACTCCTACGTCCTACGTACGAGAGGAGTGGCTACATGGCGTCGATGAATGCGCTTAGGTCCGGCCGTCGGAAGGAGGTGTTTGGAAAGTGCCAGAGGACAAGCACAGAAAGCGTTGGCACTAAGAAAACAAGCCTTTTCCGTCCCCCTACCTGCTCTTACCTACATAAACCCCTTGGCCAGCCCTCCAAGACCAACGGCCTCGATTCGACACCCCCAGACACGATCTCGCACCGTCCTGTCTCCCTCGTCGCTCTGCCCTCTCCCCTCTACTGCAGCACAGAGGCGCACGCGCCCGCCCCGACCCTACCCAGGGGCCTCGTCGTTGCCCGAGCCCAGCAACGAACAAACGTGTTAGGGTAGAGGCGATATCTCGGGCCGGGCGCAGCGCGCCGACCGGAGCCGGGACAAACCGCCACCGCTACCCACAATCGAATCCATCTCGTAAGACGATCGCGAAATAGCGTCGGGCGCCAGCGGAACGCCTCCAGCACCAGCACCACCGGGCGGCTGAGATTAGAAACGCGCCCACTCACTTGACAGGCGTGACAGGAAATCCTGGGCCCGGCTCAGGCATCACGGCGCTGCCCACGGGCTCCTCGCGGCTCTGCGCGCTCGTGCGTGCGTGTTGTTGGCTGCGCCGACCGTTGGGTTCCATGTTTTTCGATTTTTCCTTTGGCGAGCTGATTGTCCGGCCGAGCGGCGGCCACGCGAGATATGCGAAACATTCCAACTTGACAGGTCGGGAAGGCGAGCACGCGCCGTCGACGTTGCTTGACGTCGTTCTTTCCATGAGCCGCATCTGCCATCTACGTATGCTATGGTAAGAGAACAGCACTCCGATTTCGGGGCGCCGGGTAGATGAGCGCCTGCGCCGCCGTCTCATCAGCTTTGCGGATCCGTGGCGGCGGCCGCGTGGGCGGGAACAATGGTCATCACCATCAGCAGAGCAACAGCAGCAGCATCGGGCGAGGTCGGGAGGTGGTCGGTGACGGTATTTTGGGCAGATTGTCTCGGAATCGGAATCGGGCAGCAGACAGGCAGGCAGGGCAGGCAGGGCAGGCAGGGCAGGCAGGGCAAGCAGCCGCAGCGGGCGGTCAACGGCCAGCAGCGGATAGTGACATTGACGGTGACAGAAGCTGCTGGCGATAGACGGGCAGGGAAAGAGGCCGCTCTGAGCAGGCGGAGGACCTCGCGCACTTCATACGAGGGCGGCGGTGCCTGGTGCCTGGTGCCTGGTGCCTGGTTCCTGGCTAGAGAGGGTACGGCACCAAGGCATGCATAGTCAGTGCACTGGAGATAGGTAGGTTCACATGCAGAGGATAGATAGGGTGTGTGAAGCGGGACAGTTTCGAGGAGTTGAGCGTGTAACTAGGTACAAGCAGATGCACCTATCAGATGCGCGGCAGGGATGACAAGGGCAGACGCGGCGATTGGGCGGCCCCTTATCTGGCGATGCGCCCGGTCGGCGGCGATCCGGCAGTGGCGCGGTTGCATAAGGCGATGATGCGAAGGAAAGAAAGAGATAAGGGAATCCCGTGCCAAGCCCTGAGATAGCTGCCTGTCACTGATGATGATGATGATGCTGATGCTGATGATAGGTACTCGTACTACTGATAGCTGCTGCTGATGATGATGATGCTGCTGCTGGTTGCGGGCAGCAGTCTGGATGGGACATTTCTTGTCATCCCCCTTCGCTCTCTGCTCTCTCTCTGCACCCACCACCACCACCACCAGCAACTCGCCCACCGCTGGTCCGGTCCAGCGCATCGTTCGTCGACGTCGAGTCCAGATGCCGCCCCGGCCCCGTTAGGCCCGCCCGTCCGCCCTGCCCCAAGCTCCAGCCTTCTGGAAAAAGCCACCCAGCCAAACCCCACGAGGCGCCGGCCCAGCTCGTCTATTTTGCCCCAGGCGGCCTTGCCAAAGGGAGAGAGATAAGCTGGCCTCGACAATGCGTCGTTGGCTCGCTCTCTCTTAAAGCACCTCGGCCCCGCACCCTCCCGCAGATCCATAAAGGCCCTTTGTTCTTGTTGTGTGCTTGCTGCTTTTGCTGCTGTTTCTCACACACTAGGTGCCCATCATGTCTTACTCGTGGGTTGGAGCACCCACTCCCTTCAACGGCACCAACGAACACCTCGGCGGCGACTCCAGTATGTCCCTCACGTGTCACCACACCACCACGCCCTCACTGACGCCTCACCTCACGCAGGCTCCGAAAACTTGAACCAATGGTACCAATCCGGAGACCAGGCCTACATCATCATATGCTCGGCCATGGTCCTGATCATGGTCCCCGGCCTGGGCTTCCTCTACTCTGGACTCGCTAGGAGAAAGTCCGCCCTGTCAATGGTGTGGGCCTGCATGGCCTCGTCGTCCATCATCACTTTCCAATGGTATTTTTGGGGTTACTCGCTCGCTTTCAGCCAATATGCCACCAACGGCTTCATCGGCGACTTGCGAAAGTTTGGCTTGATGAAGACGTTGGGCGCCCCGAGTCCTGGCAGTGTCTTGATCCCGGATCTGCTCTACGCCTTCTACCAGGTCAGTAGTTTTTGCTACTATACGACGGTGCGTTCATACTGATATCCGACAGATGCAATTCTGCGCTGTAACGGCCGCTATCGTCGTCGGTGCCGTCGCTGAGCGCGGTCGCCTGATCCCGTCCATGGTCTTCATCTTCGTGTGGGCAACCATCGTCTACTGCCCGATTGCCTGCTGGGCCTGGAACGCCAACGGTTGGTTTTACAAGTGGGGAGGCATGGACTACGCTGGTGGTGGACCCGTCGAAATCTGTTCCGGAATGTCGGCCCTCGCTTACTCGATGATCCTCGGACGCCGCCAGGAGAGGATGATGCTTAACTTCCGCCCTCACAACGTCTCGCTCATCACCCTCGGCACCATCCTTCTGTGGTTCGGCTGGCTCGGCTTCAACGGTGGCTCCGCCTTCGGTGCCAACCTGCGTGCCGCCATGGCCTGCTGGAACTCGAACCTCACGGCCATGTTCGGTGCCATTACCTGGGTTCTTCTCGATTGGAGGCTTGCCCGCAAGTGGTCCATGGTCGGCTGGTGTTCCGGCACCATCTCTGGTCTCGTCGCCGCGACGCCCGCGTCTGGTTTCATCACCCCCTGGGCCTCGGTCTGTCTCGGTATCGCCACCGGCATTATTTGCAACTTTTCGACCAAAATCAAGTTCTGGGTCCGGATTGACGACGCGATGGATGTGTTCGCGGAACACGGCGTGGCTGGCATGGTCGGCCTTTTCTTCAACGGCATCTTCGGCGCCAGCTACATCATCGGACTGGATGGCGTGAACGCGGGAGTCAAGGGCGGGTGGATCGAGCACGGCTGGGTCCAGCTTCCCAAGCAGATCGCCTACATTGCGGCCTGCACGGGCTACGCCTTCGTCATGAGCGCGCTGATCGCTTTCGTCATCAACAAGATTCCGGGCCTGCACCTGCGCGCGTCCGAGGAGGCCGAACTCCTCGGCATGGACGACGACCAGCTCGGCGAGTTTGCCTACGATTATGTCGAGGTTCGCCGTGACTACCTCGCCTGGACCCCGGCGAAGAACGAGCCCGCGTCGTCCGAGCACCAAATCCCGCAGGGCGAGCGCCACGGCATCGCGCAGCACAGCCAGATGCTCGAGGGCTACGAGCCCAGCGATGAGGACACGGGCCCGTCGCCGCCGGACTCGGGCCACGCGCACACGGGCATCGGTGGTGACAGGCACGCCGTCGCTATTGAGGAGAAGTCGCAGCCGCACCCCGACGAGGGGCGGTGAGACGGGCCACGCTCTGCCCTTTTTTCCCTTTTTTCTTCTTCCTATTTGCGACGACGATACTGCTTGTTTATACCTATTTGCTGGCACACACGCACACGATGACACCCTTGGGTTTGGGAGCGCGGACCACGGTCCTTTTGTCTTGGTTTCTCTGGGGGATATGTTTGTATTTTCCTTTTTTCGTTTCGTTGGGGGCGGCGTTGGATACCAAAGAGTTTCACTCGGATTGCGGCAGCATCACACACACGACGGATGGCGCGTGTCCTTGCATACCGGCAAGGCGGCGCTTGTTTACCCTCTTGGTGTGTTTTTTTTTTTTTTTTCTTGCTCCTTCTTACAGCGAGGCCGGCGCGCCGGGAGGATATTCTAACCTATATGTATGTACAACAGAAGAGCGGGATTGGCAGGGACGAGGCGGATGGACAGATGGGACAGATGGTCAGACGGACGGCCGGGTGGGCGACTTGGCGGGCCGAGGAGCCAAGGGCGGCCCGTGCGCAGCGATAATAATGTGGACGACGCTTCTTGCGAGACATATCGAGAGATTGGACGGATAGAGGGAGCGTGTGTGCGTGTGCTGATGTGTGTTTGTGCTTTGTGCACGTTTGGACGTTTGGTGAGATTGCTGCGGGGTGCCGGGGGGAAGCACTGCATGTGCATGCATGTGGGGCGGCGTCGTGCGTAGCGCAGCAGGTTAGGGCTGGGGTGATAGGTATGGATGGGTGAGATTGAAGGACATGTTGACGAGCTGACCGACTGATAAGTTGACGAATACGATGAATTGGTAGGCTCATGGTGGGCAAGGCATGAGGGGAAAAAAAAAAAGAAATGACGACGATAGATGTGCGGGCGGTGGAAAGAGCAAGAGCCAGGATACTCTCTGCTATATGCGGATCTGTATAGATCGACCCACAGACCCTACGGCCTCGGTTCCGACATGAAACCAACACAAAAGAATGGACAAGACAAGAAAGCCACCATGGCGGCGAGATGGCGAGGGAGGCGAGGGAAGAGAAAGGCCAGACATGTGGCCAGACATGTGGCCAGACAAAGGAAAGCGCCGCCCACGCGCCTGTCTAGACAATCTCTATTCTCGGAGGCGGACAAGAAGGTGGCAGAGACAAAGACTCTCGAGGCCTTTAAGTCGTCTTCTTCTTTGCGTCTTGCTGGACGGACACACCACCACCCTCGCTCGTTTACTCATTTCAATACCCGCCCACGAAGCTGGTCTTCACTCGACGTTCTTTTAACAGACACGACGAAGCATCATCACTCATCCATCTCGCAGCAAACATGTCACCAACGCCCACCCGCACCCTCACCATCAACCCGGCCCCCTTCCGCTCCTCTCCCCTCGCAATTCCACCCTCCCCCTTCTCCCCACGTCTCCCACTCACGCCCCCGGCCAGCAAACCCGTCTCGATAGCCTCGACCGACTCCGACTCCGACTCCAGCAGCACCACTTCAACCTCAACCTCAACCAAACGCGCCCTCACATCGCCTACCACGCCGCTCTCCCCGCCCCCGGCCCCCGCCCTCCGCTGGATCTGGCAATGCCACATCTGTAAGTCCGTCTACCCGCTCGGCGCGACGCGGCGCTGCCTCGACGACGGGCACTTTTTCTGCTCGGGCACGACGACGGTCAGCAAGGGGCGGAAGCGGCGCCGCGGCAGCGGCAGCAGCAAGAAGCAGCAGTCTGCGGCGTGCGCGAGCGAGTTTGACTACTCGCGGTGGCAGGCCTGGGGCGAGTGGAGGCGCGGCGAGGCGGGCGAAGAGGACACGGAGAAGCGGCCTAGGAACTGCGCCAGGAACTGCGATTTCCCGTCCGAGTGCCGGTGGGGCAAGGGCGTCGCGGCGCAGATGACTGGTGCTGGTTCTGCTTCGCCCTCTTCTGCTTCTACTTCTACCTCTACCTCTAGCTCTACTTCTCCGCCCGCACAAGAAGCCACCACCACTACCACAGCAGCCCCACTCGCCGAACTCAACCTCCTGCTCCCCCCGCCGCCCCAGCCACCAACAACCTTCGACGCGCTGCTCACCCCCGCCCAAGAGGGCCAGCTCTCGCCCCGCTCGCCCGAGGACAAGCAAGCCCGCGAAGCCTTCTGGGACGGGATCCTGGAGTCGGCGCGGCAGCGACGGGGAGGCGTCAGCAGCAGTGGCAGTGGCAGCGGTGATAGCGAGAAAGCTTCTTCTTCTTCTTCTTCTTCTTCTTCTTCTTCTTCGTTGTTATCGTCGTCTTCGTCGACCCCCTCGTCGCCGCTAGCAAGACACCCCGTCTGCGCAGAGGACGTCGCGATGCAGGCAGGAGCGGATACAGTGGCTGATCAGCCGCTGGAAGAAACGGTACAGGCGCAGGCGAGCCGCGTCAGCGTCAGCGTCTCGCAGAGGCTATTTAGTGGTGCTTTTGAGATTTTTGGTGGGTTTACGGGGTCTAGTGGTGGTGGTAGCGGGAGTTGGAGTGGGAGTAGGAGCAGTGATGATGGCGAGAGCGAGGCGGGCGGAAGGAGGAAGGGCTGGAGGGGCAGTGGAAGGTTGGGCGGGTTGGGTGGTAGGTAGACTGTTGGGAGTTTTATTCGTTGGTTTTGGGTTCTTTGTGGGAGTCTTTTTTGTTGGTTTGGGGGAGTGTCTGTTCTGTTCCTTTTTGCTGTGCGTCTGTCTCTTTTTGGGTGTATGGGTTTTCAGTGAGACGCCACGGGCTGGCTTGTCTGTTTAGAGTTTTATGTTTTCTTGTTACTGCTTGCTTGTTGTTTATTTGCTTACTTTCTGGCCCACTTCTTATGCATGTTCTTTAGGGAACCGTCACTGTTGCTTTCAGTTATCAGTCAGCCACACATCCGAGAAACCAGACCGGCCCAGCGACGAAGCTGGACAGCTCTGCCTGAGCGTGCTCCTGCAGGCAGACGAGCCGATACCGGCTAGCGGGGTTGGCGCGTGGCCAGTGTATCTTTGATATTATTATTATGATCGGCCGCGTGTCTACGGAGTAAATGCTGGCTGGTCGTCGGACTGCTGCGATAGAACACCCGGCTTCCACAGGGCCTGGCTGCTGGCGCGCAGATAGCTACGATTATGCTGCACCTGAACGAAGCAATCTCCGACGCCTTTATTCATATGTTACGGGGCACGCACGTCACGTCACGGGTGTGAGAGAAGTGGTGGAGGACCTAACCCGTGAGGCGAGGGAGATTTGAGGTGATGATGTGTGTTTATTTGTTGGAGTGAAGCTGAGCGTATTTGTAATGTTTGAGGTAGCTGTTGTAGGGTGTCAATTGGGTTAGATGGTGTTGGGCTGGAGTTTGGGATCCTGATGTTGGGTATTGGTGAGGTATTTTTCTGGTGGCACTTTAGGGCTTGTTAGTGGGGGAATTTGGGCGAGACGGTCTGTTGTTTTCTTTTGTCATGGACGGGCGGTAGGTTTTATCATTAACTCCCATATTAGTGTAAGCAACGCGAACAGGCCGGTGGGACTAGCGTCTGGTATCTCTAACAGGAATAGGACTTACTTATAACCATACCAAACCCTTGGCGTGAAATACTGGCTTCATAAGGTGCCAACTATGAGCTGAACGATACCGTGACCATTTAGACAAACACTGTTTGCAGTGGTGTACTTAGGGTCCTTCGACACCTACCTTGTGCTAACCAACTACTCTAGGCAACCACGTCGCGGCCCGGTGTAGCACATGGAAGCTTCCACCACCCTCTCGATCCTTCCATAACCTTCTTCACTGACATCATTCGTCGTAGTGAGCGCACGCACGTCCCCATTCTCAGTCTATATAAACGCCCTCCCCCCTCCAGGTTTAACCCTCTTTTTCCTTTGGTTCTCTTTGCCTCTTAGCCTCGGTTTACATGCACTGTCCCTTCTTTTCCATATGCAGTCGTCTATGATATTGGTTTTCGGTCCCCGCGGCGGCTGCTTTTGCACTCCTTGAAGCACTCCATGACACCATGTCACCCCGTGTGACCTGAAGATCCAAGCCCCACACCGGCTCTGCTCAATGCATAAAAAGTACACTTCCGTCTGTCTCCCGTCTCCATGCATACCCACCCAACATGAGGAAAACTACGTATCGTCATCCTTAGTCGTACTGCCAACGTGCTCATAGCCGGTTTCATGGGAGGAACGTCGCAGTCATGCTTGCATGTCTCGCACACGGGACCTTGAGGCCTCTATGGGTGCTTCAGCCATGGCGAAATCACAATCTTCTCTCTGAATCAATGCACAGCTTCTTGACTTCTGCGATTTGCTTTTCTCGGACATGCGCTGACACGTTGCAAACACAGGATCTTTACTAACACCGCTCTTTGCTTTGCTTTTTCATTGCTGTGCTCGGCTTATCTGGGCCGGTGAGGAAGATGCTTGCTTTGCTTTTTGTGCGCTCTTGATCTGATTCTGTCTATATCAGCCGGATGTCATAAGCTCGCTCATACCCTGTTGGGATCCATCCTTTCTCGGTCACTGCTGTCACTAGAGACGCAAGCTTCAATCCAGAAGACTCGGTGTTTGTACGGGGGAGACGCTCTCTTGAGCGGACTATGTCGGATCGACCTGCTCGGTCTAGTTAACAAATTAAACATCAGTCTATTAAATATCCTATCCAACCTTTCAAAGCCTGTCTTCCTTGAACAGAACTCTGCACCCTACCTATTACGCGGTTTTAAGAAAGGCGTATTGGCCTCCCATGTTGAAGATTGACAGTAGTCTCTTGATATATTCCTTAGCTTATTTTTCCAGTCAAGCATCAAGCGTCGCAAGCCATGCCACCAAATTTAGCATGAATGTCGACAGAGGTACAGAAAAGATGATTGTCGCAATAGTAGGTTTAGTTTTCGATTATTTCACCAACATTGAGAGTAGATATTGTCTAACAATGAGTGTCCCTAGGAATTTTCCTTAATTGTTCGAAAGCCCGCATGTGGCCACAGATATCATTGTATAAGGCGGTGCGACAGCTCTGGTCCAGGAGCAAGTTGAAGTCGAAGGAGATGGCAAAAACCGAATCCGGTCGGTGCTTCCATGCTGATACGCCAGCAAAATCTCATCCAAAGAGAACTCGACGACGCTGCTGCAAGAAACGTCGCACGCGGCGATGGTGTTTGATGTAGTCCGGCCGCCCTGCCGCCCAAGTGATGTTCGCAACAGCTAACTACCTGGTCTTAGCGTCGCAGCCCCACCACGCTACGAAATTTGCAGCCCCCCCCCCAAAAAAAAGACTCAAGGGCAAAAAAAAAAGATATTGCCAGGAATCGAACCTGCTACTGTTGGATTCGCCGGGAATTGAACCCGGGACCACTCCCATAATAGGACTTCAATCGGTGTGATGATAGTGCTAAGGGAGTATCATACCACTAGACCACAAACCCTGCGCCATTGCTGGCTGATGATGGGAGAGACATAGAAATTTAAACTTATGTAGCTTCAATAATTTGCGATATTGATGGTGATTATCATCACTATCGATCAAACTCATGTCTGTAAAAGTTCATGAATCACTCTGTATCTTTTAACTTTCGCATCTCCGTATCCCGGTGGAGTACTCTCTCGTATGTATACCTCTATACCACCATGTATTTATAAGCACTTTCGTATCTTTCCGTTAAATGCATATGTCTAGCACCATCCAAGTAGAGAACTTAAATCTATCCACAACTACCGTGAGAGTACCCGGTGGGTATGATAGACTGAAATTGATAGGCGGTTGCAGAGTGGGTAACATAGTCAAAAGGAGTGGCAAATCATCTGGTGCCAACTCGAGCGCGCGCATGCTCCATTTCTCCTCGACCACGGGTAGTCCATCCAACTTTGAAAGAGTACGCTTGTACTAGGAGTAGTTTGGTGTTCGCATTTATGGAAAAACAATCAGTCAGGGTTGACCTGTTGTGCTTCAACTGGTTGCAACCAAGCCTGACTAGAAGTGCATCGTTGCGCTTATGAAGACTCAGAATACATGTGCATCAGGGCAGTCGAATGCGGATAAAGGCCAAAACCTACCTTACTCATTAACCCCTCCGTAGGCAGGCAAGTTTGGTTCCAGGGTTCTGCTAGTGTGCTGTCACTTGTACATGAAGGTACTGGAAACTTTCCTACAAGTACAAATGGCTTCTCATACCTTTGACAATCTGCGATACCTATCTCCCCTCATAACTTTGTTAACGCCACGCATGCTGCTTTCCTTTCTCTTCAAGTGCTGTATCCATGACCAAGTGCAGAGAACACTTATGCGCAGGTGCAGACAGTCCCGCGCTCTGCACGGGGCTAGCCGAGATTATATTTCACACGCAGGCGCGAGCGTGGCCGGCAAATGATGTGGGACCGAGAGGGTAAATTGACGGGCCCTTCTGACCCTGTCAGGTGTGTGCTCTACGGCTCCTGGAATTCGAGTTTGACATTGTCTGAAACTTGGGTTTGCATCTTGAATAGTCTGTTGGGTGGCCCGTGGCATCGACTTGGATCGCGGATAATTATATATCGTTCGGCTTCTCACATTAGTGTGCCGCACGCCTGCCTACGGAAACCCGATTTAAGTGCTGCGGTAGGCTCCGAAAATATGCCATTATTGTGAAAAAGTGTCGATGCCGGAACGCCTTTCGCCGTGATGCCTAGCTCTTGGTATATAGATTGCCCCTATTCCATTACTCCAGCTTGTCCAAATGCTCCAGCCGGGTCAACACCACCTGCTTGCTCGTCTCTTCAATCTCGCCAGCCAGGAAGACCTCGTCAAGGATCGCGTAAACCTTTAAAGCGCGTCAGCACGCAGCCTGCCTCCGGCCTGGATCTGGGTCCCCAGGGACGAAATCACGAACCTTGTAGAAGTTGAAGACAAGGTCGAGCTCGCAGACGTTACCGAAGAAGGCGTCCAAGACCTCGACGAAAAAGTGTATGGCCTCGAGGTATGCGAGCTCGTTGTCGTTGGTGTCGACGCACGCGCAGAAGAACAGTCCTGCATAGCGCCGGTATACGACCTTGGACGTGTTGCGGAACTCAACAAAATTGGACTGGTGTTTTTGGTCGCGCGGGGCGATCAGACGGTGGACCTATTTGGAGGGGGGATTGGTTCAGCATCGGTGGCCGCTACTGGACGGAGCGTGGAGTCGCATGCGCATGCGCCTGCGCCTGTGGCGCGACGCGAGGGGATGCGCAGTGGTGCAAGGAGAACGGACGCACCTCGCCTTTGAGCTTGACCTTCTCTTCATCCTGTGTGCATGTGTCAGCTGGTGCGTGAGTGGGCTGGGCCGGGATGGACTTACGCTGTACGGCGCATACCACTTGGCCAGGCGAGTCTTACCCCTGCGAGGCCGGAAGCGTCAGTATGGAGCGTGGATGCATCGGAGATAGATGTAGCCGGGCCGCGCTTACTGCCGGTTCTGGATGAGAATGAATGAGAGGACCATGATGTTGTGCGGGAGACGAGGCCGGGTCCTGCTCGGTCGATGCGGATGTGGAAGCTGAAGGGCGGCGCTGCCTGTGACCACTTGCGCACTTGCGGTCGATGAACGCCTTCGGCGGGGGTTTTTGTCGCCCGCCGTACCGGCCCGCGTTTCCTTTTCGGGTAAGCGTGTGATCCCGCCCCAAATCTTATGGACGGTCACTGAGGACGGAAAGGAAGGTCAGGAAGCAGTGTTAGCTGCGATTTTATATAGGTTAGCCAATACCCGGGAACATCTATCATCAGACATCCCCTTATTGATTCTCTGTTTCCAGCAATGAACGTTTCGAGCTCTTTAGGTTACTATATATAATGCAACAGTGAGCTTCCGAAGCGGAACCCGTAGAGGTACATTTATATTGGAACTTATCAGTGTCTGAGTAGCTTAAGGCAAGGAGCGCCATGTCATAGTGTGCCATCGGAGCCGACTATGTCAGTCTCATGGAAGCATAGTTAGATAAATCAATGACAAAAAGCATACGATCAGACTCTTGGCCATGGTTTGTTATCGGGGTCGCCTATCTCTGAGCTGAAGTGATGTTATGTGCAAAACACGGCCGGTTTAAAACTATGTTGGCTAATTGCAACTCATATGCGACCAAACGGGAAATAATGAGAGACCTTGGGACGTTAACAGTCTTGGGGTTGTAGTAAGACCGGAAGATTTTCTTTGCATTCCTCGTTTGGATCGTGCTGAAAGAAAGAAGAGGGCAAAGAGACGTTTTTGAGAGAAAAATGGATGAGAAAATTCCAGGTTCAATAAGAAATAACCTCGTAGGATGAATAACCTGTTTCGAGAATGTTCCCAAGTCACAGTAAAGAAAGCCGCAACTGCGGAAGGACAATTGCTCTGGGACTTGACAGCCTATAGCAATGAATAAGGGATAAATGAGAGGTTGATGCGAAGAAAGTCGCGGTGAGGTCAAGGTATATCTGGGAAACGCCCTGAACTTGGGAGTATTCACTCACCACTTCCGCTCTCGCTTTCTTCTTTACCTTCCATCCGCACCCTCCACTTGTACCTCCAATTCCACCCTCCACTTGCGCTCTACAACTACGCTCTACACTGGTGCTCTTTACACTTTCTCCTTTCACACTCGTCCCCTTCACCCACAACTCCCGAGTTTCGATCTCAAGCAACACAACGCCAAACATTTTTTATCCAAGGTCTACATTGCTGTAGGTCTTCCTCCAGTAATCTTGATCACGCTCTAGCTGCAGCTATTAATCAGGCCGATAGTCAACGACAATGCCTCCCAAGAAGGATAGCAACAAGAAGGATAGCAACGAGAAGAGCTGGTCCGACAAGGAGAAGGTGAGTACAACACGGTCGCTTTTATCTCGTGCAGATCAATTGATTTGGTATAGCTTGCGTTCTACGTGAGCCTGATCGAGTCCGGTGCCGCCACCATCGATTGGTCTAGGGTCACGCTTCCGAAGGGCAAGACCCGTAACGCTGTTACCAAGATGATGAAGAGGACCAAGGAACAGCTCAAGCCGGAGCTGGATGCTCTCAAGGCTTCTCAGGAGGAGGATGATGATATCACCACGGTCAAGAAGGAGCGCTCCAAGACTCCAAAGGTGACAGATGACGAGGACGAGAAGAAGACCAAGCGCCCTCGTGCCAAGTCCACTGCTGGTGATGAGAGCAACACCCGCGTCAAGAAGCAGAAGGTCTAGCGCGTTGTCGGAAGAGCGATCGGAATTAGCGAACGGAATGAGCGAACGGAATGAGCGAACGGAATGATCGTCTTCAGTTTCTCGCGGATAGATGCATGAATCAAGGATTGACGTCGGTGGATCCCACATGGTGTTGAAGAAGGCGAAGCACAGGCCAAGGCCTTCGTAATGCGCGGCTGGCGGGCGAGGCTGGAAATTTGAAGTCGGTGACACTGCTTGAACATCTGCAATCCCCATCTGCCAAAGTTGCCCATCCCGTCGCACTTGCCGTCGCTCTTCTACTTGAATGCGTGTTGCGCCCCTGCTCGGCTGCAGACTCCCTTCGCTAGCTCGACGCCCGACACCAAGCGCATTGTCCTGGCTGCAGCGCTGTCATCACCACCACCATCATCACACCGGTCTTGCGTCGCGTACGCCTTCCATAGTCCCGCTACTTGGCGCGCTTCGCAGGCATCTGACTCCCTACCTCTGCATCATCCGCCACGTCTCTATCCACACGTCACACGCTCATTCGCCTCCGTTGTCAGCCGCCATGGACCACCAGCACGACACCCGCAGCAAGCGCAAGCAGCCGCCCTCTCCCTCCAGCGATCGCCCGATGAAGCAGAGGAGGCCGCAGCGAGACGCGTCGTCATTGTCGGAGAAGGAAAGCTCTGCGCTGAACGGCCTCAACGGCGCCCACGGCTCTGTAACCAACGGCATGGACGTCGAGTACGATTCCGACGACGCGCGCTCGGTAACCCATGTCGGGGCAACCGGAGATACCGTTGAGTGGCAGCGCACGATAGAAAAGGTGGTCAAGAATGTCGTTTCCATCCATTTCTGCCAGACGGCTGCCTTTGATACCGATTCTGCCTTGGCAAGTGAGGCGACTGGCTTTGTGGTGGACGCGGAGAAGGGATACATCCTTACGAACAGGGTAGGCTGGTCCAAAGCTTCTTATGCCCGCCCATGCTAACAGGGCCATAGCACGTAGTAGGCGCAGGCCCGTTCTGGGGATACGTCATCTTCGACAATCATGAGGAGGTACGTTACACAAGTCACAAGGCAATGTCAGAGATTCGTTAACCATCTATCAGGTCGATGTTCACCCCATCTATCGCGATCCCGTTCACGACTTTGGCATTCTGCGCTTCGATCCCAAGGCCGTCAAATATCTGGACCTCACGGCATTGCAGCTGAAGCCGGACCTTGCTCGCATCGGAGAAGAAATCAGGGTTGTTGGTAATGATGCTGGAGAGAAGCTCAGTATTCTTTCTGGTGTCATTTCCAGATTGGATCGCAATGCACCCGAGTATGGTGAGGGATACAGTGATTTCAACACCAATTACATTCAGGCAGCTGCAGCTGCCAGCGGCGGAAGTTCTGGCAGTCCCGTGGTCTGCAAGGATGGTTCCGCCGTTGCGCTGCAAGCCGGTGGCAGAGCCGACGGAGCATCTACTGACTACTTCTTGCCGCTCGACCGCCCGCTTCGCGCGTTGCAATGCATTCGCAATGGCCAGCCGGTCACGCGCGGCACCATTCAAACGCAGTGGCTCTTGAAGCCCTTCGATGAATGCCGGAGGCTTGGCCTGACTGCAAACTGGGAAGATGCTTTGAGGAAAAAGTTCCCCAAAGAGACTTGCTTGTTGGTTGCTGAAGTTGTCTTGCCCGACGGCCCTGCCGACTCCAAGCTTCAGGAGGGTGATATTCTGATCAAGGTCAACGATGAGCTGCTCACTCAATTCATCCGTCTTGACGATGTCCTGGATACGAGCGTTGGCAAGCAGATCAAGCTGCTGATCCAGCGCCAGGGGCAAGACATGGAAGTGGAGATTGATGTAGGAGACCTGCATGCCATTACGCCGGACAGGTTCGTCACCGCTGCCGGTGCGTCCTTCCATGAACTCTCCTACCAACAAGCAAGGCTGTACGCTATCTCGTTGAAGGGAATGGGAGCTTTCGTATGTGAAGCCTCCGGGTCTTTCCGCTTTGAGGGCAGTGAGTCGGGCTGGCTCGTCCAGTCGGTCGATCACAAGGACACTCCCGATCTTGACACTTTTGTTGAAGTCATGAAGAGCATTCCCGATAAGAGCAGAGTCGTGGTTACTTACAAGCACATTCGCGACCTCCATACTTTGAACACCAGTGTCATGAGCATTGACCGTCATTGGCATGACAAGATGAAGCTCGTTGTTCGCAACGATACAAGCGGTCTTTGGGACATTTCAGATCTTGCTGACAGAATTCCGCCCGAGTCTCGTCAGCCGCAGAAGGCGAACTTCATTCGCATGGATCATGCTCAACACCCGCAGGCAGTGGACATTGTCAGGAGTTTCGTCAGGGTGTCATCTTCTATGCCGCTCAAACTTGACGGCTTCCCCCGTTCGAGGAAGATCGGCTATGGTCTCGTTGTTGATGCTGAGAAGGGCCTCGTCTTGGTGTCCCGTGCCATTGTCCCGTACGATCTCTGCGATATCCAGATCACCATTGCCGACTCGATCGTTGTAGAGGGTAAGGTTGTCTTCCTGCACCCGCTGCAGAACTACGCCATTGTCAAGTATGACACTTCACTCGTCCAAGCACCAGTCAAGACCGCAAAGCTGTCTTCGAAGTTCATCAAGCAGGGCGAGGACACCATCTTCTTCGGTTTCAACCAAAACTTGCGCCCTGTGGTAGCAAAGACCGTTGTCACGGATATCACAACCGTCGCTATCCCAGCGAGTGCCGCAACTCCTCGCTACCGCGCCATCAACCTGGACGCTGTCACGGTGGATACTAACCTGGCCGGTCAATGTGGAAGTGGTGTTTTGATCGCAGAGGATGGTACTGTGCAAGCAATTTGGCTGACCTACCTCGGCGAGCGTTCTTCTCACAGCGGCAAGGACATGGAATACCATCTGGGTCTTTCCACACCTATGGTAGAGCCCGTTCTGAAGCAGATCCGGAACGACATTCAACCGAAGCTGAGGATCTTGAACGTCGAGATGCATACCGTCCAGATGGACAAGGCCCGCATCATGGGCGTAACGGACGGTGAGTCGCCCACTACAACCAAGGTTGTCTCTAGCTAATTTTTGCAGAATGGATCCAGCGTGTTGAGCACGACGACCCTGAGAGGCATCAACTCTTCATGGTCCGCAAGGTTGATTCCGGCCACGAGGGTGGTCTTTTGGAAGGTGACGTAATCCTCTCGCTCAACGGCAAGCTCATCACGCGTGTGTCGGATCTGGACATCATGTATGACAACGAATCGCTTGACGCCGTCATCATTCGTAAGCAGAAGGAGATGAGCATCAAGGTCCCTACAGTCCCCACCCAAGACCTCGAGACAGACCGCGCCGTTATCTTCTGTGGTGCTATTCTGCACCGCCCGCACCATGCTGTCCGTCAGCAGATAAGCAAGGTGCACTCGGACATTTATGTCTCGGGGCGTATGCGCGGTTCGCCGGCCTACGCGTACGGCCTTGCGCCGACCAACTTCCTGACGCACGTGAACGGTGTCGCGACGCCGGATCTGAGCAGCTTCCTGCGCGAGGTCAAGAAGATCCCGGACAACACGTACTTCCGGCTCAAGGTCATGACGTTCGACAACGTGCCGTGGGTGGCGACAATGAAGAAGAACGAGCACTATTTCCCGACGATTGAGTTCCTTAAGGACCCCAGCCAGGAGTTGGGCTGGAACCGGATTCTGCATGAGTGTGACGAGGATGGCGCCAAGGAGATGATGGCTGAGAGAGTCGAGACGGGACTTGACCAGGAAATGGTCGAGATGCCGGAGCAAAAGTCGGCATAGAGGATTGGCCATCGAATTGCGATTCCATAAGGGAACCGCAGATTTGAAACATGAAAGGAAAGGAAAGGACTGATAGTAAAGACAGCAAGGGCAATAAGCAGCGTTTCTAGTTGATTAGATGGGTACAGTGGGCACGGTCAGTGTGGTGGCATAACAAAAGCATACCCTGGCGTCTTTCGGAAGGGAAGGGAAGGGATTAGTAGAGCTCATCAAAGTTTTGAATCATCCGGCTTGCGGCTGACGATATTTGGCCCGCAGAAATAGCACCAGATGCTGGGTTAAAAGTGCGAAGATTGGGAACGTGTAAACAAAACCAACCATAGAAAGGCAAAACATTATTGAGGTATATTCGCGCTCGTTGCGTGTGCGTAGGTGATTGATGGAGCAGCAATTCCTGGATGTGAGTACAAAGCTTAAATTTCCGATGGTGACGACGCGGGTCCGTTGATGGTGTTCTTCCTTCCACTGCAGACAGTGCAGATTCGACCAGACGCGTATCCGGATGGTGATCAGCTCTTCGGTCTGCAAGAAGAATGACATTATGTCGCCGCTTCCGGTCAATTGAATTGATTACTGGCCGCTGTCGGCCGCGGTCCATTGGAGAATCGCTTGAGAGGAGAGCCGAAGAAGCTGCACCGGGTTATCGTTGGACGCTTTGCTGGTTGTCAGACACGGGTGAAAAGAGGACATTTTCGGGAACGGCAAGACACGGCAGTGGTCAAGACACATCAATTGCAAGTTTGGATCGATATCCTTAATGGTGGACGTTGCTTGCATAGATTGCGTCGTCTTTCTTTGCCCGGAAGAGCAGCAGCAGTAGACGGCAATTCAGATGCCTCGAGGATCCGAGTCAAACGGAAGAATAGATGCGGAGGGGACAGAAGTCGGTTGGATGGCGGAGGTGTCCCCGTGAGTCCTGCTTCTCTTGCCGGAGTCATCCGGCAATCCTGCGTCCGAACCCATGCTCTTCGATGCAGTAGAGTAGAAGCATGGAGGGTTGCGGCTCCACGCATCAGGGCCGAGGCTGGGCTCACTGCTTGAGAAGTGTTGTTTGTTGCCAGAAATAACCCATCCTTCAAAACGCGCCGCAGGATCTTCAGAGCTGGCTGACCAACAAAAGCCCTGTCAGACGCACCCCTCCGCGTGTCGTTGCATCGAACCACCGAACACAACACACTGTGCCACTGCCCTGCAGCGGCGTTGTATGTATGCAACAAGGCTGCTGTAACCTGCCTGTCTGCTGTCGTAAGCAAGCAAGTGCGCCCGCAAACAGACCCACCGGCACCCACTCACTCCCCACGGGCAGCGCAGCGGCAGCGCACACACGGCTCGTTCCGCGCGACGACGCCGATCGTCTCCGATTGCCCGTGACGACAAGAAGTCGCGAACGCGCGCGCTCCCCCTGCTACCATGGTTGCAGGGCAGCTGCTGCTCAGGTACGCGGAAAAGGGTGCTGGTTGGGCCAGCCAGCCGTCGGGCAGGGGAAGACAGACAGGCGCATCCAGGGTACGGGCGAGCGGTCGCGCGAGCGCCAGCCGTCGAGCTCGCCGAACTCCCAACTCCCCAATCACGGAGGCTGGAAGAGGGAGAGTGAGAAGAGAGGGCGAGCGAGCGAGCGATGCGTGTGTTGCGTCAGGGTCCAGTGATTCGTGTGGACACGGGTGCGTGTGTTGGGTGTGAGAGCATGGCCGGTCTTGGGTCGGTCCTGAGACGAACGAGCGACCTACTTGCTCTACCCTTCCCGCTCGCTCGCTCGCTCGCTCACGTTGTTCCAGCATCAGCCCACCAGCTCACCACCACGGCCGCCAGAACACCCCATCTTTCCCCACAGCACAGACTCCCGCCTGATCTGAGGTGCAGAAGGCGGGGGAAGGGGGAGGACGTTCGACGCCGGGGCGCTCTGGCCTGCGGTTCGCGCTAGCCGTGCTCGCGCGCGCTCTCTCTCTCTCTCTCTCTCCTCTTTCCACTCCCTCACTCTATCCCCGTCACCCCAAGAAACCCAAAACGAGTCAGGCCCAGCAAGGGGGCGCCCCGGAAGCGTTTCCATGGTCCCACTGGTGCGCCGTCGTAGCCGCCAGTCCGTAGCGAGCTAGGGGGCGACGGGACGAGCGGCGGCGGCAGCAGCACCATCGAGATCTGCGTCTAGGTACTCGTACTCTAGGTACTCGTACCAGTTTGTCAACCTTGCTCACGCCGTCGTGTGTCTCACGCTGCTGTCAAGTGTGCCTGGCGTCCTCCCTGTTGCCCTTCTGGTCTTGACATGCCGAGAGGGGAGTCAATGCATAGGTCCTTTCCTTTCCTTTTCTTCCTTCCTCTTTGGGGCGGCAAGGAGCAGGAAAGCAAGCGAGCAAGCAATACTAGGTAGGTAGGCGTGGTAGGTTAGCCATGTCGAGCTCCAGGCCACGGAAACAATAATTGACCATGTCCGCATCTGATTCACGCACACATCTCGCCACTGCCACTGCCATCACCACCACCATTACTCGAGTACTCTACTCGTAGAGTACTTCCCTCCCAACAAAAAAATAACCCGCGTGCATGATCGATCAAGCAGGCAACCACCTATCCGCACCCGCCCGTCTCTCGGCCACCTGCCCGTCCCCCCTCTACTCCCCTCCCTCTCCCCTCCCGCTCCAGACCGAACACAAGCAGGACGCACAAGCCCGCGCCCGCGTATCGTACTCCGCACTCCGTACTCCTCTCGCACACTCACATGAAAGGGGAAATAACAAGAGCACCCTCTAGAGTACGAGCACTCGGCTCGATTCGTACGTACCCACCGTCGCAGCCACCTGCCCGGCGTGCCCCCCTAGAGCAGCTTAGGCAAGGCAGGCTAGAGCACCCAGAGTAGAGTAGCCCTGGTACGAGTAGCCCTCCCAGCAGAAAGCGCGGCCGCCGCCGAGCAAACCCCGTGTGTGTGTGTGTGTGTGTGAGTGCGCCGGGCTGCAGCCAGCCAGCCAGCGGGGTCATTTCTGCCTCTGCCTCTGCGCTGACCCCGCACATCCTGATCCAACCCAACCTTATCGCGACCATCACCTGAGTCGCTGATCCACTCAGCGTCCAGCATCATCCAGCTCTCAGTACTCTACGCAGCGCCTATCCCGCCCGTGGCCGGCCGGTCGTCGTTCGTCTTTCGTAAGCCAGCGTCAGTGTCAGTGTCTAGTGTTAGCCAACGACTCATAACCCGCTCTCGCTCACTCACACACTCTCTCTTTACTCGAGTAAGTGCTCTAGAGTACTCTCTACTCGTACCCGCGCTACGCATCCGGGCTTGCCTCGACGCCTCACCTCTCTTAGGGTTGAGGCGGCTTACTCGACGAATCGCAGCGCACGGCAGCGGCGCGCGTCTCGAGCGCTCTACTTCGTAGCCGCTGTTGGCGAAAGTAGAGTACTCCAGAGTAGACGAGTAGGCGCTCGAAGCTTCGACGCGCGCGTGCGCTTGCGTTGGGTGCGCTTGGCTGCCGTTGCGTGCTGCCAGCCCTGCTGCCCTGCTGCCGGCCAAGAAAAGTCAAAAAGTCGTTGTGCAGCAGCGCCTGTGCAGCGCGGCGCAGCGCAGGGCGGCGCACATCACTCGCGGCTGTGTCATGTATGCCAAGCAAGGCAGGAGTATGCGCTTCGCTTCGCAGTAGGTGGTGGCAGGCGCGGCGGAGTACTCGTGGAGCAGGCGGCCGGTGCCGCGGTTGTTTTGTGTTTTGTGGGTGGTTGTGATGATGGAGGTGGTAGACGGGATGGGATGGGAGGGGATGGGAGCCTGCAGCAGCGGGCCGGACGATGGACGGTAGGACGGACGGACGGCCGGGCATGATGATGGGAAACGAAGGGCAGGTGCAAGAGAGCGTGCCAGGCTGCCAGCCGTGTCGCCGCAGCACTATTCGTACCTGTCTCTAAGGTACTCTCGAGTACGAGTCGAGCAGGTACACACACAGCACTCCACTCTACTCGAGACGAGACAAAAGAGTATGTGCGCCCAACTGCCACGCCGCGCCGTCGCTGCCTACCTACCTACCACTACCACCTTACCTCATCAAAGCACCCCAGCTCCTTCCTTTCACGCGCGCGCGCGGAATAATCACCGCGCAAAAATGCTACCCAACCAACTCTATTCTTATCATCCCACCTACTCATACCATACTAGGCCCTTTCCCTATCACCCCGGCCCTAGCCACTAGTCGAGTAAGTGAAGTAAGTGTAAAACGCGAGCCATAGCGAAGGCAGGAGCGAAGGGAGGGGCGGCGGCGACGGCGGCGATGGCGGTGGTGGAGGCGACATCGCGTGCGCCGCACGCCCACGTACCCAAGCAGCGTAGGCACAGTCGGCACCTCTACGCATGGCCAAGTGCCGGGGCGCAGCAGCCACGGCGATGAGCTGGCGGTCTGGCCACCACGAACTGATGATGAGAAAGGGTCGTGAGGGTGGGGTGCACTGCAGCCGCGCAGACGCCCAGTGCGGGGGAGCTTGGGGCTTAGTGCGTCTGGCAGCGGCAAGGGGCAGGGGCTGGATAGGCTGGCGTGCCGTGCTACGGCAGCATGCGGGCCTTTTTTTGTTTTTTTATATCAACGGCGCATGCAGATCGAGGGGAGGCGGCGCGCGTCGGCGGGGGTCGGGTGCGGCGATAGCGAGATAGGTTATGTACATGTACATACGGGGTGGAGTGAGGGTGGGGGTCCCTGCCGTCGATGAGACATGCACGTAGACGCAAGGAGCAGCTTTTCTTGTTCGCGTGCAGTGTTTTTGTTTTTGTTATGAACTTTTCTCTTTCAAATTCAGGAAACTGCGCCTGGATATGCTCTCGTCGTTGTGACTGTGGTACAAATACAATAGTGATATGGTGGTAAAGATAGGGTTGAACAGCGGGAGCGCACCCGAAGAAAAGCGCTGGGATATCATGGAAATATGAAAGGAAAGAAAGGAAGCAGAACCGCTCCAACGAGACCTGCGCTCCTGCGTACTAGTACAGTAGTCGGATCCCGAAGGGCGGCCGATAAGCCGCTTTGTAGAAGGTGTATCCAGAAGTGGTGGTGCCATAGCGACAAGCGCCGAAACGTTTTTGTTCGATCCGTCAAACAGTATTTTTGTCGTCGTCGTCTTCCAAATAGTTGTCATCAATTGGTCAAGGGTGGAGCCAGTCCGGCCCCTGGCTACGCGCGGCCTCAATAGCATCTACGCGTAGGAGGTGTCGTGCTCGAAGTGCTCGGCGATGCTTTCGAGCACTTCGCGGTCGACGCTGCTGCGGCGTCTCCGTTGGCGGCGCATCTCCATCTCCGTCTCCATGAGACGGCCTTGGACCCAAGAGCGGAACTTTTCGTCGCTGCGCACGCCGTCGGTGTTGAGCAGCTCCGTCAGCACGGCCTTGACCTGCTTGTTGACATCGTACAGCTGGCTGTCCTGAGTGGCAGCGGGCGCTGCGTGAGCTGTGCCGGGCACGGCCGGAATGGGGCTCATGGTGGTGTTGCTGAGGCTCATGCTGCTGTGGGGCGACGCAGTGGGGCTGTGGGGGTCCGAGAAGGAGGAGCGGTGGGAGGTCGGGGACGAGGGGGTGGGGGAGTAGGATGGCTCGTGCGAGAGCGATGGCGTCGATGGAGGGATTTGAACGGTCAAGTGGTGTCGCAGCGACTCCTGCTGAGTGGAAAGCTGGAGATAGCGACGGTATGAGTCGTTCTGGAGGAGCAGTCATGTTAGAGACGTGGGAGCTGACGAGAGCAGGAGGGAAGAGGGTGGATGGCTTACGGTAGCAGGGCCGTGAGGGAGCTGAGCTGCCATTGGGTCGAGCATTTCTAACGCGATCATAGGCGAGTACGAGAATGAGGAGTGTTGGAGTGTGTGTGTGTTGGAGAGTGGTGGTGGTGGAGACAACGGGCCGTTGCGGGGGACGGGCTAGGTTGATATAGTCGCAGGGCGGTGCGTGGTACGATTGCGCCTTCCCACTTGTATACGAGACGAGACCGGGACGAGACCGGGAGCTTGTGTCGGGGGGATCCTATGTATAGCGCGGGCGCCGAGCTTAAGCTGCAGGACGCGCAACCAGAGAACTGGGGGGAAGAGCGAGAATTGCCGTTGCCACAAGGGTTGAAAAGCGGAACTGTCAGGGACTCGAGTAACCTTAAGTATCTGCTGTTGCGTGCTTTTGCCCGCAGTCTCTGGGGCCCCATTGTTTCGCACGGCTGCAGATACATTGGGATGACGTTGCCCTTGCCCATGGTCCCAGCTTGTTCGTGCGCGCATGTACAATCAAAACACCATGAAACGTCCTGCTGCTCAGCCCTCTCTCAGCCTGAGACCGGGCAGCTCCAATCACCTGCTAGCCTTCTGCCAACAAAAAAGACCACAGCATGACCTCAACCTGTACGATGCTGCCTTCGATCGAGATGCCTGGCACGCCGCTACGGGTGCTTAGGGGGGGGGGGGGGGGGCCGGACGTCCCGACGGGGCGAAACGGACCCGCTGTGAGTGCTGATCGCCCCGGTCAAAGGCACCACCAGCAGGGTGCGACGCTGTCTCTCCAAAGTCCGCCAGTCCATTTTAGCGACGCATTTCCTCATCGGTGATGACGATGCCGCCTTCTCGCAAACTTCAAAGACATCTAGAGCTCCTTGGCTCTAGACGCGCCACACCACGCCTGCGCCTCCAAGCCTCTCCCACCCGAAGATCCGAAAACGTTGCGGGCCTCGCTGATCCACGCTGCTTTCAGCTTTGTGCTCTGCTCACATCGTGCCCTTTAGCCGCCAAAGGCCTCGCTTGATACTTGTCCCGAGCCCATGGTGCCTGTCAATCACTGCTTCGAGAACGAAAAAGACCGGCGTCGAAGTGTCCGAAAGTGGGAAACGACGTCGACAAAGCAAGGATCCAACTGTCCGCCACTCGGGCACGAGCTTCAACACCTACCATGACATGGCCCAAGCCCGAACCCTGTTTTTCGCGGCTCGAAAAAAAGCCAACCACCTAGCCGCAACGCCATTTTCTCAGACACTCCAGTCCAGCCGCCGCGCTGGGCCATGCAAGTGAATGTTTTGGGATGATGAAGTTTGTGAGACTATGACGTGAATCCCCGTGCTCATCAGTCTATCAGAAACAAGCGCGGTGTTGTCGTCTGGGGAAACCCACAGCCGGACCCTGAGCTCGCAGAGCCGCGTCCCGAGATCAACAGCATAGCGTCAAGCGCCGTATCAACGCAGCAACTGCATCGAAAATGCAGTCTCCACTAAAGCACCGCCATCTGGAAATGGCACTGGGCAAAGGGATCGCCCGCCGCCCTGTTGGACGCCTGAAGTCGTCAAAATGATCTCATGCCGAGCTTGGAAAAGACCAACACCAGACCCTCCAAGCGAGTCGCGGACGAATGAGATGGCGATTGCAAGGATGCCCAAGTGATCTTCCTCGGCGGCCACCGAGACGGCAACCAGCCGCCGTCAAACGATCGGTGATACATCTTGGGAATCGGAAATCTTTCAAAAGGGAGGAAGACCCCGTCAGCAGGGAATCGCCTGTCATTTCTCTGCGACCTTGCGCCACGGCCCTGCAATAACAATGCGAGGAGCAGCGAATAGCGGCTGCCAACGGGAAAGCGGGATGACCGAACGTTTCCAAACCGATCGCTCTCCAGTCTGACAATCTACCTGGATCACGACAGCTAAAATAAAGTATTGCGTTTAAGGGGTCCGATAAGAAAGGGTGCTGACCTTCAGCCGCTCAGCCGCGCAGTAGATGGATGCATCCTTGCGTTGCTTCGATTGGCAAATGAGTAGCACATTGTCGCAACTTGCAAGTCGGCTCTGCCACTGGGGGCAACTATAACCTTCAGCTATCAGCATCAGTGGCGGCATCCTGTTCCTTTTGGCGCTCGCTCCAGAACCCCTTGCCATAGCTAACCAGTATCTCATCGCCCTTGGCGATGCCCTTGGCTCTCTTCCCGCTCTTCCCCGCACTTAGCACAAACACTCCCATCCGCCTTTCCATTTTGCCTCGGCCAGCATCGATCCAGACTTCACGAAACTCGGCGTTGGGTCCTGGGGGTCCTACGCCGCGATAGTCGTTGATGAAGCGTGCCTCGTTCCCCATTCGGGTGGCATCAATTCCAACACCGAGTTCCCGATCTAAAGAAAGATCGTAATCAGAATCCGGATCCGCATCCTCTCGAGTATGAAAGAGACCTAAGTAGAGGATGATGAAAGTGTCTGGCGGAAGATGCTGGGCAGCAAACAGACCAGACTGTCCGTTGGCAGGATGCGAAGGATTGCCAATCTTGGTTATCCTAGCGAGTGGCGAAGGACCGCTCGGCACCTTTAGGACGTCTGTCACCGCCGAGGGTGTATGGAGTGACTTCTGCACTTCGGCGGCGCAAAGCCTGGAATACACTGGGGCTGTGATGTATACAAGACCTTGTGGCCACCCTTTCGGTAGGCCTGAGCGTGCGGGGCGCATTGCTTTGGTGCAACGTTTGGTAATCCCTACGTAGACCAGCAAACAGGGAAGAAATATACCCGGTCTATAGGTGACGATGAGAAGTACAAGGAGAATGGACCAGAATTGAGTTGAGCGCTCACTCCATGGGGGCAGGTGGAGCAAGAAAACTAGGTACTGTCAAAGAGTAACCTGCACCCTAGGTGTGTCGACGCTGATTGGTATCAGGCAGCGAATTGCCACGTTGGGTTTCCAATGCCAGTTCTCAAAACTTTTAGAGAGAGGCGACAAACGGAATCTCTCTTCTCTTCGAGGACTATCCTGTGGTCTGTCGTGCGGCAAAGAGCGGTCTACAACGCCGATCTCACTTTGCGTAGGTCCGTCCGGTCAGGATCGAAGAAAATTCTCCGTGGTACGGCTCGGTCGGAAGCGGCTGAGCGACCAGACAGTGGCTGCAGCTTGCACTATCGCAATAACAGCCGGTGGGGTGAAGTGCCGGTGGGCTGGAAAATGAAGTTATCGTGAGCTGCTGACGGGTGTCGTCGGAGATGGCTTTGTCCGGTCTCGGGCTTTTCCAATCCGCCAGTCGGCGGCCTGCAGCAAGGCAACCCGGAGGCGCGAAGAATACGAGTTTCCAAGGTGGTTGGTTGGGTATCGGTGGTGAAGAGATTGTTCCAGGTGTCGAGCTCGCCAACACTTCATCTCCGGAATCAACGCGGCCGCGTCTCTACCGGTAAAGCCCAACGGTGACGTCCGCCTATTGCAGCTATCGACAGGGCACCACCGCAGAACGAACACTCGAGCAACAGAGCTACCGGCACTATGTGCGCGCACCACGTTCCACAAGACGTCAATCCTTACGAGTCCTCGGGCTAAGCAAACCTGAAGAAATCCGATGCTCAATACAGCCATTGGTCCATCCGGATCGATAGACCTGCAGGAACCCGTTTGGCTCCCTTGCTGTCTTTAATCAGCCATCATGCGATGATCGGATCGATGAGCACCTGCAGGTGATTCGGATGCCGAACCCAAGCCGCCCATGCCGTTTCTGGCTCGCGGCCGTCCACCACTATTTCTGGAAGCTTTGCGCCGTGGAGGCTTGCGCCGATGTGATCGCAACATGGATTTATGCAGAGATGCATCTATGCTTTATTGACCACGCTCTCTACCATGTGGTCTATAACGAGACCTCGACGGTCTAGACTATCGACATACGATGCCGTTTCCCAGTATGGCACAAGCAGCAAGACCGGTAAGGTCCTATACTTCTACGAACTTACAACCACTTCCTCCGTCGCTGAGCTCTACCCCTGTTGATCTCGGCTATATTGGCACGACAAGGAGACGTACACTTCACCAAGTCTCATACGTTTATCGTTCGGTGCTTTGTTGTTGCCAGCCTACAAGCCGTTACCATGCGTTAGCAACCGCTTGGTCTGGGCGGCTGTCAGAAGAAATCATTGCCAGTTTGGGTAAAGCCCCAGGGGAACAGTCAGCTGGACCCCAGCATTCGCGTGCGATATGCTTGGCTTGCCCCAGCTTTGGTCTAGCATTGGACTTGCCGTGGCCAGTCCTTTATGCTTGCAATTTCGCTTCCCGATAGCTGACCAACCTAGATAGGAAATCTGGCACGTCGGGGTATCACCGCCCTATCGCAAGTGGTTGTAGCGCCAATGTCTGTTCTTCTGGTAGCCCCTTTCCTCGTATCGGCAGCTTAGCGATGGCATTGAAGGCGCTCTGTCTCCAGTCACTTGCACTTCAAGCTTGGGATTGCTGTGGATCGCTCAATCGCGGCTCTTCTTCTGGGACGATCTCTAGGTCTAAGCGCTTCTGCTCTTGAACAGACTATTGATATAAGATGCTTCGACATCTCCATCTTTTCTTTTCTTCCTCAGCTACATTCTCTCACTACGTCGATACTCGGTTATCACCGACTTCACTCATTCTTCAACGATCTTTTACGACCGCATACTGCCGTAATCTTTAATCTACCTTACAAAACGTAGATAATCCAACACCACCAACATGCGCTTCTCTGCTATTGCTGCTGCTGCCGCCCTCACCATTGACGTCTCTGCCCAAAATGACACCGCTCCTGCATCCTATGTTACTGAGGTTCTTACGGCCTACACCACCTACTGTCCGGAACCTACCGAGATTGCCCACAACGGCAAGACGTACACAGTCACTGAGGCCAGTACTCTGACTATCACTGACTGCCCGTGCACCGTAAGTTTTATCACTTTGTGCAAAGCAATAGTAGATACTAACAGATTTTCAGGTTTCCAAGCCTGTCTTCACGTCCGTCGTTACCTCTTGCGCGTCCTGTGCCTCTGATACCCCCGGCAGCCCCGCTGTCCCTACTTCCTCTGGCATCGTCATCTCGGATGCCAGCTCCTGGCCTGCTCCCACCTCCAAGCCTGTCCTTCCCACCGGCGGTAACGGCACGGCCAGCTTCTCCAAGCCTGGCCTTCCCTCTGCCTCTGGTCCCGCCTCGGTCCCTGGCTCGCCTGCCTCAGGCACTAGTGGCAGCGGTGCTTCCACTCCCGTCACTACTCCTCCCACCTTTACCGGCGCTGCTTCCAAGGTCTTTGCCGCTTCGGGCGCTGGCCTCGCAGCTGTCTTTGGCTTCGCTGCGTACTTGCTGTAAGCAGTCGATGCTCCATTCATTGGCTCTTCTGAACAGGATGGGTTGATATTGATGGGCGACACGTCTTCTCTTTCTGGGCTCGGGTGGCTCGATGTGAGCTTGCCATGATACACTGTTTGAAGACGCTACTTTAACCCGACACTGTGGTTTGCGTAACAGCTGCCACGCGCTCCTATACTCTAATATCTCACGTAATATCATGATTTGAAAATGTCATGATCGAATCCATGTAGTTTGTGGGAGGACTGTATAGCGGAGGGAACTCCTTCATGTGCATCCGACTCTTTACGATTGGGCTCGAAGGTTGGGCAGTAGTATTAATACACAAGGAGCTTATGAACCCAGTTCCACCTTGCACTGCCTCCATTCTCTGTCGTACTTTGTGGAGTGAACCTACTATTTTATTCGTCCACAGGTACCATGTGCTTGAATACACTGAATTAGATCTACAGTTCTCCGAAGCCTAGCATCTCATGGTCGAGTCTCCGTGGCAAAGGTGGCGGAACTGTCGAATTAGAGCAGCATCCGATACCCTGGAGATCTTCTGTCGATATACCAAGATATGCAGCTAACAAATGCAGCAGTGGATATCGGAGTTGATCCGCAGGATTGCAGCCACGCCGCTGACAATCCAGATACGACCTTTAGCAGATGAGATATTGACCCACCGGAGCATGATTGATGAGATCGCAGCGCGGAGCATTAAGTCATGTCCTCAGCAAAGACATTCATGCCTACAAACAAGAAGTGCCGATCCTCAACCGCGCAGAGACCCATTCGGGCCCGTGTCGACCGACAACACATAACCGCGCACAACGACGTCGAAGGCTTTCCGTCGACCGAACACATGATAACCACTGAGCTATATGCGGGGGTATACACGTCCTCGCAACCGGTCACGACCGGCTTCGGCCGTGAGCCTCGGATGGACGCATAGGGTACGCCCGCACCCCCCCCGCTGACACCTCCGACCACCAGCCTACAATACAATACACCAACAAACAAGGCCCCAGCTTCACGCCCATCCTGCCACGAGCCTCCACGCGCCGAGCAGCGATCGCACAGGCCGATCTTGCTTACCATCGGCGCGGTAGAGTGGCAGACGAGGCGGCATCGGTGGTGGCTTGCTCACGCGCGCGCGGGGCCGCGCTCCACGTTGGGCGTGGAGGACGGGGCATCGCAGTCGCACTTGCACGAGGCGCCGGGCTGGGAGAGGTTGCGTGCGCAACGTTGTAGCCCTGGCGCTGGTGAGACGCGGTGCGTGTGCTGACGGGGAGCTGTAGGGTGTTTGTTTTTGGCCTTCTGCCACTTCGATCGGTGCGTGGCGCTATGCCGTTGTTCTTGCTGACGCTGGTGGCGGCTTGTTGCACTTGGCCGAGTCGAGGTGAGCTTGTCTGGTTGGAAAGACGTGTCGTGTTGTCGCTGGACAGCGCTTCAGCAAGAGCAGCGGCTTTGAGCTGCAGAGGATGATCCTGCCTTGATCGGGAAGATGGTGCATTAGACACCACCATCTGCTTGACTGATGATACCCTCAAAAATTCCGGATATCCGTTTGCAATTCGAAAGTAGGTCTGGTGATGAGGTCAGGTTTCTTGTGCTGTGAAGAGCACAACGACATACTTGGATGTATGTACCAGCTTCTTCAATCCTGTCTGTTGGGGTTGTTCATGCGCCATCTTCATCTGAGGAACCGGCTCGACGGCTTGCTTTCCGGAGAAGAGCAACTGGTGAGTCTTACCTGGACGAAAGAGAGCGCGAAGGCCTTCAACAACCGTCTATAGCCGCCTCTCGGAGTAATCGTTCAATCGTAAGCTTAGAATCCACTTCGTGTGGAGCTGATTATCATTTGAGGTATCCTATACCTAGAAATCTTTCTAAATCTACCGTAAAATCTACATCATAGCTAAGCAGATAAGTGTAGTAATCTCGTTAAAAAAGAGTGGACGTTTGTCCAAGCTAATAATGGAATAAACCCACACCCTGATCGAAAGCTAAACAGCAACAGTGGGTGATCAATATATGAACGATGGAGTTATTCAACCGGTTTAAACTACATGTAAAGATACAGCTAGGACCGAATTGATAGGCGCAGCACTATTCAGTGAGTGACCCCCTTGTTACTTTAGAGTGAACTCAAGTGTTTGCGCGTGGTTTCAATGGTATCTTTTATAAAAAAGATTCATCCTTTTAAGATTTTTGAACTCCTATAACACCTTCAGTGCTGTACATTCTCTTACATGCGTCCATTTTATAATTTCTTACTGCTACATACGTCGTAGCTCTTATATGATTCTTTGGATTTAACAATCTTCATTTCACCGAGCTTGCTTAAGGCGTCGCAGCACAGTATACTCAAAGATTCGTTTCAAAACGGAAGGCCACTACATTATCAACGTTCAAGGGTTGTTACTTTGCTTGATGATATTAGCTAACAGGCTCCTATCAATGAGTTCATGTAAGTAGTTATGACTGGAGCGGAAGAAGGACAAGTTCTAATGGTATGGTTGATATTGGAGCTGCGGTAACTAGAGTGAAATTTTTTCTTTTGATCGTTTCGTCTTGCCATCTCAGATATGTGAACTGACAACTCTATATCTAGCATTAAGTTTTACCCTCCGATATCATTGTCGAGAAGCAAATGCTATCTCAAACTAGCCACTGCAACAACATCACAACCTCGTCCAATTTTCGAAAATCTTCAGAGCACAAAAAACGTCTTAGCTGCGATACACTTCATAAGGGCCAGTATCTGCAAGGCACTATGGCGATAAAATTTTACCGGCAGACATGGTTTTCCCTGGACAAACGTCCAGTACTTTCCGACGTCCGCATCTTTCAACTTTATACTCAACTCCTCTCTCTTATTATATACTCTATCATCCTGAACAACCACTACACATCCAAGCACTATAACTGTAAGCAAGCAGCACCTCCATCTCACCCCAACAAGACCCGGAAGCCCGACCTCCCAGTAAATCAGCAGCCAGCTACCAAACCGACGACAACAACAACAACAACAAAAAAA